TTTTTTTTCTCGGTCGCATGTTTTTATTTTGCTTATTATTATTTCTTCTTCCTAGGTCACGGACCTTTTCTTTTTTGTTCTCGCCAGTGGTATAAGTGAGTATTTTCTTGCATCTTACTGTCCGTATGTTTTTGTGGCAGAAGGGCTATCGTGTCTCTGATCCATGTTGTAGACCTGATAAGTAAAAGAGACTAAATATCAACAATCAGATAATGAACCGGACAACAAAAACACTTGTGAGCCAAGCTCTCCACTTTTTAAATGCTCAATCATCTACGAAACAGATGGAACAGAACTCAAAAGTGTCCGCCTAGAAGCAGTTGTTGCTCAGGGGCTGATGTTCAAATGTAAACAAAAGAGTAACGACGGTACCATCCAGCCATCCATTCCCTTCGGCTTGTGTCCCGCTTGGCGCCCGTGCGCCTGCGCCAAGGCTCAGCAGCTCCATCATCACCTGCATGAGCCTAAAGAGCTACCCGCACCTTATCCACTATCGCAGCGTCTCGAACGCGTGCAACACCATCCGAACCACGCAACACTACGACATTTCCCCGAAACTTATCACCACAGACCACAGACCTCAGACGACAAGCGGCGAAGTGACCGGATTGGAGTTGGCGAACTTGCAATGATGGATAACTCGGGTCTAAAAATGGGCACGACCGACGGCGCAGCTGGTATCCCATACTACGAAAAGCAGCGACAGCATCTTAAAGAGCTGCTGAACAAGAAGAAGCTTTTAGAAAAACGTCTGGTACGGCTGCTGTCACCGCCAACAAACCGGGCCAATCGTCGAAATACCTGCTGATTCAGGAACAAATTAACAGCTTGCGCAAGAAGAATCAATCTACCAAAAGGAAACCGAGTACCTCGAAAATACGCCAGCGGGCAATATCATCACGGGCTTCGACAACTACACCAAGGGCACCGCCAACGTTGCAGCACAGCGCCGGAAGACGGGGTTGACAGACGCGAACCGTGTCTTCTCAAGAAGCTCGATATCGTACAATCCGGCGGCTGTGCGTCGTTCTGTATTTTCTTCCCCCCTCCCTACGCCCAGTCGCTTTCCCACCCACCATTCAAACCATCATCTTCCTCTCGTTCGCCTCCTGCCCTAATGCAGTACCACACTTCAACACACTTCAATCTCACTTGGAGACTGAGCGTCATAAGAGGATTTCGTCAAGCTAACCAGTTGGCAAAAACCACAGCAACAAGAATCGCAAACACCAGCCTCTTCAGCCCCCGCTTCCCATGCTCCGACACCGGTCTTGACAACGTTCAATAACAAGGACGGCGCATCGAGTGCGCCGACGCCCACATCAGCCACGACCGGAAAGGTGAACAATTCCAAGAAGAAGAAAGCGACAACCTCGGGTGCGGGAGTCGAAGATAGCGAGACGGACTCACGAGAGACGAAGAAGGCGAGGACGAACTTTGGTGCTGTTCGCAAGTGAATCCGTGGTCAAGAAGAAGAAGAATCAGAGTTGGGCTTGCGGCGTGTTGCGGTTGGATTTCTGTTGTGTTTGCGTTACTCGTTTGTGCACGAGAGGGAGAAGGATTGGATTACATGGCGTTTTGGTTTTGGTCATTACAGATGGATTAAGCAGAGCGCGGCGTTTTGGGGAGGGGCTTTTTGTCAAATTTCTTCAGCGCATTCAGGATATCCTATGAATGGAGAGTGCAATTTTCTTACCTGCTGCTGATGGACAGTGAATCTCTTGAGGAAGCGACTTCAAGGAGCTGGAAACGGGAGAGCACCGCACATCTGATACCATCACTCAGTCTGCTGCTGTTTCTGCTTGCCAAGCATGATGCATTATGATATCCAGAATTCTCGTGATCCTCATTTTGCGCCCGGTGAACAACGTTTCCAAGGAAGAATCTTGATGCCGTTTGACTGAATTGAGATGATAGCCTTTTGATTTGCCATCATGTTCATATTCTTGGGGCGAGATTTGTGAAGTATGTCCTCCCGTCCATCTGGATGAGAGCTGAGCTGGGTGCAGTGACAAACGAAGTACGTACCACCTGCCAACTGCCAGTGCCAGGACGTGAGCCGTCGGTCTTGACGGGACGGTTGTTTGCAGGGCGGGTTTGCCTAGATCTCTGCTCTGATTGGTTGGTTGCCGGTCACAGGACGGTCCACACGGAATTGCATCACCCATGAAAATTTGCAGGTGCGCACAGACCGGGTGCAGCACCTCCGGGAGGGTATAAAAGATGGTCCTCCCTCCCACTATTCTAATTTTCTTTTTCTTTTTTTCTTCATGTCGACAATACTTCAGTGAGTAACCCCCCCTAACTATTGGGATCCGCTCTACTCTCTGGGAGATGCGCTCATCGCAACACACGATGCTAACCACACTGCGCTTTTCAGGAGAATCATTTCTATAGTATTTGTCCTCTTTTGTGTTCCCTAAAAGGAGCCACAGATCCCACCGGGGTTGATGATCAATATCCTCGGCGCCCAACAGTGAGGTCCTTTATTTACTCTCGCTCTGCCTGCAAAGGTGGCGGTTGCCTCACGGCGACTGTATAGAGAGTGGCGATGATCTGTACCCCGATTTCCAGAGGTCTCTGCCTTCGGGCGCTTTGGCGGGGTGGGTGTCGATGGAAGTCTGACCCGCTTTCATCACGAACTTTTTTTTCATTGCGATCTTGGGGCTTCGGCTCTGAGCGTGAAGAAGAAACATTGACTTGATGTCCAACATCCCCAAGCAAATGATATCTGAGCTTGGGTTTCGCACTCGTGATTTATTCGCACATGCTGTTTTTTACCCGTATCTGCCTGCTCTTGGTGCGCTTCTGCCTAGAGTTGCGATGAACCTGCCGTTCAGTAACTGGATGTGGTCTGTGCTCTGTCGCGTTTCATCTCTCGGCGGTCTCGTTCACTGTTGTACTTTGGGCCTTCCGCGCGCCAAGTTATTGTTGTTTGGCAGCGCACCGGTGGAAGTTCAAATATCTACGAACCACGACTCACGGAAGGATTGCCTTGAAGACACATCACCAAGCTTCCGGCCGGTGAAATGCTCGACGAGAATCATTGCAGCACGAATCAGATCCACAACATCTCCGGTATGTGTTACCTTCATGACGGGGTGGAAACTGAGCGCCGTCGATTACACCATGAGGTGGGGTCACAACTTCCCCTCGCCGGGCGATGCCTTGGCAGCGACGGAGGCTACCATAGCTACCTACCCCTCACGGCGGAAGCAGGCCGCTTGCAACCCTCACGACGCCTTGTCACTGTAGAAGCTACATCGTCACATGCCTTAAAGTAGCAGATGCCTAGACTTGAAAGATGGGATGAGGTCGTTTACTTCTTCACCGTTTTTTGGAACTTGGTGTTTTCTTGCATCCTCCTCATATCAGCCTTTCCTGGCGCGGACGCATCTGATATATCAATAGCAGTATCAAACATGACTCTCACAGCAACCAAGTTCACCCCCGAGGTGCTGCTGTCGGCACCACGCCGCTCGCCAGCTGTCCCCAACGCCAAGGGGACCAAGGCACTATTCACAGTAAGTCGGATTGAGTACGAGATGGGATCGCGTGCCGCGTAACAAGACTGTGGACCACATGTGAATCTGAGGAATGATGGGTGGGGGTTTTGTGTGTAAGTTCCGTCGCTAACCAGAGCCTTGGCGACACAAAGGCGACCACGTACTCGTTCGAAACACACAGAAAGACTTCCCAGATCAGAATGCTTGATATCCAATCTGGCCAGTCAACACTTCTTGTCGATGATTTGAGCGCCAGCGAACCGACATGGATTGGCGACGATGAGTTCCTCTACCTCAAGACTGGTGATAAGGGTAACACTACCGTCTTGGTTGACAAGACCGCCCGCCCAGGTTCTCAGTAAGATAACCCTTCAATATCTGGGAAAAGGTCACACTTTGCTAAACAGAACATCTAGAGCATATGAGGTCACTACGATCAAGGCTCGTATCTCGAACATCAAGATCAAAGAGCTCCCTAACGGCACTGTCGCTTTCGTCTGCTCCGCCTCCACTACTCCAGATGGACAGCTGTCCAACCCTGTGACGGCGAAGAAGCCATATTCTAGTGCTAAGGTCTATACCAGTCTCTTTGTCCGCCATTGGGACGAGTGGCTAGGAGAGGACAAGAACTCCCTTTGGTACACCGCGTTGGAGAAGAAGAACGGTCGTTTTACGCTAGCGGGCCGCAGTCTCGTCAACGCCCTGGCGGGATCGAAGCTTGAATCTCCAGTACCGCCCTTCGGAGGAACTGGTGATTTTGACATTAGTTCCACAGGATTGGTGTTTGTCGCTAAAGACCCTGAGCTCAACCCTGCCATTTACACAAAGACCGACCTTTACTATGTTCCGCTCAAGAACTTCATCGAGGAGCAGCCACCATCCCCGAAGATTGTCGAGACACCTGGCCTGGAAGGCTATACTAACAGCCCTGTCTTTTCGCACTGCGGCTGCAAGGTGGCCTTCACCCGCATGAAGAGCAAGCAATATGAATCTGACAAGCCCCGTCTGATGCTTCTACCGGACATCAGCGATCTGAGCAAGACTGAAGAATTCTTCGCCACGGATGACGGTGAAGGAGCGTGGGACTATCGCCCCGAAGGGATTCTCTGGAGCGCCGATGACAAATCGCTTTACGTGACAGCCGAGAAGAACGCTCGTGTCCGCCTCTGGGAGGTCCCTTCCAACCCAGCCGATGCCAAGGACACTCCCACGATTGTCAAGACCGCAGACGGCAGTGTGAACGATGTCAGACTTCTTGCTGAGGCCGATTCGTCCTCGAAGCTTCTGGTCTCTACTACCTCTCTGGTTGACAACAGCTGCTACAGCATCGTCGACCCCTCTTCCAACACCACCGACATCATTTCGTCTAACTCTAAGCAAGGGAAGACGTTCGGTTTGTCGAGATCCTGCATTGGAGATATTACCTTCAAGGGAGCTGGTGACTACGACGTCCACGCGCTCGTCGTCCGCCCCTCCAACTTCGACGAAAAGAAGAAGTACCCTCTTTGTTTCCTGATTCACGGCGGACCCCAGGGTGCCTGGCAAGACGGATGGAGCAACCGCTGGAACCCAGCCGTCTTTGCGGAGCAAGGATACGTCGTCGTGAGCCCGAACCCGACAGGAAGTACGGGCTACGGCATGGCCCTCCAGAACGGTATCAAGGGCCAGTGGGGCGGCAGACCGTATGAAGATCTGGTTAAGGCGTTCGAGCACATTGAGAAGAACATGCCGTATGTGGATACAGATAAGGCGGTTGCGTTGGGTGCTAGTTATGGTGGCTATATGATCAGTAAGTGATTCTGGCGAGCCGATAAAAGGACATACGGCGGTTACTGATGCCCTTTCCTCAAAACAGACTGGATCCAAGGCCACCCCCTCGGACGCAAGTTCAAGGCGCTCGTCTGCCACGATGGTGTCTTCAGCACACTGAACCAGTGGGGCAGTGAGGAGCTCTTCTTCCCCATCCACGACTTCGAGGGAACCATTTACGACAACCGCGCCGGATACGAGAAATGGGATCCCGCTCAGCATGTGAACGAGTGGGCTACGCCACAGTTGGTGAGTTCGAACACCTCTACACATACCAGAATTCTAGACTGCAGCAACCCTCCCGCTAACTGCCCACGCTTTTTCTTCCTCCGAAACAGATCATCCACAGCGAACTCGACTACCGTCTCCCCATAACCGAAGGTCTCGCGCCTTTCAACATCCTCCAATCCAAGGGCATTCCCAGCAAACTGGTCATGTTCCCCGATGAGAACCACGTAAGCAGCATCTATTGTGACAGATAACTAAGTCAGAACTCCCGTGTAGTGAGTGGAAGTCGTCCACTGCCAGAATTCCATCCTAGGAGATGACCTTCAAAAAGCTCAGCAGCGAACACCAACCAGTCCTCCCCCGCCACCACCACCTCCTCTTCCTTCTCACTCCGGGCTCTTCTCACTCCGGGCTCAAGGAGCCATGAAGCCTAGCCGTGAAGCAAGCAAGTGATTTGTCCTCACATCCAGTCTACTTTCCAACTTTCCGAATCATCCCAAAGAACCCACCTTCTCAACCCAACCCAACGGGACAATAATCACAAACGCAAACTGCAAATGAAATGAGACACCTCATGCTAACTAAGGACTACCGGAAAAAAAAAGTGGGTTCTGAAGCCGGAGAATAGTCTTGTCTGGCATCAGCAAGTCCTGTCATGGATCAACAAGTACTCCGGGGTGGACAAGGAAACCCAGGAAAAAGTGAAGGAGATAGTTGTTGTGGACGATAATAGGCAGAAGGCGATGTAGTAGGCCAGTCGGGCTTTGTTGTTTGTTTGTCGTATTGGTGAGCAGCAGCATGACTTCATGACTGGGTGGGGTATACGAGGAAGACGGAGTGTGTGTGTGCATGTGCGTGGGCGGCAATTGTGTGGTACGCTTTTTCTTGTTCGGGCCAGGAAATGAATGGTGGTCTTGGAGGAGGAAGACATAATGGCATGGAACCTCTACTGGTGGACGGATATGCACTCTGCACCCAGGAACTCGGAAATTCTTTGGGGACTTTCAGGTTGCAGGCCTTTGTTCGAGGGAGATGTTGCATATTCTTTTTCTACTATCTCTCTACTCTAGCGTAAGCGTATTGTACTTGGGCCATTTTGCTTCTTTCCTTAGTTACTAGCCAGCTCGGTCAATGAATAAGCAGACTTCTGGAGATTGTTTACTCACCCCTGAGTGTACAAGGTGACGAGGCAGGAAAGATGATTGCAGATATTGGTGTCCAACAAGAATGTGGGTTTAATGTGCTATGATACGAGAAAATGTCAATGTCACCAGGGGACTTGTCTTTCTTCGGGGTTGGATATGTTTTAGACGATTGAATCCATAGCTACGCCCTACTCCAAAAAGGTTTAATGATGCCAATGGCCACGGGTTCACGTCACCGGTGCAGCGTGGAACAGGTCTTTTATCCCGGATATTTTATGCTCATAATGATTGCTTTTGAAGCCCCCTTCCGCTTTCCATACAAGGCATGAAACCTTCGTTCCTTCCAGCTTTACCATCTGCTAACATTTTCATCCGAACCGTACGCTCTCGCTTCCCCCCTTTTTCCAAGCACATAACCAAAAATACAAATACGACCGAGAAACAGGGGAAGCCAGCAGGAGACAGGGACCAGATAAGATGAAGTAATGGTATCTTTCCAGTCTTACAAAAATCCGAAGTGCGCCACAAACGCCACTTGGTCGCTGTTGACGACAGACAACGACCAACAAGAGAGATATAGTATGCCAAAAACGACAATCAACACCGAGAAACAAAACATAAAGAAAAAAAAGAAATCATCAGGAAAACATAAGAGTGAAATACAGAATAGCCGCCATGCTCCTTCCTCTTCGTTCTCCTCCTCTGATCCTCATTCCCCCTTCAATCTCCTTCAAGACTAACCGAATAAACCGACTAACTAGACTTGACAAAGTGATGTCGTAACCGCTAAATCAAGACAATGAATGCTTTTGTACAAGGTATGAGCCTTAAAAGTCGTCATGAACCTTTGAAACACCAACACGTAAAAAATTCATGCTTCAAGCCGAGGCTTCGACGGGCTGAGCAGCGGTCTCGATGGAAGGCTGGGGCTCATCGGGGTTGATGGGTTGTTGTTGCTGGGATTGCTGAGCCATCTCGCCACCGGCCTCGCGCTCCGCCCAGTCACCCCAAAGGCCGCGCTTACCGCGGATACGGATGTGACCGCCAAGCGCGCCCTCCTTCTGCTCAACCTTGATGGCGTCCTTGGTCGCAAGCACCAGGCACTCAAAGAACATCTTGGTGGCATCGGCCTTGGTCGTCCTGCCCTCTGGCAAAAGATCTTGGAAGACGACAGCGGTTTTCTTGCGCTTGTCGGCATTGTCAGCGGCCTCAGCGCCAAAGAGATCGCGAAGAATGTGGACCGCGTGCTTGGTGCCGATCGAAACCGGGCCGCTGTCCGCAGGGTGCACAAGGGGTGCAATGGTCTCGTCGAAGTTGGGAACGGGGCTGTTGGCACTCCTAGAGCCAGGTCGCTCTTGGTCTTCGTCGTGGAAGACAGCGCCGTCTTCGTTTGCGGCCAGCTCGATCTCCGTGCCTTCGGCAGTCTCACTCTGATTGCCGTTAATACTCTCGGCGCGGCCGACAACCGTAGATTCGTCATCGGGAAGCTCGAGGCGGGGCGACTTGCGTGTGCCGTCCTCTTCGTCCACCTCCATATCAGCAATCGCACTATCTCGCTTCCTCTTCAGATCGAAGGGACGGAAAGTGGTAAGAGACAACATGTCCGAGAGTTCGTCGGCCCAGCTGTCACTCCGGTTTTCGAGGAGGACATTGCTAACAAACGCTCCGGTTTTCTGCAGGTCGAGCAAAGCCATGAGGTAGGGATCTTGAGTACCGAAAGTCTGCGGCTTGAGGATGTTGTCGCGTTTCGACTGCTGCTCCTTGATCTGGGCGTTCGAGAGCATGGTCTGCTCATCAGGCTGGAGAAGCTTTCTCTTCTTCGACCTTTGGGGGGCGATTATCGTACTGGCGGTTGGGTCCTCGCCAGGTTCGTACATGTCCGAGTTGCTGTGGCGGCTGTACTCCTGCTCAACCTCCTTGGCGAACTCGTCATCGATATCCGACAAGGGAGACTCGGAAATGCGAGCACGAGCCATATCGGGAGCACCTGGGGTAGAAAGGCCTTCAGGAATCTCGGAGTGGTCCCCAACGTGGAACTGGAGGTCGTCATCGCCCATCTGAATATCCCCTTCGTCGTCGTGGATCCGTACGCCATCACCGTAGTCCAAATCAAGTCCCAACGACGGCTCGCGAGTGTTACGCTGCTTGCCGGGTCCAGCACTCAACTCGCTGAAAATGTCATCCTCAACGGCTCTGGCGTCAGGCGCGTCTCTGCCCATTTCGATCGTTGTGTCCATAAACTTGCTCGGCCTATCGTCAATGTCCATGCCGAAGTCCAACTCCAAGCCGAGATCATCATTGTTGGCGAGCGCAAGCTCTTCCTCGTCGACCATGGTGTTATTCAGGAACTGGCTGTTGTTGAAGTCCTCTTGAAGGTTGATGTCGCGCTGGCTGGCACGGACTTGCACCTTGCGAGCCATGATAGGAGCGCCAGTAACCTCTTCGATCTGTGACGCCAGGTAGTCGGCGCTCGGGGGTGGCAGTAGATCGAGGTTATCATATGGCGTGATCTGATCGGGAAGCATGAGAGATTCACTGTTTTGAACATGTAGGTTGGTAGGAATATCGTGGTTTCCAGTAGATCGGAAGGCCTATGACAAGTTAGCAGGCGAGCGGAACCCAAAACAAGACAGACTGGGCCTACCATCTTGATTTTCATCAAGGCCTCGTTACAGTCATCGAGGAGGTACCTCGCTTTGCGGCTGTAAATGCGCACGACACCGAGGAGCAGCTGACCGCTCAGCCGAAGGGCCAGCGGTGCATCGTTAGGGGCAATGATGGCATCGACACTGTCTTGGAGGTTGTGCTGCAAAATCTGGACCTTGGAGACTTTGCGCTCTTGGTTGGCCGAGAGCCAGGCTTTCGCCAACGGCCCTGTGGCACTAAGGAGGGTGCCGGACCAAAACATGGCGACGAGAGTTTCTTGTTAGGTGTAGCAATGGGACAGCAAGTATACGGAGCAAATTGGCGGCGACGAGATTGGTGTTGATAAGCGACCGGGCTATGGCGCAGCAGTGCGGTGTCGGTTGCTGCCCGCTGTGTTTTTCGCGATGCCCGGATAGGTGGTGTGTTGTGGCGGTGGTGAGGTGGGTAGGGACACGGCAAGCGAGAGCGCGTCGTTTGGAAACCAAAGCTCAGCAAGCAGCAGCAGCAGCAGGGAAGGGCGCGTTGAAATTACAGACTGCAAGGACCGTGGGCGCTACTCGTACACATGTGCAGCAGCAGCAAGGAGAAAGCGCATTCGGGTCAATTGTTGAAGAATCGCTCAGCAATTGTTTCAGGCACCGAATCCGAAAGCCGCGATTGTGATGCGACAACCAGCAGGGTTGGATGGCGATGATGAAGCTAGTGTTGTTGTTGGGCTGAAAGAGTGGGAAGAGAAGAAGAGGGGATCTGTGACAAGAGCGGCAGCGAAGCTCCAGGTTCTGGCGGACGATTCAGGATTGGGACGACCCGGCAGAGACCGGGGTCTTGAGTGAGCGAGCGTCAGTGCATTTGCGGGAGAGCGAGTGGATACACAACAAAATTCCGACGCCGCTATGAAATCTGAGAGGCTGGGCTGATGTCCTAGGAAACAGTCCCACCAGCCACTTCTGGAATTGGACTTGAAGTGGCTTGATAGCACCTGAATCCGTTCGTCTTCCGAAATAGGGCAACTTCTTACAGTAACATGGTTAACAACCACCAATGAGCCGAGGGACGCCGTCGACGTCAGCAAGAAGTCTCTCCATCCGTCAAGTCGCCCTCTTTCATTGGTTAGCCTTTGCTATTTACCTTTGCAACCTGTTGAAGACACATTGAAAGACGTGGTTCGTGGTGTGGTCCTTTGGCTGTGGCTAAACTGGGGAAGGCGGTAGGGGGACCCAGCTTCGGCACGGTACACCCTGGCCAGTCACGCCAGTGTATTCGTAACCTTCAACGACCAGTTCACCATGCCATAATTTTGGTGAAAGGGGGGTTCGTTTTCTGCCGATCGTTCGGCTTTTGAATATGCCCAAATTTGAGGATCAACCGTGGAGCAGCGAGGGTTGAAAGGCCGGAGTACGAGCTCGCTGACTTCCATCATGAAAATATCACCAGTTGTTGTCTGTCGTGACTTGAAGGGAATTGTACCGATGCAGCAAATCATGTCCGGGTACAATGCAGCAACGAAAGGGTAGAGGCTTGATGAGAGTACATACCAGACCTATGTACCTCTATGGCAAGCATCATATGCATGTTTGGTGCACCGACGGGCTGATACCTATCCTGACTGAAAAGATGAGTCGAATGGAACACCTAGAAGGTAGGTATTCATAAGGCTGCAAAGACCGCTACTCGCAACCTCCAGAACTCCATCCAAAAAGCTTCTCAATCTTGCTGTTTAATGTTGCCCCTTTTCAGCCTCGCACGCTTCTCCGCAAACAGTCTAGCAAGCAGGAGGAAAGGGCAAAGCGCCGCTGTCGTGGGGTACCGAGACATTTGGATGACCACTTTGAACCGGCAGTGCTCGCCCACTCTACCGCTCTCTCCCTAGTGCACAGCACCACAGAGAGTACGTACCCGCCACCTCATCCCAGCGAGACTTGGATCGGTCTAGATAATTGGCGAGTCTGGATCCTCGATCGAACTCCATCCAGCAAAAGGGTAACCCCATACGAGTCCCATACCCATTACAGGCCCGGAGCCATACGATAAATATAATCCTACGCGGCCCGTCTCCAAAATCTTTCCGTCTCCAACTCTCAGGGGCCGCCATGATCTTCTTTTCCGTTTGTCTGTATTAGTTGTAAACCGCCCTTTCTCTTTCCACCTAGAACTACCCCTTCGGACGCTCCTTATCCTCGACTTTGACCACCGTCTGCTAGGTGCTGCCGCTGCAGCTGTGCATGACGTTCGGCCTGGATTTCTTATCCCTTTCGGGCCCCTTTGCGCCCGGGCCTTATTAGACCACATACCTTACCACTACTTTTAGTTCGGCACTTCACGTCTTCGCCTCCGCCTTTCTCATAATACCTCTCACGAGCGAGCAACAACCGTTCTCACCATCATGGACCGACTTGGTGGGCGGAAGGACAATGAAGATGTCCTTCCCTTCTACCAAAAATCCCCTGGCCAGGGCACCTTTGCGACTCTCGAAGAAATCGAACAGTCGCGGTCCGGCTGTAACACGCCGCGACACCGCATTACGTCTGCGGAATCAAGAGTAGGCTTCGACCCCATGACATTGCCTGTGGCATTGACACGTCAAGCCAGTCCGGAAACACTGACAGACGAGCAAAACAGGGCGTGGCCGATGACTTCTCCTACATGACCCCCGCCGAAGCCGCCATCCACCTCGACACCTCTCTTACACACGGCTTGACTCCGGCCGAAGCCCTCTCGAGACTACACGATTACGGCCCAAACGAGATCCCCCACGAGGACCCCGAGCCTCTCTGGCTGCGATTCGTGAAGCAGTTTCAAGAGCCTTTGATCCTCCTTCTCCTCGCCTCTGCCGGTGCGTCTATAGTTGTCGGAAACGTCGACGATGCCGTCAGTATCTCGGTTGCCGTCACCATCGTTGTGAGCGTGGGCTTTATCCAGGAATATCGTTCGGAAAAGTCCATCGAGGCACTCAACCACTTGATTCCTAATCATGCGCACCTGGTACGGAAACACACCGGAGCGAAACCCGTTGATGGCGACGATTCCTCCGACATTGGCGATGTTGCTGGCTCGGTTACACCCCCCGAAGATGTTCTGGATGCGAAATCATCCAAGGTCATGGCTGCACAGTTAGTGCCTGGGGATCTGGTTCTCTTCACAACCGGTGATCGGATTCCTGCCGATATCCGAGTCACTAAGGCTACGGACCTTACAGTCGACGCGTCCAACCTCACTGGAGAAAATGAGCCCGTCAGAATCATCGCCGAAGCCCGTACTCGTGGCGGAGCCCCTGGTCCCGCCACCGACAAAGATAACTCGACCAACGTTGTATACATGGGCACACTTGTGAAGTCCGGATATGGGCAAGGTGTTGTCTTTGCTACAGGAGGAAACACGCATTTTGGAACCATCGCAACTAGTGTATCTGGAACCGAAAGCCCTCGCTCGCCTCTGCAACTGTCTATGGACGATCTCGGCTCTCAGCTCAGCAAGATGTCTTTCGTGATCATTGGTCTGATCTCTCTCGTTGGTTGGTTGCAAGGAAAGAAGCTCCTCGAAATCTTTACCATCTCCATTTCTCTGGCAGTGGCGGCTATTCCCGAGGGCCTGCCCATTATTGTCACTGTTACTCTTGCTTTGGGTGTGCACCGCATGGCAAAGCATAACGCCATTGTGCGCAAGATGCCCAAGGTTGAGACCCTAGGATCTGTAAATGTTGTGTGCTCAGACAAAACCGGTACGTCCAAATACCACTCGACAACAGGTGACACAAAACTAACTGTGAGCAGGAACCTTGACCATGAACCACATGACTACTGCCAAGATGTGGTTTTTCGGCACCGACGACGCTCTGGACGTGGATTCTGACGATGAAGCTACCGAGACCAAACCCGACCCCGCCACTCTTAGAATCCTTCGTATCGGTAATATCGCCAATAATGCCCGTCTTGCCATGCAGTACACCGAAAACGGTGCTGGGGCTCGCGCGGTCCTCTCTTCTACCCAAGGAAAGAATGCCCCATCGACGTATACTCGTTGGGTCGGCCAGCCCACAGACGTCGCCATGCTTGACTTGCTTGATCGCTTTAAGGAACACGATGTTCGCGACTCCATCGGTCCTCGCGTGAGCGAAACTCCCTTCAGCTCCGAGCGCAAGTGGATGGGTGTTACTATCGGCTCGGAAGGAGGAAAGTCGGACAAGGAATTTGCCTACATCAAGGGCTCTATCGACAAGGTTCTTGATGCGTGCGATACCTATCTCTCCAAGGATGGCCGGGAATTTGTTATGGATGCCAACAGACGCCAGGAAGCGATCGAAGCCGCCGAGAAGATGGCCTCGCGAGGTCTCCGTGTTTTGGCTTTTGCTAGCGGTTCTGTCACCAGATCCGCCAAGAACAAGTCGTCTGCCACGAGCACTGTCGAAGAACAATACAAGGGTCTTACCTTTGCTGGTTTGGTTGGCATGAGCGATCCGCCGCGTCCCGGTGTTTCCAGGTCTATCAGGAAGTTGATGCGTGGCTCTGTCAAGGTCATCATGATTACGGGTGATGCCGAGACGACGGCCGTTGCGATTGGAAAACAGCTCGGTATGAGTGTTGCTACCCCAACTGAGGGCGCGCCCAACACTTCAGGTGTCAGATCTGTTCTGCGCGGAGATGAGATTGATTCCATGACGGAAGCAGAGCTGGCTGCGGCCATGGACCATACCACCATCTTCGCTCGCACGAACCCCGACCACAAGCTCAAGATTGTCAAGGCTCTGCAGTCTCGTGGTGATATTGTCGCCATGACGGGTGACGGAGTCAACGACGCTCCCGCTCTCAAGAAGGCTGATATCGGTATTGCCATGGGCAAGCACGGAACCGATGTCGCCAAGGAGGCGGCCGACATGATTTTGACTGACGACGACTTTTCTACTATTCTTCATGCCATCGAAGAGGGCAAGGCCATCTTCAACAACATCCAGAACTTCTTGACATTCCAGCTCAGCACGAGCGCTGCTGGTTTGTCTCTTGTGCTGCTCTGCACCTGCTTGGGTTACAAGTCGCCGCTCAATGCCATGCAAATTCTTTGGATTAGTAAGATAAATCCCCCTTATTCCCAATTTCATCCGACCTTTACTAACAGACGCTTTCCAGACATTATTATGGACGGCCCTCCTGCACAGTCTCTGGGTGTTGAGTCTGTCGATAAGGACGTCATGAACCGTCCTCCTCGCCGTAGAGGCGATGCAGTTCTCACCAACCCTCTTATTGCCCGTGTGCTTACCCAGGCTTTCATCATTATGGTCGGTACCATGCTAGTGTACAAGCACGAAATGTTGGGGGACGGACAGGTCACCCGTCGCGACACCACCATGACCTTCACCTGCTTCGTTCTCTTCGATATGTTCAACGCCCTGGCCTGCCGGTCGGAGTCTAAATCCATTCTTCGCGGCGAGATCGGGCTGTTCTCAAACGCGCTGTTCAATTGGGCCGTCTCGCTCAGTTTGGCAGGACAGTTGCTTGTTATTTACTTCCCGTGGCTGCAGGAAGTTTTCCAGACTGAGGCGCTCGGGCTCCTTGATTTGGTGTACCTGATGTTGCTATGCAGTACAGTTTTCTTTGCTGATGAGCTTAGGAAGTGGTGGAAGTACGGGGGAAGGAGACATATGGGTGTTAACTACAGCCAGGCTGTATGAGGCCGGTGTAAGAAGAAGGGCGAGAAAGACTTAGACTAGATGAGGTGGTACATGGTAAAGTAACCACGTACCAGGTTTTGATGATGAACTTATACATACACTACAACATTGGATTTAAATAGTAATATACCATCGGCCTCTGAATGGTCAGATTTGGATAAATCTGGTGTTGGCTCACTCACAGACGTATCTGCTTCATACGAAGTGTCTCGCAGTATCTCTCAAGATTCAGGGGTATCGTCAACTGTTGTGGTAGTGGCCGGTGCTGGGATCCTGGCAGGTGCCCCTGCAGTGCCGTGGGGCTCAATCACCGCCTGTCGTCTGTGGTGGCACCGGGCCCCCGGTCTGCAGTGACATCTGTCCCTCCCGCTAGAGCCTCGACGTCCTACACCACCTTTATAGCTTCGAAACACCGAAGTACACGACCACCACGCAGGGCATCAAGTGCAAAGCAGCGATGCGTTGCCAGCGTCCACACGGCAATACCGATGTCTGCCCTCTCCAATGGCGTCGATACCACAGCTTCGTCGTCGAAGATGCCCTCCACAGCTCCAACAAGTACAGCAGCCACAGCAGCTAGAGGTACCCCAACAACTGGCGCCATCAACAATAATGTCACGAATCCCTCCTTAAGCACCACGGCGAACGCTACGAACAAATCCCACGATAAGACAGCACCGCTCTCCCTTCAATTGTCAATAAGGAGCATCACCAACCCCCAAAATGGCGGTGCCAACGATGCGAACACAGCAGCAGCAGCAGACCCGGCCCTCGTGGCCCTCCGCACCGCCTCGTCCTCATCCGACATCCGCGCCGCCCTTTCCGCCCTCCACGCCCGCGAATCGTCCCTAACAACCCGCTTGTCCTCCGTCCTCGCCTCCCACCAGGACCTCGCCCGTTCGCTTTCGCGCCTCGATAACCTGCGCGCCGGCCTTGGCTCCCAGGTGATCGCCGCCCGTTCCGTCAGTAATAACATGCTAGCGGGAGCCGCCGACACCGCCTCCCACCTGTCCAGCCGCGTACGCCAGCTCGACCTCGAGAAGCAGCGCGTCGAAGATACCCTGCGCGTGGTGGAGCAAGTGGCGGAGCTAAAAGCGTGCGTGGCGGGTGTGGTGGGCAGCATGGGCGCCCCGCAGGACTGGGAGGCTGCCGCGGGGTATATTGCCAGGGCGGCCCGCGTGCCAGAGGAGATTGTGCGAAGCGGGTTTGCGGCGGCGGTAGTGCCGACTGTTGAGGTGCCTGATGCGCCGTGGGTGACGCTGGAGAATGCCAGGGAGAGCTTGTGCGTGTTATTCTTGAGGGAGTTTTGGAAAGCGGCGAAGGAGGATGATCCGGCGAAGATTACGCGGTTCTTTAAACTTTTCCCGTTGATCGGAAGGGGGGATGTTGGACTGGATGCGTACGGGCAGTATGTTTGCCAGGGCGTGGCGGATAGGGCGAGAGCGATACTAAAAGATGGAGTTGGGGCGCTGGGAGGAACTGATGCCAATGCTCCGGCGACCCTAAGACCGAAAAAGGATGGCATTTTCTATGCTAATGCGTTGAATATGCTGTTTGGACATATCACGCAGATCGTGGATGGCCATGGTGGCTTGGTCGAGAGGCACTATGGCGGGGGCAAGATGATCAAGGTTATTGAACGGTTGCAGGGCGAAGCAGATGTGCAGGGCGGCATCATCGTGGACTCTTGGAGTGATGAGCGTGGTGTCGACCGGGCATTGACAGATGTGAAGAGCTATCCGTTCTCGTTTCTTGTGCAGAGCTTCCTGCCACAGAACCGTGGGTTTGGAGCTCCGCCGCGCCTCAACTCTCCTGCTCCTGGCACCGATGGTCGCAACAGCGAAGATGAGGGTGTCAGCATGAGGGAGGTGGATGCCCTGCTCAGTGAGATAGCCATCATGCTAAGCAGGTGGTCCGCTTACTCCCAGCTTCTTGCCCAGAAGTGCATGGTAAGTTTTCCGTATTCTGTTCACTGAGACGTTCATAGCTAACTTGGGGTTGTCACAGGAGCCTGGCGTTCCAGAAGACGTACCATTAACCATGCCCGAGGTGCTCACCAAGTCAAACCTGAGCCGAAAGGTTTCAGGCAAGCTTGTCTTGCCATACAATGTTCTAACCACTTTCTTCTTCCGGCGATCTGTAGAGAAAGCATTCCAGCTAGACGAATGGCCGACCGGACTGTCCTTGAGGATGAGCAAACCCATCGACAGCAGCCCGCCATTTATCATTTCAGCAGTTGAAGATGTCATGTACATCGCGAACACGGTGATCATCAGATCCATATCTACGTCTCAGAGAGGCGTTATAGACTCTGTTCTCCCTACAATATCGAGCTTACTGGGCTCGGACTTGGTCGGCATGATTCAGCGCAAGATGCGTGATGAGTGCTACCCCAAGCCCGTGATCCAAGGCGGGTTCCCACCAGAAGACAAAATCATTCAATTCATTGTGCTCATCAACAGTCTCGACATGGCTGAGGAATATCTCACCCGCATTATCACCGGCATCCTGACTCCCGGAGAACAATCAGCCAATGGCGGTAGCGGCGCTCCCTCGCAGGCCAGCTCCCTCAGGAACTCCTTCCCGTTCAAGAACGACCTCAAAGAAGTGACCACCCGCCTGAACAACCTCCACCACTCATTCACAGCCAAGGCCACAGAGCTACTAAGCGAAGGCATCAAGGTCCTCTTCAGCCAAGTCGTCCGCCCTCGTCTGCGTCCCATTCTCTCCGACACCTTCCGCGACGCCGACTACACCATGACCGAGGAGGAGCTCCTCGACCTGTGCGCCGCGAACGACGAGAACGAGGACGACGTGCTCGAGCAGGTGACGCGCCGCTTCGAGGAGGGCTGGGATGCCCTCATGAAGCCGATCGCGCGCCTCATGACCCCCAAGACTTTTAGCACCGTCCTGGACCACACGGCGCAGCACCTGGCGCGCTGGCTGGAGAAGCGCGTGTGGAACTATGCGGGCTCGCAGACTAGGGGAGCGAGTCCGTATGGCGCCATCAGGATGGAGAGAGATTTCAGTGGGATCATTGGCACCATAAGCAAGGGCAACTATGCGGTGCGCGAGGTGTTTGGGCGCACGTTGCAAATACTGATGGTGGCGAATATGGAGGATGAGGAGTGGGAGGAGCTGATTGTTATGGATGGGGCGGCGGGTGAGGATGGGGAGGATGGCATGTTGTGGGTGCTTAGTGAGGATGAGAGGAGGAAGGCGAGGACGATTGTTCGGGTGGCGTAGGTTGTTGTAGTTGTTGTGCTGTTCTAAAGACTTTTCTCCCATGGCAGAGCGTTTGAGTTCGTTATTACCAAACATACATAATATACTGGGCGTTCATTGTTCCGTTCGACCACCCAATTATTCAACAGTGCGCTAGGGGTCAAGTCCGCTGTTGATCTTCATCAACCACATCGCATGGAAATGCACTTGGCCAGATGGTAACCCAAAGGCAACACAATTGCATACGACAGCTTCAACATCACTTGAAAGACAGCCTCCGATCTCCAGCGCGCTTTCATCGCCGCATTATCAACCGAACTGTCCAACCCAGCAAGTTGGACTGGGGTGTCTCGACCTCATCGAGTTCGCTCAATACGCTTACATACACATCTGGTGGTCTAGATGCGGTGAGTCCCAACCCGGATATGAATTGCAAGCCGCCTCAAAGACAGATGCCAAAGGGGCTATCTTTGTCCCTTGGTATACTGTGTAAAGGCTTTGTTTGCGTTCAGGAACCCGGAGGGATGCCTTTGTTATATCCCTTTAGACCCCTCTTCTTGTTCACACATTCAAAGCCATCTTCTTTAACACGCTTTGTGCGTATATACACGTGTACTTGATAAGGCGGCGATGCGGCATGGCATTCCGTCGTCGGACTGCCAGACCGCTTTGCCGGCTTTTCGGTACCGAGTCTCTCAAGTAGGAGGCCTTGATTTTCATTCGGTGGAGTGTCTGCCTTTTGCTTACCACACGTGTACGTGTAGTAGTGTACTTCTTTCACTTGAGCACACGTGTAGTTACCTAGTCAGCTTGTAAGCGTCGTACTCGCGATCGATCGTTGGTAAAAATCCGAAAATGTACCTACACTAGTATGTAACAACGAAAGATTCTGCAAGCAGCGCGCGGCAAAGACATCATCATTGTGATGCTGAATTGCTGATGGGTGTGTGGGCCGTGGGGGCACAACGGCGAAGACAACCACTTTAGGTAAACCTCTTTGAGGTTGCATTTTGCAGAGTTTGCAGTTTTGGATGATCAATGGATTTATTAAGTTTTTGTTGAGTGAAAAAGGGATGCGATGTGATGGTTGCGGTTCAGTTTGCCACTTGCTATGCTAGTTCGGTTGTTGGTCGGTTGGTTGTTGCAAGATGCACAGAAGACTTGGAAGAGGGTGAGAGTTGGGTTGGTTCCTCTTGGTCTTTTGCAGGTGATCGGCTCGCACATCACTTCATCCCTAAACGGAACTATTCCTGCTCCCTTGAGCCTTTTCATTGAAACCGAGACTCCCTTTCCCTTTCTCAAAATGAATGGGGAATAGGGTATGATATGTTTTGGAAGCATCAAAGCGAAGGCAGCCAGAGATTGAGCTACTACTCAGGATGCTGGGCTACATAAGCACCAAAATGTATGCAGTTTAATATCTAACTTTCCATTGGCGCGATGACCGAGTGGCCTAAGGTGTTTGACTCGAATACCCTATTCGAACATATCAAATCTCTTCGGAGGCGCAGGTTCAAATCCTGCTCGCGTCGTTATCCTTTTCTTTTGGCATTTTTTTCATAGGCCTGCCTTCTTTTTCTTACGCATGGAAAGCTGTTCTTTTTTCCCCTTTTCGTTGGAGTCTTTTTTTTTTTTTTTTTCCATTCATTCGCATGTTGACCTCATGAGTGACCTTTTGCGGCTGCGTCTTCGGAGATTTAAAGGTACCACAAGCGCCGTCCGACGCAGTTGCCAGTTGCACAGAAAACGTCAGATACGAGAAGGAGCAAATCAGGGGTCAGAACGCCAAATCCTCCTTCCAATTTCTGGAATGTCTTCAAAGTCGTGTCTCCCCGCTCCTAACCAAGAGGGTAATTCCCCCTTGCAGTTTTTGGCCTTGTCTCCAATTCTATAATCAACGCACGTCATTTCCTGTGATACCCTAGCGAATTGCAAGGCTATTACCAACTCTAGGAAGGTGGAACAACCAAGCGTCCTGTCATTACCGGTATCTCTAGGCGATATCAGCGTACTATGTATAAGAACGGCTGAGACGGTCACCGCCCAAGCCCAGCCCATATATGGGAGTCCTTTTCTCTTTTTCCTCGGCTTGTCATGTATGGTGTCATGTAAGAAAATCCGGCGGCGCACTCCGCGCATGGCGTCCGAACCTGCTGCGAATGCGTGGAAGACAGGAGAAGCCAGGAGGACGGGGACAGCATGGTAGCAAGCATGCGGGTGACATCCGACGTGGCACGCATACAATGGTGGAGGATGCCTTCTCTCCATTCCAATGTCTTGACGGTGACTCTCTCGCAGGGCTGGCGACCGTAACGGCAAGCAACATGTTTCCAAGTTTCCAGTTAAGTCCTCTGAGCCGGCTGCAACCTCACCGCATCCGGGGACCCAAAAAAAACTCTTTTAACGTACCAAAGGGTCGTAGGTAGGCTCGCTTGGGAATTCTGGGCTGCTGGGTGCAATGCAAGAGAGCCTGGCGAGAGCCTGGCCGGCGCATGCCAAGTGGTTGGCACGGCCAGTCAGCAAGAAAACCATATTCGGCATTTCATTTTGGTAATTTGCGATGGTCAGGGAAGAGGCCGGATCGCCAGCAGTGGAATTGAATTGGATGGTGGACACGGGCCATGATGGTGGGTGGATGGTGTGCTGGATGCGGTGGGCTGTGGTGCGGGTGTCTCAATGGCCGATGAGTTTGCCCGTCCACGTCTGTTCCTTGCAGATTTTCAGGTACCAGCCAATCAGACGGCACCGGCTTCGCATGCGGCATGGTACCTGACAGGGGTTGTTGTTCCCGCCTTTTTTGCGAATCTCGCTGGTCAAGCGGTTTGCGCGTTCGCTCGGCCTTCCTTCCAACATCGTCCTTCTTCATCGTTCGGCTTCGACGCCCAACAAGGGACAGGGGTGGTGGCGATGGCCGGGGCAACAGGATAATAATCCCTGCCATCTCTTGGAAAGACTGTTTGTCATTCGACGGTTTGCCTTTGAACCCAATTTAATTGCGGTTCCCCAATCCCGCGGCGGGCCCAGGCTTGTCAGGCTCCTCCGACTAGGGTGAGTGACAAGAGTTCTGGGTGCCAGGCACAGAGTGACAACGAAGCACCAGATCCAGCTGAGTGCCGCATGGCAAGTGGCACTGGGAGTCGGCGCCGAAAAGTCTTCTCTCCCAATCCCAGCGGGGACTGACCAATGGTGTCAAGGCAGTCGTGGAAAGGAAGCCAATTTAGCTCATCGGCTGTGTCCAAGCGTCCCGTCGGGAAACTGTCTTGGGAAGGGACCATCAGTTGCTTCAAAAGGGTCCGTTCCCACCTCCTTCCCCAGTTTATGCCGCTCTCTCGATCTTCCTGTTTTCTTTCCCCCTTCAACCACCGCTATCCCAGCAATCATCAGACTCATTCGCTTGTTGCTCCGGCTTCAGCCCCACGCTCCTTTACAGCACATCACAATTATCAACGAGTTGAGAATCCCGAGGATCTACTCTCTCCACGTCCCCTCGACACTTTCAAGGCAGGCCTCATCAAAACAGCTCATCAGCCTTACAACAAAACACAACAGCATCACCTTCACAAACACAGACTTTCAAAATGCAGTTCAAGAGCATCCTCACCGTCTTGGCCACTGGCCTCTCTCTGGTTGCCGCCCAGGAAGCCGCCGACAGCACCATGACCTCCACTGCCACCATGACTTTGACCGTCACCATCACTTCCTGCAACCCTACCGTCTCCAACTGCCCCGGCAACGCTCCTGCTACCAGCACTAGCACCAGCTCCATCGAGACTTCCAGCGTCGTCCTCACCACCTCGTCTGCGGCCCCAGTTGAGACCACCTCTTCCAGCTCGATCGTTGTCATCCCCACCACCAGCTCTTCGTCTACGCTGTCCTGGTCCTTCCCCCAGGTCAACTCGACCACTCTCGCTGGTCCTACCGCCAGCGCGCCTCTCACCTCGGCCTTCATCACCCAGACCCAGAGCGCAATCGTCACTGCCAGCGAGCCCGCCAGCCCTTCTGCCCCTGTCACTGGTGGTGCTGCTGGCCTTGCCGCTCAGTCTGGCCTCTTGATGGGCGTCCTGGCCTTGGGCGCCGCTCTCTTGGCTTAAATGTCTTGATCTAGTCTTGTGACTGGGCCATGTACATAACAAGACCATCAGTTGCATACTTTATCATCAACATCATCTTCGCGCGCCATCTACTGGACCGTGATTTTAACGACCGCATCCGAATTTCCTTCTTTTTCTGGTGCTACTTTTTTTTTTTTTTTTTTCGACTTTCGATTCTGATTACTCAACGGATGATACCCGTATCTTTTGATTCTTGAACAACAATGGGGGTGGTGTTACAATGGCTTGGGGCTTCTTTGGCGGCGGGAAAAGGGATTTTTCTTTGTTTGATACCACAACATGCTGGACAAGCCCACAAAAACCTTTTTGATATTTTTTCCCTTTATCCTCAGACAAAAATTTGTTCCATTGGGGTCACTGGTTGGCATATTCTTAGAAAGGTTTTTAGAGAAACAAGGATGCTCGACATCAGGGTGGCTTATTGGTTTGTTAAGACCTACTAAGCCAACGGCGTCGGGGTGGAAAAGAAAATGGAATGGTGTCTATACAGAGAAAGGTTTCATGTCGCTCGACGACGACGTACCTAGGCGAACATATGTCGTATGCGATTATGTGCCGCCGAAAATGGAATGGGATATAACAGTCAAAGAACTGAATAATTCTCCAGTGTGACCACAATGTTTTTGCGATAAACACAGTTCCGTCTCCGACTGACGTAACTAGTCTCTGCCTTCTGTTTCATGTGGTAATATCGTTGTTCAGCCCTATCGTCGTGGAGGAAATACCGATGCACGCTAGAATAGGCTTTTGAAACCTTGTCTCAATGTAGCCCCCCTCCCTCCCCATCATGGATCAGCAGCTCGTCACGGGAAGTGATAATCTCACAAACGTAGTCTTGGGACTGGGAAGGCTGATGACTCCGCAACTAACGTCGTCGATCGTTCTTTCGTGTCTATCCGACCAGCCTCAGTGTGGATATTACATAGTTAGGTACACGGACGACGCCGCTTATAACCTCAGCTGTCTGCACAATGTCCGACACCCATTGCTCTCGAACCTTGTGCAAGACTTCCTTCTACCTTCCCGATACTTCCCTCCCATTAATCCAACGCGCTGTTTCCATCCCGATGAACAAAACAGCGGCGCCTTCGCTTCTGACAAAGTTTTTTCATCCCTCCTCGTTGTGCTTTCGATTCTCGTCCATTACTCGCATCTGATTATTCATGTTCTTGGTGGTTCTCAAAATTTCCGATAGTGTAGCCTTTCTCTTCTGTCTTACTGTCGTCTTAACAGTTCCCCTTTGCGCAGTTCGCGCATAGACTCTGGGTCCCTGGAACTACCGCCCTGCACCCGTGTGTCGCGTGGTGGTCACAGGGCTTGTCGGCCATGGTGGCTTTGGTATTGTATTATCTATCTTCAAGATCAGCATTGAACGCCAAAGCCTCTCCGAACAAGTGTTCGTACTTTTTTTCTTCTATAGACTTCTTGTCTTCCTTCGATGGGGCAGAAGAGCTGGGAGAATTTGTTGAACGAATGACCAAGGTGTGATTGTAGTTGATGTCGGTGAGCCGGTTTCGATCGCACCTATTCGAACAGACAGGACGAGACATCTACTGACCTAACATCGACTTACATACTGAACCCGCGAGGGGGGCATTGAAGTTCTTATACCCTCTACTGCCCATTTCCTTGGATCCGAGTAGAAATGACCTTGTCCAACATGGGTATGTAGCAACACAAGGTACCGAAGATGTGGTTCGCTGACATACGCTATCTGTTGTACCACGTTCTGTAAACTGTTGTTGCGGTTGCTGTTGTTGTATGCCAGGAAACGCATGTATGTATGTCTCATGATCAGGGGTGAAATGGGAGGTGTGACGGGTAAACAATTCCAGACTTCCGATTCGGTGATCCAGGGTGACCCAAGGTGACCCAGGGTAGTGTTAAAACAACTTTGACGTGCAGCCAAGGGGTATACTATGACTACATTAGTTAGGCTACGTGATAAGGGTCGGTAGTCTAAAACCTCGTCAACATCCAGGTGAGTGTTACTATAAAAGTATCGTGCATTGCATGTCTCAGTTTCTCTTCTAGATCGAATGCAGAGCACACATGTGTGCTCTGGTGATGGGATGTTACATCCTCTAGGCGGTGTAGAACCGTAGATATGACAATGGTCACTTTTGGAGGTTGGGATTGGTCAATGGCTTTATCCTTACCTGGCGTACTTACCATACGAGCATACCTCCCATGGCCATATGTATTCCCAAGCTTTTGGAGCTATACACCATCTTCCACCGAACTTAAATCAATGGGTTGCTATAAATGTCACATTGGCATGGTCACAATTTGAGTACTCACCGACACGAACGACATGTCAAAACACTGGAGCGGCGAACGATGTACCTCCACAGCCCGCTCTTTCCAAAGTTAGCCAGACCTCAACCGTCTTTCTGAACAGGGTCGGTCGGTCTTGCAGTTGCTGTACACACATGATTTTTTGTGTTCTTCCCGCCGCTGAATTCCTGTCATAAGTCAGTCGGACCAGGGGCCTGTAAAGTGGGAGAACAACAATCGAGTTTGGTACCTTTGCGTAACAGCCACATCGCGGACTCTATGCCGAGCGTCGCCGTATGCTGTAATGCAGTGGATGTTCGACGATTTGGTGATCTCTTCATCTTCGGTTGCCAAGTAGATGTGAGGCAGTACTGGGAGAAAATCTTGCGAGGATGTTGATAGTCGGTTAAACTTGAGTAAGGTACCTCTGGAGGTAGGCAAGAAACACCCGCTGGGGGTGCGCCTTCTATGTAGTGCGGTGCCGGGAGTCGAGATGGAATTCCATTGTTACCGAATCCCCGGCGTTCGCTCTTTCCCTGGAATACGCCAAAGAGAGATAACTTGAAAAATACGCAAGAGCACGGCACTTGGCGCCGCTGTTTCAAGGAAGGCATCCAGCCCTCAAACACCTTTGGTGACGGCCGGAGTCCGGGACGTGGCAATTGCGGCCGATTGCTCTTTAAGACTGATGCTTGACATCACCGCATCACGACACAATGAACGCACCGTCACGCTGACCGGTGGAGAGATGGAGGGAAAACGATATGAGCCCAACACTGTATTATTTTAATTGTTCCATCCCAGAAAGATCACTTTCCCACTCTACGTTACCTATCGGGCACCCGTATCTCTCCTTGCACAGGGACCATAATCCCCGTAGATAGCCCTTCCTCCATTTTATTCAGTCCTCATAGGCAGCCGTCGACCACCAATTCAAGGCTCGCTAGTACCCTGGAAGTTAACGCTAGTGCTCTTCTTTCCACCAGCGGCCTTGTCAAGCTCAATGTTCTTGTTAAGCTTCTTGGTCTCTTCGGCGATTTTGGCCGAGTTGTCCTTGCCCCCCTTAGCCTGCTCGATCTGCTGGGCGAGGGTGAAGAGCTTGAGCTTGAGGACCTTGTTCTTAATCTTGCCGACCTGGAGGGCCGCGCCAGCCGTGGTCTTGGTACCGCCGGCAGCGTTGATGGCCTCGTTGAAGCCGCCCGCCTTGGTCTCGGCGTTCTCGGCGGTCTGGCGCGCGGCTTTGATGATGGCCAGGTCGGCGTCGGAGACGGAGGCTAGGTTGTTTTCGTCGATCTGTTTGCGAGAATTGTTAGATACGTGTGCGGCACAGAAGGGTTGTTGGCGGAAAAGTGAGAAGGACGGAATGACTCACAGGAAACTTTGCCTTGACTTCGGCCAGGGCGTTACCACCAACGCCGCTGGATACTTGGAACTGGGAGTAGCTTTGGGCTGAAAGAGCCCGCTTGCTCAAGTCCCGGGTGTCGACTGCGCAGGGCGCAGCGAGGGTGGACGTAAGGAGAGTGAAGACGAAGGCGAACTTGAACTGCATTTTGACTGTTGGAGGATGTTTGAACCGTCGAGGTCCTGGTATAGAATGAAAATGTTTTTGGGATGAAACGCAGAAAATGTAGAAAGTACAACTAAAAGACAGCACGGCTGTAAATCGAAAAGAATGTTTAAGTGAAGGGCTTTGATAGAGGATGAGAATGGAGGAAACACATCGGCCACTCTCGCCGGATGCTCTTCCATCTTATAGAACATGTTCGGACCAGCTTGGTCAGTTTGAAACATAACTATCCGCCTGAAGCACTACCAGGCCACTGTGGTCTGTGTTTGAGACCCAGCTTCAACTGGAAGCTCCCTCAAATCCCAACACCTGCCCGTATTTCCAAACATGTTTCCCCGAATGACACTCATGGTTCGTGGTAAAATATGCCACCCAAACCACGTTGGAGCCCCTTTTGAGGGCGAAAGACAAGGGAATGGCTAGGGCCAAGGAAAGATCCGGTGCCTTTTCACTGGGTTCTTGTTTCATTTGCAGTCGGCGGGTTTCCCAAGATCCCAACTATACCGACCTGGTGATATCGGTGCCGGGCGGTTAGAGTTGCCATCAGGTGACTATGGGTATGGTTGCCCAATTGTAGGAGTTGACAATTCCCCTTCAAGATGCCAAGAGCTGTCTCAACAACGTCGCACCTTTTGGACTTCCCCTGACAGCCTCATACCCCTGCATCATGGGAGTGTTGTTGACCCCTTCGGTTGTGTTCCGGATTGCCTCGTAGGGTAGGATTGAGCTCCTCCAGTTCGAACGCAGTGAAAGGTAAAACCAAAGCTAATCTGAATCCATGGCGGCGCTTCCTGGGCTTGGGAATTTCCAAGGGATTGTTGATAGATAATCCATTGGTTCCTCGTATTCGATGGTGGCCGCCCAAACGTTGTCTATTTGACCAAAATCGATGAGCGAACAAACCCAGATCTCGTCCACAGCACTTGCTTACTCACGCTTGTTCCGACAAAGAGCGCCATAGATATCAGACAGACATCTCCTATTGTACGGTTAGTGATGATAGCAAAACGCAAAGACTCTTGAGTGCAAGAGGGGAGTAGGGTTGCAAGGCGAATGGAATGACGAAGTGAGAGGAGGGATTGAGCAGAGATACAAAAAGACGTTCCGATCAAACTAACTTGGGGCTCTTATCAACTCCCAGGCAGATGATAACGGAATGACATTTCATCACAATCGAACATGGGACGACATCGGAGTGTTGTTGGGGAGAAAGAAAGAAGGTTTGGATGGAAATGCATTTCCGCCAATGCCGTCCGACGGGCCTCGGCACCCCATATTTTACCCCAACTTTACCCCAAGTTCTCGGGAGGGCAGCGGCGGGTCATGCGTCACCCCTCCACAAGGCGAAATCGACTGCACTTCCCCTCATCAACAACTTCGAAATCCATCCAATCCCCTCTTTCTGCGAGAAGCCCGCTGATATCCGATTCGATAGCACGGCATCTTGTTTCCCCTTGGGAGCAACGAAACCCGCCGTACTGGACAGGATAACCATAGAGAAAGGGAACATGCCAGATGGCCAGCCCGTGATATCATACTTGTTTGGTTTAGTCGAATGCAGCTTGGAGTCCACTGTTGGTGTTCCCTACTGTGTAGCTCGGTTCGGGCCAACCACTGGATGAACCCAACAGCAATACCCGTGATGGCTGGCTGTATCTTTAAGATAGATCCATCCCTTCGTTTCTTGGAGAACTGTTGCTCGAGCTCCTCTCGTCTGGACTCTTGGAAACAAAGCAAACACCACCCCTCCTTCCCACCTTGCTCGTTGTAGAAGTAGATTTTACTGTGTTTTCTTGTCACTACCCCGACCGTCCACGATGCCTTTCACTTCGCCGTTCAAGGACTTGGACATTCCCACCAATGTCGATGTCTGGTCTCTTGTTTTTGACCGGAAAGATGTCCCGTTCCCGACCTCCAAGAGGGTGATGACCTGCGCCGAAAACACCAAGCTTTCGCATACCTGGGACCAAATAAAGACTGCCTCTATCGACTTTGGCAAGGGCATGAAGGATATGTGGAAATGGAGGAAGGGTGAAGTTCTTGCCTTGTATACGCCGAATAGCATTGATGTAAGCCATTGCCGATACATGAAGTGTGGCGGTGATTGTCTGAAAAGAAAAAGGACTGAAAAAGCATGCTGACATCAATTCCAACCACCAAGACCCCCATCGTCACTCTTGGCGCCATCTGGGCCGGCGCCGTCGTCTCGCCCGCCAATCCGCTCTACACCGTCGAAGAACTCACCTTCCAACTCAAAGACTCGGGCGCCAAGGCCATCGTCACGCAAGCTCCCTTCCTCAAGACTGCCGTTGAAGCCGCGAAGAGGGCCGGCATCCCTAACGACCGCATCATCCTGATCGGCCAGCACAGCGACCCGTCCAAGCAATTCAAGCACTTCCGCAACGTCAAGTGCGTCGACTTCCCCGCCCGCTTCAGGAAGGCCAACATCAACCCGGAGAAGGATCTCGTCTTTTTGGTGTACAGCTCCGGCACCACGGGCCTGCCCAAGGGCGTGTGCCTGACACATCTGAACGTTGTGTCCAACGTCTTGCAGAGCGCGGATGTTGATGGGAGATATTGGTCTGCGACTGGCGGGTTGGATGGTGAAGGTGATAAGTTTTTGGGCGTGCTTCCGTTCTTCCATATCTATGTAAGTTCTGTTCTCTGTCAACCCCTACCCAATTCCAGAAAACTTGGACTGACCCCGATGCACCATCACAGGGTCTCACCTGCGCCCTCTTCATGTGTCTCTACCTCGGCTGGGAGATGTTCGTGGTCGAGCGCTTTGACCTCGAAAAGGCCCTACAGACGATCCAAGACCAGCGCATCACGGGCTTCTACGTTTCTCCTCCGGTCGTGTTGGCCTTCGGCAAAAGCCCACTGGTGGACAAGTACGATCTCAGCACCCTCAAGGTCATGCACTCGGGCGCCGCGCCCCTGACGAGCGAACTCACCGAGGCCGTGTGGCAACGTCTCAAAATTCCGGTCAAGCAAGGCTACGGTCTGAGCGAGTCCAGTCCTGTGGTGACATGCCAGACTGTGGATGAGTGGGCCAAGTTCATGGGTTCTTGCGGCAAGATGATGCCGAACATGGAGGCGAAGCTGGTAGATGAGGAAGGCAAGGAGGTTGCTGATGGAGAGGTGTGTAGTTGTGCCCTGCTTCCTTTTCATCAAAATGGTATAACTAACCGTGTTGTACATACAGGTCGGCGAGTTGTGGATCAATGGACCTAATGTATTCAAGGGTTACTATAAGAATCCAGAGCGCACAAAGGAGGCCTTTTCGGAGGACGGCTACTTCAAGACCGGAGACATGTTCCATATCGACAAGCACGGCAACATGTACTGCGTGGACCGTCTCAAGGAGTTGATCAAGTACAGTAAGTCATTGCCTTGTCTCGCCCGGTACACAACCATAATCATTTGACTGATCACTGACATCATTCTCAGAGGGTTTCCCCGTCCCACCAGCAGAGCTTGAGGGTCTCATCCTTGGCCATAGCGATGTAACGGACGTGTGCGTTATCGGCGTCGAAGACCACAGCCAGGCTACCGAAGTACCTCGGGCGTATGTCGTCCTTAGGCCAGGCGTTCAAGCCAGCGATAGCAAGGCGCAGGAGATCGTTGACTACGTGGCCAAGCAAGTTGCACCTCACAAGAAGCTTCGCGGAGGTGTTCGGTTTGTTGCAGAGGTGCCCAAGTCGCCTAGCGGAAAGATCCTCCGGAGACTGTTGAGGGACAAAGTGAGGCAGGAGGAGCGTGCCGCGGGATCAAAGCTTTAAAAAGGGATGTAGTTGAAAGATTCGTGTGTTGCGAAAATCGATTTTGGATACCGTGCGTTTACACCAACAGCCCTTTTCCGGCTTCGGGTTGTGAACTGGATGCCTACGTGAAAGATAAGTCAGTAGGTAGGTAGGTAGGTGTTAATATACTGTACTGTCCGCCTAGAGGCGGGCATCTAAATCGTTCTATACATACCAGGAGCCGCACTATCTGGGTGCCCTCACCAACATTATCATACACAGTTGTTCCCATGACACTTACAACGACCGACCATACCATCGAACGTCTTTAACCCATCCTCTCCGCCTCCTCCAACAGCTTCTCCACGCTAAACCTCTGGTCTCCCATCGCAAACCAATCTAACAGATTCCTGCGCTCGTTCGCCCTCTCCTGGCCCTGCTCGCCACCAGTGCCATCCCAACCGCCATAGAATCTCTGAAGACACATGAGCAACCACTGGGCGTTCTCAGGAGTCACACCTCTATCCTCCATGACCTGGCCCTGCATCAGCACCACGCCCTTGTCGGCGCTAAAGTCCATGTAGTGCGTGACCGTCGTGTGCGGCTGCGCGAACTCGCCGCGGTTCTTGTACTCGGCTAGCTGCGTGAACAGCACAGTAGACGTCGCCGTCGCCGCGTCCCAGGTCCACTGCAGGAAGTGGATCTCCGCGCCCTGGTCCGGGTGCGGCACGGGCAGCACGAACTGTGGGCGCGAGCGCGCGAGCGTGTCCATGGCTGAGTAGGTCTCTGACGGGATCACGGCGCACAAGGAGTGCGGGTTGGTGGCGTAGCGAAGACGCCAGATGGCGGAGAGTTCCTTGATGGGGAGGTCGCGGGCTTTGGTCATGTCGAGGATCTCGGAGAGGGGCTTAATGCCAGATCCGGAGCCCGAACCTCCGGATTTTGCTGGCGTTTGCGGTGCGGCTTTGGAAGAAGGTGTTCCGGCCTCCGTTGTTGTAGTGGTGGTAGTCTTAGACTCGGCGGCGGCAGCAGCAGCAGCAGTGGGGGCAGCCGGAGCAGGAGCACCCGGTAGTTTAGTCGCAGCGTCGGTTTCCTTGCGCAGGCGCTCAATCTTGTCTTTGTACGCCTGCTTGAGGGCGTCAATATCAGGAAGACCCTCCTCCTTGGCCTTGCTCTCCAACTTTTGGCGGTATTTCTCGATGACACTGCGAGGTTGCTGAGTTGTGGCAAGGAAGCGCACGTCGTGAACTTGAGCCCATCGCCGTTGGTTGGAGGCGCGCAGTGTTCGGACGTGAGAGCATGGGTGTGTGAGATGCCGAAGCATGCCCGCAGTGCGAAGGGAGGCCATGACAGTGATGGGTCTTCAAAGAATCTTGGTCCGGAAGTTGCAAAAGGGGAAGTGAGTTCAGAGTGAAAGATGAGGATAAAAAGTTGACGTCAAGTTAAAGCCGAAGAGGATATCTGACCCTAACCCTGATAATTAGCTGCACCTTTGGGAGAAACCCAGAGAATCACCACACGAAGCCGTCACTCGCGATCAATTCGACCACGGCACGATACTCGAATATGATACTTGTGTGGAACGTTTAACTGCCCTAGCTAGTAGACATTTGAAGGAGACGCAAGCCTATCAGACAGTTCACTAAGTTGACATCCCGGATAGCTAACTAGATCCGCTATTCCCTCACTTGTAGCGTACTTATGCAGGCCGTATGCAGTCCTCCTTTGGGTTGATGATTGTGCATCGCATTTTGCGTTGCGCCAGTTGAGTTGAAGCACCTCGTGGAACCAGAAATCCAGAGGCGCGGTGATATGAAGGAGTGCAGATGTTGTGCTTCACCACCAGAACCTGGACCACCGGACCCCACAAATGAAAACTTTCTCCCCGCGCGTAAATCAAGGCATGCATGATGGAGATGCGGTAGGGCTGCGAGGCTGTGGGCTGCGAGTCAAGATCGCCAGGGTCCAAGTGGAAGATGGAGAATGCGGGGGAAGCTAGTATGGTTGCTGGGACTTGGACGGACCTCGTGTTCGACCTGTCGGGTTGTCTCCCAGGTCACCCACTCGTCATGGCCCGCGACTTGCCTTCCCCGCCCTCCCTATGACTCCGGGACGACGGGATGGGTTCACCGATGAACTACCGATGAACCATCAACGGCGAAGCGTTGACGGCTGGATCTTACCTATCCGCCCGGAAGGATCCAACCTATTGGGTCTTCCTCAGACTTTCAGCCCCTCCTCCCCCTCATCTGTCATGCCGCAACGAAAGGACACCTTGCCCTCTGGACCCAATGACTTTTAAAAACCCAGTCACTGATCACGGCGCACGTGGTAATTCTACACTTCACTTCATTAAGCAGTTCGCTAACGAATGCGGGACGAACGAGATGAGATCACAAAAGAAAAAGGTATCGACATTAAGACACAAAATCTAGTCCTCGCTAACATCTAAAACACAAAACGCGCCAGTAAACCACTTCCGTAACCCCTGAGGGAAACGAGGTGGTATGCCAAGATATGATATACACGAGGAAAGGGAGCTCGAAAGTCTATGCCCTTCCTCATCTAAACCCTCAATACCTTTTTCCAGAATCCTCTTTCCGCTGCAGGCTCATCATAACTGCTTTTTCCTCCATGAAACATCATCACGGCACGATCATGGTTGTATCGCTGACCTGAGAATCTGTTTCCAAGATCACCAGTCCGTCATGTTTGTGGTTAGGTGCTAGGAGCACTAACTTAGGCGTTGACGGGCTTGAAGACCCAGCGCTCGGAGTTCTCGGCGAAGGGAACGCCGAGCTCGAAGAGCTTGACAATGACGTTGGAGAAGTCCTGGAAGAAGAGCTCGTTGTTGGCGGCGTACTTCTGAACCCATTGCTTGAAAGTCTTGTCCTGGATGAGGGCCATGTCGGCGGGAAGCATCATGAGGGACTTGGTCTTCTTGTCCTCATACTGCTTGGGGCCGTTCCACTTCTTCCACTGCCACTTCTCGTCGAGAAGGAGCTTGTAGTAGTCGTTGGTCATGACGGTAGGGGAGAAGGTCCAGGGGCCGTCGAAGCCGGAGCGGTCGGTGTGACAGCGGCCGAGAGCGTGAGCACCGGCAAGAGCAACGATCTCCTGATCGTTGAAGCCCATGCGGTAGAAGATGTTGCGGAGATGGTCCTGGGCCTGGGAGGCATCAGGAAGACGGCCGTCGGGAGTGCAGGCAGCGACATCACGGTCCTGGCGACCGGGGCGGTAGGGGATCTTGGGGCCCTGCATCTCCTGGATGGCGCAGACACCGGCAAGGATCCAGAGGTCGGAGTAGGTGATCCAAGGGAACTTGGCTGTTCAGGGCGTTAGTAAGTTGAAAACCCCGCGATTAGAGATAAGATGGTAGTAGCTTACCCTTGACGGGCTCGAGGAAGTCACGAGCAGCCTTCAGGCCGGCGTTGGCACCGTGGTCAGACTCGGGAGCGAAGCGCATGGTGGCACCGTTGGAGCCACCAGTGCCGGTCTCCTTGTCATAGGTGCCGCTGGCGTGCCAGGCGAGACGGACGAGGACGGGGCCGTAGCTGCCATCGTCGTAGTCGTCCTTCTCCTCGAGGCGGGAGGCAATCTCGTTGTAGACGGCCTGGTAGTCCTCGAACTTGGGAGTGATAACCTTGGGAGTGGCGGAAGCGCCGTCCTGGTTGAGATACCAGAGACCACCGGCACCGAGAGCACCAGCACCGATAGCCCAGGCCCAAATGTTGGAGCCACCGGACTTGGCGGGCTCAGAAGAGTAGAGGCGACGACCACCCTGGCGGAAAGCAGCGCGGGGCGTGGCAGTGAGCGCAGGGAGAGTCGAGGTGCGCAGAGCGCGGAGAGTGCGGGTGGCAGTGCGGGAGGCGGCCATCTACGTGGAGGGAGAATTTGTTAGCATCAACATTACTCTTGTTGTTATCATGGTGAGTCCCATATGATGGTGTTGAACGCGAGGAAGAGATCGCGCATCACGGGCATCGCCGAACTCCATAGAGTCCGAACGAGAAGGGACAGGCAAACGGTTGAGGACGGGAAGCAAAGGACAAACGACTCGCGAAGGAAAAATGACTTGATGCGTACCTTGATGGTTCTCTAAGGGCAGGACGATGAAGAGGAGGAAAGAGGGATGAGAGCAGAGCAGCAGCGACTGACAACAACGAGGGGAAGAAAAAGAGAGAAAGGAAGGAAGCGAGGACGACGAATTCACAGAGCACTAGTCTACAGCTATCAAATCAGAGGGATCAGGCAGGTGGGATGGTGCAATTGTATCCTTTCGTAGCTCGGCTGTTGCCCCGGAAAGACGAGGCCCGGGACTGCCCCGGTGGGGCTGTGGTCTCGACATGCCACACGAGTTCCAGCGAAGCAAAACGACTCTGGAATCATATCGAAAAAAAATCAATCGCGTGCGCGTTGAGTGGCCAGCTCGCCCATGTCTGTTCTTCAGGGACCCCGTCAGTGCCAGTTCAGGCCGTTCCATCCCGTTCAAGCGCGGCTCTGGGCACATTTCCAAGCCTTTCCCAGGGGGGAATTCGAGATCCCGTCAGTGCCGTCGAGTGGCATTGAGCACCATCGAGATCCCCGTGGTTCCCCATTGGACCCGGAAAGTGAAACCCGCCGCAAAACTCACGAAGCCGGCTATATCCCGGCATTTGTCACTGGGACTCTGGGTACACCCGAAACGACAAGAGGCGGCAACCGCTGACTAAGGCAGTGACAATGTCAACCAGTTGTCAATGGCTTCCAAAAGAACGTGCTCAAAAGTCAAGAGATAGGTACTGCGGAGCTATATCGGAGTCCGAGGAGGTCTTCCAGATGGAAGCTTACGTTGACTTTGTAGAACAGAGATGGCTAACCCTGTGACAGATCTTTGCCTTCCAGATGAACGACGGCGGGTAGTTGCGATGATTGTTCTGAAAGCAATGAGTTATCAACAGATTATTGTGGCACAGATACCGTCGGCTAGGTAGCCAGAAAGGGCAGATAGTTTGCAACGGGCACATGTCGAAATCCAACCGCGACTTTGCCTCATCCATTGGCTCTTCTTCCGGTTCGGTTGCCTTAAACCGAGAAACCCCTCCACAACCCTCTCAGGCTTTGTCCGCTGTAAAAATGGGGTATAGTGCTTCTAGAAAAGCAACTAATACCCAGTAGCGCGAAGATGTCTTGATAGCGATTCTCGAGTCCAATCTCTGAGACGGTGCTCACGGGTACACGTGGCAAACGAGTTGGCGTTATCAAATCTCCAATTCTTCCAGATCGTCTGAACCACCACACATCGTCCCGAAGATTCCAAATCCAAACTTTTAACAAGCGCACAGCAAAAGCATGCGGGGTCCATTCTCATGTCTGAGGTATGAGTGGTGGCATGCCGCACGGTGGAGGTACCTCTCCATATGACAGCGTCCCATAATAAATGGATGGGCCCGGCCGAACCTCAGAAGTCACTCTTGCGTACCCCTCACCTTATGCAAAGAAGGCAAGTCCTTATGTAATCAATTCCGACGCTCTACACTATGAATTCAACGTCGAGTTTGTGGCGACATTGGGACGAGATGGTCAATATTTTATAACGGGCGTCCTTTCCTTCTTGAGACGGGTATATCACATATTGCCTTTAACTTTATGATTTTATTTTCGCTCTTTTTTCTTCGCCTTTTTCTTGCTTCTTAGCTGCTGCCGTTTCGTCTGTACGCGTTTGTCATGTGATCGAAGTGTCACTGGAGGCTCGAACCGTGAAAAAGTTCACAGGCACAGAGTGGCGGGTGGCGGCGAATTCCATGGGCTCCCTGCCGATCGCGGAACCTTCTTGGCAGCCTCGGGCAGCCTTGTCCGTTGTGCAATAATCGTACGTAGCACTTGAAGTTGCTCGAGGTAGCCTTGTAATCGTGACCTGCCTCATGCTAGTGTTCGGTGCCTTTGAAAACACGGATCATCAGACGTGTGTTGCTAGATATAATGTCTGTGTGACATGCGGCAGAGCAGGCATGGCCTTTTCCTGTGCACCAAATGGATGCCAAGTATCTTGTTCAGCGATGATCAGAATTACTAAGGGACTCTACCTAACGCAAGGTCATTTTTGTTCGCTATCATCACAGAAATACAAAGGACCTCCTCCGTTTTGCGGTCCTCGTTCTTTCATTGTTTGTTTAAGGTTGGCTGGTTACCAGCCGCAAATTGCTTGAGATTCCACACCAGATGATCTCTTTCACGATACCAGATTGCCAAACTGGAATATGTCAATCCACAATGCCAGTTTGTGGGCCTGGAAAGTATCTAACAACCATGCTAGCTTGCCATCACTGGAACGTCTTGAAAGGTTTAAAGTTCGCAAACTAGTCAACCTTGCTGAGGCCTCAACCGGCCTCTTCTGCTTCGCATTGGTCTCTGGGCAAGTCTAAAAAGTCAAAGGCTACATGACGCATTCAGGGGGGAGGAGGGGAGGGATGCCGATTACTCTTTTCCGTTCAGTTTGTCGATGTCCGAAGATCAGCGGAAGATGCCATGGGTGGCAGGACGAGCCCTAGTATCGAGCAGTGGCATCGTGTGCCTAATTGAAGCTAGCCGGCCCTTGAGCATTCGGATCAGGGTCCATATGGAGCTGGTAAAAGCTGTAGAATCTGCTCTCGGCCTTCTGGCGAGTGGGTTCGTCGAGTTCGCCCATCGCAACACCGTTCTCCTTACCACCAACCTTGGCTTTAGTAATGGCCGAAATCGATTGGGGGCTAAAGTTCAAAGTTAGCATGAAAGTCCACTGGTTTCGGGCTTCTTTTTAGCAGATAAAGCTAAGACATACCCATAGAGTTCCCGGTCGAGGGCCAGAAATTCTTTCATGGCCTTCTTACCGCCACGGTCCTGCAAATAGTTCAGGTACACCTGGCACAACTCTTGCTTGACAGCTGGGGAAAGGCGGCTCTTGCTGCGAATGGTCTGGATGATGTCCCTGATCCTTTCACCATGCTGTTCCTCAAGCTCAGCATTGGTGGGCTGACCCAGTTCAAACTCCAGCCACTTTTGCCAGAAGTGGCGGCTGTCCGAATACCACTGGACGTTCTTGGAGAAACAATTGCGGGCTTCCTCGCTCGACCCCTTGACCTTCCACAAAAGATAAGCCCACTCGGTGACTAAAGCGGCCTTGGTGAAGATGTCTATAGTAGGGGAGTCAATCTGTGCCTTGTACACCTCAATGGCGGCGTCCAGACCACTTTGGCGGCGCTGAAGGTTAGCCCACGAGACGATAGCCTCGACGCAATCGGGCAGCTTGTTGAGGATGGCAGCGTGGATGTCGCGGGCGACATCGACACGCTCGGACATCTCCTCGAAGTAGGCATACTGAAGCCGAATTCCCGGCCTACTGACCGGGACATACAGAGTCGTTGCGCGGAGGTAGATGTTGCGTACTTCCTCCTCCTTGCCTTCTTGTGCCGACATCCATCGAGCGTAGCGGAACCAAAACTCGTCGTAAAGAGCACAGGTGACCAAACATCTTTCGTATAAGAAACCGATTCTGCTGAAGTTGCCCTCAGACTCCTCGAAATCGAGATACTTGCGCCAATTGGCCAGCTGCGCATGCTCAAGCTCCGTGACGTGGAAATAAGGCCGCTTGATCTCTGATTCGAATGTCCAGCGCTTTGTGGTCTCGGCTTGTGTCTGCTGGAAAACCGTATACAGTTGCGCATCGATCTTGGCTCGGATGTCACGCTCAATCTCGGGCTCGCTCTTTTGAATGCCGTATGTGACGCTTTCGGCTTCGACTTCCGCCCGGTAGCGTGCTAGCGCATCGGCAGAAACCAACTCCAGAAGTGGACGTGTCTGAGCGAGGGTCCTGAGTCGCTCGAAGTAGCGCGCATACTGGTGCATCGGAATTCGAATGACCCGGTTGAGGATCGCGACAATCTTGTCTTGCGCCTCCTGTCTCTCTTCGTATTCGAGGTACTTGTCCCAGAAGGGGTGGGCAAGGAAGTCTAGACCGACATGAGTAGCGCCGCGCTCGAAAAGCCTAAGAAAGTGTCAATAAGTGTTGCATGACCGAGGATGGGAGTGAGGGGCGGGAAGGGAAGTAAAGTACAAGAGGGGAAACTCGGTGTAAACGAAGCATCCATCCAAAGTGACCAAACTGTTTCTCAGTGGCATACGCGAGCGGGGAACGGGCAAAGAGGTAAGACGTGAACGAAGAATATCTGCTATGAAGAGCAGAGCCTGGTATGAATTGTGAGAGAACTGTCCCAGCATAGGATGTCTGCCTTGTGGTTGCTCTCACCGTGTTCGTACGGTCGCGGATTCGTATTTGTCCCTCTCGAGTCGACAAAGAGCCGCAAACGGCTTTGCAGTTTGCTGCGGGTAAGGTGGTCTTGAGGGGGGTGGGGGACGGAAAGGATTTGGGAACTTACTCTCTCACGAGATGGGGTGTGTGAGTAGTTTCCATCTTGAAGGAGCAATACTCTGTCCACAGATCGACCGAATTGGTGATGCTAGCGCATCCTCGCTCGTACACCTAGACATGCCCGTTAGAACCAGACCCATCAGCGAGAAGAAAGCTGGGCTCTGTCCGTACCATTTCGGCCGACTCAGGACCTGAGATGTTGAATTCGAGATCGGCATACTTCTTCCAGTAGCCGAACAGCAAGGGGAACTTGAGGAGGAATCGATCGTATGTGGCGCGGAGGGTTGCCAGAGCTTGCGGGCTCGAGTTTCTATTGAGACCGCCTTCGAGTCCTTCGCAGGCGCGTACCAGCTTTTCCCAGTTCTCGAAGTTGTCGGTATCGGCATCCTGAATGCGATTGCGATGAGCTCCGATTAGCGACTGGACATGATGCCCCCAGTAGCGGATATCTGCATCGACTTACCACCTCAGCGCTAAGCCTCTTGATCTCGGCGTTCTCCTCATCGGAGCCACCGTAGTTGCTGAAGTCGCCCATTGTGGTCGATGATGCGCGGCTGAACAGGCGAGGCTGTTTCCTGTGTTCGCAGATGTGAAGGCTACTGTTGGTTGAGGATCACGATTATCCTGTAGAGACGGGTCGCGTGGCGGATAGTGCAATCGCAATAACGTATGATTCGGCTACGATGGAGAAGATAAACGGTCGGGTTCTGTGATGGATACAGTCTTGCACATCCAAAAACTGGTTGCGAAAATGAAGTTGACCGACGGTGAGCAAAAATCCGTGGAGACGGGAGACAAAGAAGTGGAAGGCAGCGGCGCGCGGGTCGGACCCATGGAGGACGGAATCGAAACAAGTGAATGGAGCTCCAGTCTGGAGTCCAGAGAAGGAAGGTGCATGTCAAACTGGCAAAGCAAACCTCCAGCAGCGGCATGCAACTGACGGCAAAAGCTGCCCTGGGCTCGCTGGCAGGCAGGCCGGCTGGTAAAGCTGTCACACCGCCCGGAACCTTGTCGGTACGTACCCACTCGAAACGCAACGAGCTCCACCGTGGCCTCTGCTTGTCCAATCAAAGGAAGCAGAAAGCTGGATGCGATAAGATAAGATGCTGAGACTTGTCCAAGAATAAAACGGGCAAAGTTTTGCAAACTTCTGAAGTTCTTCTTTTTCTTTTTTTCCATATGGCTAGTGATGATGACAAAACATAAAATTATGATAGGAAGAGGATGAATACTCCCATAGAGGAGTGCATGATCTCACCATACGCTAATCTGAAGCCATCAACCACACAAGCTTTCTTGTGGCATTACATGCCACTATCTTTTTTTTTCTCTAGTACACTTCTTTTGTTTTTTCCACCTTGAGCATTTTCTTAGATGGCAATCACTCGCCTTGCCGTGTTTCAGTGGTTCGCGGACGCATTTTTGCGAAGCTATCCCACCCACTCCCTTGAGACCTTCAGAGAATCCCATAAATTATCTCCAGGAATCACATGAAGTCATTACCTGCAACAAAGCGAAACATGCTGCAGCAAAGATGTCAACAAGTATAATCTGAGAAGGGAGAGATCAATACGTTAATGGAATTTGGGTATGCCTGATGTTGGTAAATCGCATTTTTGTCTGCCCTCGGCCTTCTGGTTAGCAATGGTGGAATTCTCGTTGTCTTCTATCTCATGCTCCCTCAGTCGGTCTGACTTGAAAAAGTTTGAAGGCCGGCGTCAATGGCGCTTCTCTGCCCCTCGTAACATTGCACTTGTTGCGCCTGCTGTGTTATGCGTGTGAATTGGCCGATTGCATTCAACGATGAAGGCACTCGCACCGCAACCTCCCGTGCCTCTTCAGCTTGGGCCCCGCGTCAAGGTAAGGTAACTGCGGCTCTTAAGGTAAGGTATAACAGGGCTGATAGCCTGACGGGCCAGGGCGTAGCGTAGCAGGAAGCTTTTGCGGCCAGGCTTGGAGCAGTAGCGGAAAGTGGAGGCAGCTGAAAAGCGATGCTCAGGGGGGCAAGGGGGTGCCCCAGACCGACACCTTGCCGCCGTCATCCGGCTCCCCTCCATCGTGCAGTTTATCCAGGAAGTTTCCATCTGGACGACTGTATCTTTCCACATCCGTTCTTGAAGATCATTCTTGTCTCTTGTTACTGTACAGGTATATACTTACGTTGAGATCTACATTTTATACCTAATTCAATTCCGCCCCTGTTTGTCCGCATCCACACCGAGCAACACTTGACGGTTCCGAGTCGACAAGGTAGTCTCTCGCCTACACCACATCCTACCCACGAGAGCTATCGTCCTGCGACAACCCATCGCCAAAGCTGCTCAGGAAGCTTCCTGTCCTCAACGACCGCACGCATTGCCAATATCCCATGCTGCCCCATTACTCGCTCTCAATATAGCAAGAGGTCGCTTGGGCCTGCCGTTTCACTTGCTCCTTCCTCGATCGACCTAGACCATTTGGCTACTATTACTCGTTGAGAATAGTAGTATTGGAAAGCATACTCGGAACTTTGCTGCCAGGTGGCTTTCACCGCGGAACCGTCCACGACCATACGAAACCGATTGTCTGAAGGATCTCGACATGGGAGCTCTAGCTTACGTTAAACCTCCGCCGTAACCAATCTGCATAAAAACAACTGCTATCCAACATGGACTACAACAGCTCTACATCGTCTGCTCTTTGGTCGGGCCAATCGCCGTCTCTCGACAAGTCAAGCCAGATCCTCATCCGCGAGTACCCTCACCGTGCGATCGCAATCGCCTCCGAATCCCATGCTCTCATCCTTCGACATAGTCAGAGCACCAGCGAAGCCATTGCGAATGGGTCCCTCGCCTCCGTTGCCTCCGCCCGTCCACGATCCGGCAGTTTCGACAACATCCCTTCCAAGTGCATGGTGGAGTTCACATCGCGGACAGACAAACTATTGCTCGACTACCGTCCCTTGACGTCACGGCCCATCTATGGAACTTTGGGGATGATCTCGATTGGGCCGGACGTGTTCATCTGTGTTATCACCCAAGCCTCCAGGGTCGCTACTCTTCGTCCAGGAGAGACGGTGGAAAAGATAGAGAGTGTGCAATTCTTCTGTTTGAACTCACCAGCTTACGATGATGTTTTCCTGCTTGATGTTCACGAGGAAATGGATGCCACGGCAGTGTATGGCCAACCGCTGGGCCGTAGGGACCCAATGGAGCATCCATGTGTCGAGCTGCAAAAGCTTCTTAGCAACGGGACATTTTACTACAGTACAGACTTCGACATTACCAACCGCATGCAGGACAGGCCAGCTGATGCCGTAACGTTCGACATCGACAACTTCGACGAGTCGTTTCTCTGGAACTCATACATGATCCGCCCGCTTGTGGAATTCCGCTCCAAGCTGCAGGAACAGGAACGAGATGCGTTGGATGCCTCGCGGATCCTGACCTCTGCAATTCGGGGCTTTTGTAGGACATGGGCTATCCCTCAGACCTCGGCCCCTTTGAGGGCTGCCAAGACAGGCCTCCCTTCATACTTGACCATCATCTCACGTCTGTCCTGCAGAAGGGCAGGCACGAGATTCAACTCGCGGGTATCGATGACGATGGAAATGTTGCCAATTTTGTGGAAACTGAAACGACGTATTGGAGCCCATCAGGCGTTGTGTTCTCGTATGCTCAAGTACGCGGCTCAGTCCCTGTATTTTGGGAACAGCAAGCCGGGCTGCTGCCAAACCAGCAGAAGATTACCATCACACGATCACCGGACGGAACGCAGCCGGCATTCAACAAACACTTTTCTGATCTGGAGCAGGCATACGGTGCTGTACACGTAATAAACCTACTCAGCGTGTCGAAGCCGGGAGAGTACGAGCTGACGTCACTCTACCGTACTGGTATTCGGAACTGCCCCCTCAGTCGGCCAGAGGAGGGCCAATCACGCGACCATGCTCTTCTTAGAGCTACCGAGTACGATTTCCATGCTGAGACGAAGGGGCCTCAAGGCTATGAGGCAGCACATGAGATCAGGCGTTACCTGGAGAGCTCGGCCGACGGCTTCGCATACTACTTGGCCCACGAAGCAGATGACGGCGAAGAGAGCGCGGGCTCTGACAAACGTACATCTTCGCCCAGCCAACGCCGCTATGTGGTCGTGCTACAACAAGAGGGCGTTTTCAGAACAAACTGCTTGGACTGTCTCGACAGAACGAACCTCATTCAGACGATAGTATCACAAATGGCGGTCGAGACTTTTTTGGGTCATCAAGGCGAAGGTGCTGCATCGGACTTCTGGTCACGACATGCCAATCTTTGGGCTGATAACGGTGATGCGCTGTCCCGTATCTATGCCGGTACCGGTGCTTTGAAGAGTTCCTTCACTCGATCAGGCAAAATGTCCTTTGCCGGTGCTATCGCCGACGTCCGCAAGTCGGCTACCCGATTATATGTGAATAACTTCACGGACAAACAGCGACAGATGACCATTGATACCCTTCTTGGCAGGATGATTGGTCAGGGGCCAGTTCATCTGTACGACCCGATCAGTGATTACGTGTCTATGGAGCTACAACGGCGAAGCAACGAGTTCTCTACAAACGAAAAAATTCGGATGTAAGTTTGACCCGTGTCAGTTTGGTGTTGCATGGTGCTGATATAGACAGTTTAATCGGAACTTTCAACCTGAACGGAAAGACCGACGGTATCGACGAGGACTTGTCGTCTTGGCTTTGCCCCCCCGAACTTGGCGAAGCTCAACCCGAAATTGTTGCGATCGGCTTCCAAGAAATCGTCGAACTTAACCCACAGCAGATTATGAACAGTGATCCGACCAGAAAGCAGTTGTGGGAGCGAGCGATAAAGGGTACTCTGGATCGGCACTACAACAGACCTGATGATGAGAAATACGTTTTGTTGAGAAGTGGCCAGCTCGTGGGTGCCGCATTGTGCATCTTCGTTAAGGCTTCTGCTCTCCATAACATCAAAAATGTTGAAGGCAGTGTCAAAAAGACAGGGCTTTCCGGAATGGCTGGAAACAAAGGCGCTGTTGCGATCAGGCTCGATTACGCAAACACACCCATATGCTTCGTTACAGCACATCTTGCTGCCGGTTTCACCAACTATGAGGAACGAAATAGAGATTATGCCACGATCAGTCACGGCCTCCGGTTCCAAAGAAATAGGGGGATTAACGATCACGGTAAGCTATCCACACCATATATACTGTCGAGCATGACTAAAACCTTTAGAATCTGTCATCTGGTTTGGAGACTTCAACTACCGCATTGGACTGGACCTCGAGAACACCAAGGACCTGGTCAGGAAGGGTGACCTTCCGAAACTATATGCGAACGACCAGGTATGTCTCCCACTTGTCCCATGTTCACTCATCATGCTGACGCCTTGCAGTTGAACCTACAAATGATGGCCGGCTATGCGTTCCATTATTATTCCGAGGCACGCATCACGTTTAATCCGACATATAAGTACGATGTCGGTACCGACACCTTTGACACATCGTAAGTCCAACTGATCGCCGTTCGCACGATCGTGGATGCTAACACGTTATACAGGGAGAAAGCACGTATACCGGCGTGGACGGACCGTATTCTGAGGAAAGGACACAATCTCCGCCAGTTGTGTTACAACTCGGCGCCATTGCGATTCTCAGATCATCGGCCAGTATATGCTGTCTTTGAGTGCACCGTCAATATTGTGAATGAAAGGATTCGCAACAAGATTAGCCGCGACATTTACGAACGCAGGAAAGCGGATATTGGCGGTGACATGGCCAACCTAGCTGCGGATGATTCTGACGATGAGGATCTAATCGGCTACGACGCCATCGAGCCTGGTCTCCCTCCAGCCAGCTCTGATCGACAGAAGTGGTGGATGGACAATGGCAAAATGCCCCGATCCGCCATCCAGCCACCAAAACCCGAGAGTCCCGCCTTCCAAACCATTCTTAACCCCAAAAGGCCAGCCAACCCTTACATGCCCACTGACGAACCTGACTGGGTTAACATCCCCAGGTCTGAGTCAAGGCTTTCCTCCTTCTCAAGCCTCTCGACATCACCGTTTGAACATGTCAATCATTCGATGCTGCTCTCTACTTCGGCGTCAAATTCGGCGCCTAGAAGGCCCCTCCCTCCTCCATTTGATCCGTCGAACCTTCCCGCGAAGGTTGGAAGGTTGCAACTCACCGAAGATGGGAAGAACGGCAAGTTCGATACCCCTCCGCCACCACCTCCTCCACGAAGGCAGACCGGGATGGGTGCTTTAGGTTCTACATCGGGACCTGCCATGGCCAGTTCACCAGTGGCCAGGAAGCCTGTCAATACGGCAGCGACAACAGCCACACCGCCGCTCCCGGCCCGCTCGATGTCTGTATCGTCTCAAAACACCGTTAAGCAGAAAGCCGCGCCACCGGTAGCAAAGAAGCCTGCCCACTTAGCAGCACCTTCATCACCGGGGTCCAGCAGTTCGGCACCTGCGCCCATGGAAGACACGGTGACACTTAGTAATTGGAAGCCTCTCCAGCCAGAGCGTTCTTCAAACCCGTCTCTTTCAGGACTGCAGGGATCCTTATCCAAGGCCAACGGGAGCTCATCGAGTTGCACATCTTTATCTTCGCTCAGTGATAGAACTGGAGACACTAACGCGGCCCTACAGCCGCCTCGGCGTGTCAATACAAGTACGGGATTTGCGCCTCAGGCACGGTACACGCCACCTGGAGGCGTTGGTCTTATCGGGTTGGCCGATGTTCAGCAGAAGACACAGGTTCCGGGACGAAAGCCTGTGCCTGTATCTGCGCTTGCACCCCCGCCAGCGCTTGTTCAGAAGGCGACGACGAAGCCCGAGGCTCCGCAGCCGCCTCCGCCCAGGAAGTCAAACACCGTGAATCTTTTAGATGATGATGACAGTGGTGGCATGCAGATGGGAGGATGGCAGGCACTAAAACCTTCATGAAGGACGCATCGCACATGTTTATTGGCATTGGACCGAGGCGGTATATTTTTGGTTCACGATGACGATGATGATGATGATGGTGGTTTTGGTCGGCTTTTGGCTATAGACAAAGATGCATGAGGCTCGCATATGTTATATACATTAAACACATCTAATACTGGGCTCTTCGGACGAGGCGGGAAAAACTCGGACGATGAAACGAATGCTTCAACGGTATAATGACAACCCCCTGAATGCACCTAGAGAACGGTACATGACAGCACGGTAATAAGAGAACCTGTGCAGCGGGACGGATCAACGGAGCAGGCCACCTAATGCCCGTCTGAAGAGTCACGGAGTCTAGGTAGGTCTAGCGCACATATCTTCACTTCCGCCGGCGTCCTGATGCATGTAGGTACATACGATGATGCTGATGTCAGTTGTTGTTAGGTGAGCTGGCGAGGGCATGAGGCATCTGGAGATCGATGGAGCCGATGGAGTGGATGTACAATGCAGCATTAAATGCGACAGAGGATACCTATGCGGGTGACTCCGTGTTAGTGGGCGTGATGGCGGATGACTGACTGGGGTCGAAGATTTGCTCTGCTTCAACAAGGGGGTGCCAAGCCAGAGCCACACAGTACCGGCAACAATCTGCCGCGATGATCACGACGAAAACACTGTGGGATCCAGGCAGAGTCGCCAGATCGACAGTGTGGTGATGTCCGGGTGGACACTGTATCTGTGCCAACACTGCAAGGAGGCACGGGTGAACGTTAGCGAAGGGTATACATGTACGTCATAGCACATGCCGTGTTCCTGTGTCTTGCATCGCTCTTCCAGGGCTTTTGCAATTCGACGGGCGGAGTCGACGAGTGACCGACCAGAACGAGTGACCACCGGAGCGACTGCTTTTTTGTTAGTGTCTTGGTTCCGTAGACAAGCACGACGACGACGACCACCACCACACACCGTGTCTCACACGAGGACATGGAGGGATGACCCTCTTTGGCGCCTTTCCCCCTTTCCCGGATGATCCCAAGTCCTCGAGTGGAAAAATAGGGAAAAGACGGCGGCTGTCGTGAAGAAGAAGAAGAAAGGATACGAATGAAGCGACAGTCCATCGTCCAACCTTGGCATCCGTCCAAGCCCGAAACGAACCTGAGAAAAGCGTCTGAGAGCCGGAGTAGCAGAGCCTGTCAAGAAATGCCAAACCGACACTATAAAGAACTAACGTTAGACTGTAGATTAAACTCCTCATTCAACCCCCCCGGACATTTTCAGGCCCAGATACAGGGGGTCTTGAGAGGGTTCATCCGAGTCAGGTTATCAGGTACAAGTCACATCGCGGTTCCTTTCTCCGTCCGATCTTGTCTTTTTGCGCCTTCCCGGTCAACGTACCTACCTCTACCTACTTTCCTTTCCAACTCTGTACTCGCACTACCGTACGGTCTCCCGCCTTCTCACTGGCACTTCACAAGCTTTAACGAAGAGGCTCGATCTTTTGCTACTCCTACCGGGTCGCACCGAGACGCGGTTCCGCTTTCCACTCACACCCGCATCCCGCCATTCTATGCTTTATTGCTTTTGTCAAACGACGGGAACATCGAGACTTCAACACCCTTCATTCCGATTTCTGTAGGTGCAGTGCAGTACACCGCAGCATAACGCAGCGCCAGCCAGCGGTGCAGGGCCGTGTGCGATCTCAACCCCATCTTTACATCTTCCCAGTCCCAGTCATATCGGTTTTCCCCCCAGCAGGTCGGGCGGGCTCCAGGTTGCTAGCCAGGCACCCTCTCAGCTGCTCCCCATCCCATCAGATCGTGACCCAACAGACCCCATATCTCATCAAAGGGGGGGGGGATTCCACACCGCCGTCACGGGCCACGGTTGACCAAGGACGGCCAAGGACGGGAAAGCGGGCTCCTCTGGGCTCCTCTAGCTCCGCAAAACTAATCCCAACTTGAAGACTGACTGGCGACTCCCTCTCTAGCGATTTACCATGATGATGGCAACTTCCAGCTGATCGCCTAGTTCGCCCTGTCCGCTTTCGCTCTCCGTCAAGTCTTGAACGCACCTAGAGCTCCGTTCTTCATTCGTTCTTTTTGCCGACTCCGAAGTTTCAAAAGTCGGGGATACCTACGCCCACGTTTAAACAGATCTTGAAGACCTCGAATCCTTTTATTGCGCGCAAGATGGCAGCTACCAGGAAGTAAACGCCATCTGCTTCTCTGTCTTTCGTCCGGCCAACCAGGAACCCGAGCATCTGGGTCAAGCCGAAGGAGGAAAACAACTGCTTCTTCACTCTCTATTTGCTTTGGCCTGTTTGACCATCCACGCAGCACTTCAACAACGAATGTTCACTTGAGCTGTTGTCGGGTTGACACTACAATTCCGTCAGCTTTGTACTAGCGATTCAGGCTGCTTCTTGCTTCACTAGCAGTCGCAACTTCCTCACCATCATCATTCGGCATCGACGACATCGCAAACGCCAGGACTGGGCTGCACATGTTTACACATTGCATATCACGACACTAGTGCAGATCAACGACAGCGAGGAGCAAAGAGGTTGGCTGGATTTGTTTGCTCTCATCAACCGCATAATCTTTCATCATCATCATCATCATATGGACTTGGACGCCTTCTCCTGCCGACAGTGACATCAACCTGAACATCTACTCTTCGTTGCGCCGTCTCGACCTCTGAATCCCACCTATACCGAACTAGTCACGTACTTATTCTTCGATTCTGTCGAACGAGCCCTCCCGCAATCCCCAGCTATCATACGACCGAAGTACCATACAATCGCGCCAGAACTACGTCGAAGTTCATTTGGGAAATCTATATCGGACCAACCCTAACCCACCCTGCTTTTGGTTGGCAGATCACATCCCTGGTCTTGAACCGCCCTTCCCCCTATCGGTGACCGACTACCTACCGCAGATCGACAAACGACGAAAAGCGACCATGAATCACTCTCACCGAGCCGTCTCCTCGCCAGGAAGGCTTTCTATGCCTAGCCCCGCTGCTCCCCTCGCCCTTTCAGATTTCATACTTCAACGGCCACTTTCGCCATACTCCTTTGCCTACGACGGACAAGCGGCCGCGAGTCCAGACGATACATTGGCCGAAGGCGAACAACAATCGTCACAACCCCAGTTACTAGGCGAAACCAGTAGAACAAGATCGGCAGCAACAGTACCGATGGCCAAGCTAGGAAGTGACAGTCCGGCCAAGTATCCGGGACTTTCAACTGTCTCAATCGGTGCCCCAAGTCCGGACCAAGAAGCTGCAAGGAAGGAAGAAGGGACACTGGAATCTCTATCAACGGCGACGCCCTTGGAATCTCCGCCACCTGTAACGGCCCAGAACTGGCTGGCGACTCGTCAACAAATCATACCCGGGCGCAATGTCAAAAAGGCCGACTGGATCCGGGGATGGAGCGAGTCTGTCGTTAACCTTGGAAACACGACATATTGCTGCTGCTCAGAACACTTGCTGGTCAGGGGCCGCGGATGGAAGGGTAAAGGAGGTGACCTTTCAAGCGGTGTACGAGCCATTTTGCCTGTTACCAGATCCTTCTCTGGCGGCCTTGACACCACAGCGAACACGTGTCGCAACTGTCACCGCCCAGCATCGCCGACCCCCGCCACAGGAGATTTTGGCCCGCTTAACGTCGAAGAGCCAGAGGAGAAGGTCAGACAGAGCACGCGAGCAGAGTTTACACGACGACTCAGCGGCCTACTTCGCCGGGTCATACCCAGTCGAAGCGATAGCGATCGCCAAGCATCACCCAAGTCGCAGAAGCATTCGGATAGAAACTCGAACGCCAGATCGACACCCGTGAGCGGCGCTTACGGTAACAGACAGCAAAGACCCGCGGCACCTCAGTCCAAGCCGTCTCGTCTGTCCGGTTTCAGTGCCATAATGTCGAAGGAGACCCCTCACCCACATAGTCAACCGAAGATGCAGACAAATTCGTGGCCAACGACTCCGAGGCAGCCGGCTGTCTTGAATGGCACGCGCGCTGGGCATAACCAACTGCAGTCAGAGTCAGACGATGACTCGAGCGATTCCGATGACCCCCGCGGCAAGATCGGATTGAAAGTCAGCTATGCTCGTCTGCAGCGGGCAGCTAAGCTTTTGGAGCGCAATAAGTCATGACGAAGCCAACGGGAGAAGACTTGGAAAGCACGACAGCAGCGGCGGTTATTCAAATAAGAAAGAGTCTCGAGCTGAAGGACCTAATGCACCTAAGCGTCTTGCAAATTCATATCGCACGAGACGGGGTGAGGACTAGAAGGAGAAAGATAGACAGCACAACACAGCATATATGGGGTTAATAGGCGCAAAATGGGGTTTACTCTTTTCTGGAGTGTGTGGAGTTCACTGATCACCAAGCCGGGAAGCTCTTGCCTAAACCAGGCTTGGGTGGATTTACTTCAAAGGGGGAGGAAGCATCGGGAGGTTTGGCATTTCGGAGAAGGAGTCAGACGAATGGACGAGGGTGGATCGGTTCAGTTGGCAGGCAGGCATGCCGAGGAGCCTCTCTCTTCTCCGAGTGTTGATTTAGGAAGGAAAGTTGGTTGGCTGGTTTTGATACCCAGATTCATTCAATGCATGCATGCACATGGCATATATGGGAAAGGACTATTGTATGGTGTTAGGTTGTTGTCAGGACGGAAAGAATAATGCACTTGTACTACGCTGACTGCGCGACACAAGCATTGTATTGACACTACGGTTATATAGATATATTCTACGTTTACCTCCTCTAATCATTCACTGGTCGGCGATGTTTGCAATGATTTTCGAGACTCATAGACGCTTGCATTGGACGTGGTTGTCTGTTTGGGATGGGATTCGTGGTGAAATTGTGTTAACTAAATGGAACTTTCAAGCTACATAAATAAACCCGTGTCGATTGCTATAGAATAGAAACTAATGGTGGAAGAGATACAAGTAGAATAAACAAGTATGTCTTCGAAGATACGGAACAAGAGGACGGACTGTTCACCTTCACCGGAGACTCTACTTCTCATTCGGTGAGTCTCCTCCATGTATGTGTATATATATCCTTGGTTGTTTGCCAACAGCAGTTTGGACTTATGAGACAATACGTCAGATCACCCTAGTATCAACATATCTGCCTTGGAGCTCAACTAAATCAAAAGGAAGAACGAAGTGAAGGAAGAGGATGGAGATGACTACCATAAGCCGAGATTGAAGGGGCTGCAGTGATTCAAGTGTATACTTTATTATCATCTGGAAATGAGATTGCAAACAAATGTATATTCTCTTAAAGTGCCGTCATGCTGAGGATAAAGAAGCGTTAGCTTTCAATTCAATCCTCACTTGCCTAGATGATCAAAATCAAATGATAAACCCAAAGCCTTGCAGAGTTTGACAACTAGTGTAGGTAGAAGCGGTCATAACTTCCACCTGCGTGCTAGTCTAGGTAACCAACAACTACTGCTCTTTCTTTTTTCGTTTTCTTACAGGTACCTCCCGTCTCCACCTAGTCGCGTGCAGTCTGGCCATGCCTTCTCCCTTCTTCGGCACTGGTTTGGTCTTTCCTTGACGTATTAATGTTGGCGTATGTATTATGACAAGTGACTACCTCTAGAGAGTTGGATGATGCACAGGTAATCACTATCAGCGTTACCGTCGTCCAGTGTTCCGAGTCTACCATAGCCGTAACGCGCGGCGGAGTTGTTTAGTCAAGAAGACGAGCATTCGGGTGCTCTAGCAAGTTTTAAGACATCCCTGGACGGTTGATTACATTTCAACTCAAGTCCGTGTACGTAAGGCAACATGATAGTGAAAATATAACTGCTTCTGCTTGGCTCCATTCACCTTAGCGCAGCAGTAGCAGTGAACATCACAGATGGACGTCAAAAGGAAACACGATACCTAGACGACGAGTGAGCTACGCTCTAGTCTAGTGTCTCCATACACCTGACTGGTAAAAATTGACAGTTTATAGCCGAGAGATATACAGATTAATCAAGTAAGTTTTCTCAGAACCTCTGCAACATTTTGCTCAAAAACTTTTCGGTAGAACTACATACATTCGCCTCACACAAAATGCTGAATTTCCTACTGGGTGTGGTCTGGGGCTATACAATACTGGCCTGAACTATGAAGATGCTGCCGATAGGTTGTGGCAATGGGGTGGTCTATATGGTAGCTATGTCATTTTCACCTACCTTGTGTAAGTGCCATGGGTGAGATATGGGCATCTGATCCAGCGTTCATGACAGATCGCGGTGTAGCAACCGACTATCTAGCACTCTTTGTCTCGCTTTGCATTGTTTTGATGCTCGTTCAGACCCTGCACTCTGCCCATCTGCTTTTTTGCATTGGCTAGATTGGTGATACTAGATTCGAGACTATGTAGCAAAGACCCTCTCGCTGCTTCGTCTTCATTCAGCTACGGTCCAAGGTTAAGCCAATTTGATACCCACAGTTCCCGAACAACGACACGGAGCAGACGCCACATATGAGCAGCTTATGCCGAAGAGTCCATGGCTTGCTGGTGTTCAGAAGACCTACAAAATACATCAGAGGATGGCAACTGCATGGTACTCCTTTTGACGGCCTTCGCCTACATACTTAGTTCTAGTTTTCTCCCCCTTCGTGAACATTGATCACACAGAGCGACATTGTGGAATATGGGATACGCAAACGAACTTGATGCTCTTGTACCTCACCAGAAACAACGACAAGACGCCTGAGTTCTCAGGTAAGGAGAGGGAAATTCGAGGTTCTTTTTCGTTACGGGTTACCCCAAATTCTTACTATAGATAGAAGTAGATTTCCGTATCGTGGCATCAGCCGTTCAGTCCTGTGCCCTGTGTCACCATCACTATCACCATCGTTCGCATTGGCATAAGGTAACCACTCGCTGCCTACTCAGCTGTCCTAAAGCGTTGGCTGTCGCTCGCAATTTCATTGTGAGAGTCGCGTGACAGATGTCCCCAAAACAGGGGGTAGGTATCATGGATTGGCGGACAGGCCGTGGCAGTTGGCATAGTCAAGCCGCGGAGGTGTAAACATCCGGTCAATCAGCAGCACGAAGACGTCCCTTTTAGGGGGTGTACGGTCCCAATTGGTCTTGTAGGGGTCATTAGGGGTCATTTTAGGGGTCCCTGATGATCTTGTGAGGGACAAGGCCAGGGTGATGAGCGAGGGAGATCCGAACTGGGACCAACAATTGCTTGACCACAGAGGTGCGTAAACCCGGCCTGATAGGTTTGTGGTCTTTCAACACGCAAAGATAACTACCGAGTTACCACCAACCATTCGATCTCGCCAAACACAACATTGAAGGATGTTGGATGTGATGAAGGTTGCAACACAGGGCTGTGCTGGTTTGTACACTGGGTGACTGGGTGATTTGCCTGATCTCGAATTTTGTCCATGCCAAAGCTTAGGAAATAGGTACACCACCAGGACCGCCTCGCACGTCTCATACCCGTGAGGGAGAAGGCAGCAAATGGAGGGGGCGGGCAGGAAACAAGCCTTGTGATCGAGACGTCCATTAGTGAAGGGTAGGTACACTACCTGACCACCAACCTCAAGAAATACCTAACGAGGGCGCAACGGGAGCGGGAGGATAGCGTTTGGTGGTCAACCCGCCTGGAGAAGGCTCGCAGTCTTCTAGCCGTTTCCATGTCCCCTCCTTTTGCACCCAGTCTCTGCCCAGCAAATGATCGCTGTGCTAACAAAGTTGGAAACGCCCAAACAACACTGGCTAGGTGCCGCGGAAGACCCCACTTTATCGTTCGCTTCCGAACAATGGGACATGATGGGACGAATGGGAGTTGTAGATAGCCTCAAAACCAGAGTTAACCCAATGCTCTAACAAGTCCATCCGGTGAAGTATATTTGACCACCATAAGTGGTCAGAACCACGAACCCCTTTCCCTGCTAGGTAATAGGAAGAAGATGACATGCAAGCCCGAGGAGGAAGAGGATGAGCAGTCGGCGAGAGAGGACCGATTGGCGGCGATGGCACAGGCGCATGAGAACAAGCGCACAGACCAGAAGGTACTTGATAGGGGGTACTTTATTAAGTAGTTGAGGTAAATTGGCAAATTGCCCACTGTTTAGCATCGGCACGAGACAACGTGTGCCATGCGGTGACAAAGAGGCAGCGAATAGGGAACTCCCTGGTGCTAGTTCCAAGAAGATGAGGGGCTGCCGATGGCGGGGCTCTGAGTCAAGGTTGCAGAGACTCCAAACAGAGCACGCCGTCCATATCCCGATATGATCCTGCTGGGCCGCTATCCGAATGGGCGTGTAAGAGATAGGAAGATGCGACTGCTGCACATGGAAACGCCGGGCTTGTCAAGCCAAGACGTCGACGATGCCGTCGACCGCAATCCTCTGGTCCTGCCAGCCTGGCCAACATGGGGAATTGGGATAAATCACCAAGACCACCACCAAGGTGACAGGAATCCGCCGCAGTGGATGGCAAGTGGACTCTGTGACAATCCCGGCAATGTATAGGTGAGATTGGAAATGTGACTTTTTGAGCCGCCGCTTGGCGTCAAATGGACAACACACCAATGGTCGACAAAGAAAAATGAGGCTTCAGAAAACTTCACCTCATGGTGGGGGTGACATTCCAGAGTGTGATATTCGGGCGTCGTAGTATGTGTGATGGCCATGGCAAGAAGGTTGCAGATGCAAACAGCTTGTGAGAGAGCCTTTACCTAGGTGCAAGCTGAGGCCCGTCTGCAAATATGGGAAAGGATAGAAAGGGGAATGGGATGTTGTGTTGTTTCGTCGACGCATGCCACGCCATGGATCAGGATCATGGATGCCATGCCGTGCGGACGGGACTGAGAGAAAGTGGCGGGGCAGCTCAGTTGAAGGATCACCTTACGATCCATCTCCTCAACGTCCGTCGCCCACCAGTCGCAACACCACGCTGGGAAAGAGGGCAGGTGCGAGCCTGATGAGATGATGTCGCCCTGTTCCCTGGTTTTGCTGCCAAATTTGGGAGCCACGGGAGCGTTTTGGTTTGGGCCCAACTCCAACTCTCCCCTCCGAAAAACATGGCTGGACTCGGGGAAGACGAGAGAACAAGGCGGACCTGTGGATGTCGGGAGTGGGAGTGAATGATCCCAAGATGCCCTGTGCGGCAGGGTGGGCACACGCAAATGTCAAGCAATCGCGTGGAGGCCACTCTGGTTCTCATCCCAAATGCTCATCCACCTGTTAGCGAGAGACTCCCGACTCCTTGCCTATTTGCCCTGGTCACCGCCCGAGCCATTTAGGCGCCTAGGTCTCTCGCTAGCAGCCAATCGTCGTTTAATTCAACCTTGGCCCCGAAAAAAAAGCAGGCCCCCCCAGCACGGCTGGCTCGCACTAGACTGAGCGGGGATCGGGGGAATCTCAGGCCCTCTCCCTAAAGTCAAAGTCCCTTTGCCTTCAACCCAGCGACACTCCTTCGAACCTGCCCGCTTCCCAATCTTATCACGTCACAAGCCAGCAAAGCAAAACCACCGTAGTCTTCCGGTCAACCTATTTTTTCTCCTCTCTTTCCGCTTTCTCCTCCTCCATCTCCAATCTCCAACTCTAGCGATCCTTTCCCGCACCTTATACCCAACCCCATAAACAAAATGGCCACCGAAGTAAGTCAGCTTCAGCCCGCCGTCAACGCCGGCCTTCGGGCGCAGACGGCCCATTCCCCCATTCCTCGACACCGCCTTCTCCTCGGCGCCAGTCATGGCCAGCAGGGCAGCCACGCTCGTCGCCCCCGTCCGTCCGCCGCCCGTTCGTCTGTCAGGTTGCAACAATTATGCTAACGTTTGCCCTCTTCTTCGTGTAGCGCGAGAGGTGTGTGTGATTTCGCTGCCTGCTGCCTGTTGCCCGCTGTTCGCGCGGGCATCGGCATCGGTGTATCTGACCCCACTGGCAACCTGCGTACTGACGAGACGGTGAATCAACAGCAAGACTTTCCTCGCCCGCCTCTGCGAGCAGGCTGAGCGCTACGATGAGATGGTTACCTTCATGAAGGAGGTCGCCAAGCTCGGTGGTGAGCTCACCGTTGACGAGCGCAACCTCCTTTCCGTTGCCTACAAGAACGTCGTCGGCACTCGCCGCGCCAGCTGGCGCATCATCTCCTCCATTGAGCAGAAGGAGGAGTCCAAGGGCTCCGAGAAGCACGTCGCCATTATCAAGCAGTACAGGCAAAAGATCGAGACCGAGCTCGAGACCGTCTGCAAGGACGTCCTCGAGGTTCTCGACGAGTCCCTTATCCCCAACGCCGCCACTGGCGAGTCCAAGGTCTTCTACCACAAGATGTATGTATTCCAGGCGCAATCCCCTGGCCTTGGCAGTCGCTGATCAGTATTTCTCTACAGGAAGGGTGATTACCACCGTTATCTTGCCGAGTTTGCCTCCGGCGAGAAGCGCAAGAACGCTGCTACCGCGGCTCACGAGGCTTACAAGGTACGAGCTTCTGAAAATTCGCGCGATTTGCTACAAACGGGCTCTTGCTAACCTGATGTATTCACTATCATGTAGAGCGCTACCGATGTTGCTCAGACCGAGCTCACTCCCACCCACCCTATCCGCCTGGGTCTTGCCCTCAACTTCTCCGTTTTCTACTACGAGATCCTTAACTCTCCTGACCGTGCCTGCCACCTCGCCAAGCAGGCTTTCGATGATGCGATCGCCGAGCTCGACTCCCTCTCCGAGGAGTCTTACCGCGACAGCACCCTTATCATGCAGCTCCTCAGGGATAACCTCACTCTCTGGACCTCGTCCGATAACGGCGAGCCTGAGGCCGCTGCTGAGGCCCCCAAGGCCGAGGAGAAGACCGAGGAGAAGGCCGAGGCCGCTGAGGAGAAGGCTCCCGAGGAGCAGTAAGCGCACTCTTTCGGACCGTGGTTTCTTTCGCCATGACGGGTGCATGCCCTCGCTGGTCGCCTGAGGTGTACCGGAGTGGCAGGGGAGCGCCCGTCTTTTGCGCAACTGGTCTTGTGTTGCTTCTTGACTTTGATAGCTAGGATTTTTGTAAACTCGGAGCTGGGCTTTGTTCTCTCTGGACTTGACCGGCTGGCGGATGGAGCGTGAAATATGCGGCACATTGGTCATTGGCTGGGCGGGGGCGTCGCTAAAGGGAGTTGGTTGATGCCGGGGGCCACTGAAATGCAGGGCATGATAGTCGTTTCTCTTACGGTCACGTTTCCTATTCTCTTATTATTATCATTTCCCCCGTCGTCCTGTCGCCACACATCACACCTTTCCCTTCCACCTGCTTTTCTGAGATGGGAAGAGGGTAAGAGAAGGAACAAGAGGTCTCTATTAACAACAACGCCCCCCAAAAAAGCCAAAGGAACTACACCTTCCCTTTTGGCGAGGAAAACAAATGATACTCAGATCAGAGATATATCCCTGTCCTCTCGTGAGGACGTTCACGTACATTGCTCAGCGTAGCCTGCAAGTGCCCTTTGACTGTTTACCATTCCTCAAAAGTTTGCCTTGTAGACTAAGCTTAGAGGCCTGGCCAGGCATTGCATCGCTGTAGACCGTGGGTGGCGCAAACGTCATGTCCCACGGCAAGACACATCAAACGAGATTCATGTTGAATAGACAGTTTGCTCAGTGTGTAGGCATGCCAATTTTTCAAATCAAATATGCATATGATAATCTACTCGGTGACATTGAGACAATGTGTTCAACATCACAACCCATTTTTCAGGACTTAACGCCTACCATATGCCACCAACCCAATCATGCTTTTGTCAACATAACTCAATGCCTTCCCACAACGGGGTTTCCAATACTGTTATTTCCTCGTTGAGGTTCACTAAATCCATACCTACGCCCGAACGCCCACGCCGATATTATTCCGTCCACCTACAAACAGACAACAAAGTGTGCCCACGGCAGGCACTTCTCTGTGGTCAAATAAACAAACCCCCTTAAAAGCAATGGACATGATGATATGCAGCACGTTTTTCATAACTCGCCATCACCAAGCACAAAAGATTCCCGTGTCGTCGTCATCGTCGTCGTCGTCAAGTTATACTTGTCTCTCCCCCAATCCGCCGGGTCACCACCAGGCACGCATAAACCTAGCCGCCAAAAGTAATCCCTTGCGCAAAAAAAGAGTTGCCAGAGCTTGATCTGGTGGGAAACATCCTCTTTGTCCTGATTGTGGGAGCTTTTGCGGTCGTGGGTGGCTCACCCTCGACATCAACATCGTCATTCCCAGCATCAGCGTCACCATTGTCTTCTTCGCCATTATCACCGTCGCCATCAACAACACCAACAGCAACAGGATCTCGATAATAGAAACCACGATCAACCCCCTTCGTCGCCGCTGTCAGCGCCGGCACGTCAGCCACCTGCAACATACTCCCATCAAACCATCCGCCGCCATCCGACTTCTCAGCCCCCGCCACGCACTCCGGGTCGTTATCACCCTGACACAACCGCACGTCTTCAGGGGCAGGCGGCAGGTCAGACTTGGAGATGTGTACCTCGCCTGCGTGCGAGCGGTATCCCCATTCCGTCAGGGGGAGAAGGGGGACGGGGTCGTTGACGTGGGTTACGCGGCAGTAGGCTCTGTTCTCGCCCTCGTCCTTGACCTCGTTGTCTTCATTATCAAGACCAAAGGCCTTGTCCAGGTAATCCACCAGTGCTTGGTTGCCGATACGCGGTTCGCCAAAGGTCGTCACCTGGACGTCGTGCCAGCCTAGCGAGAGCCGAATTTCCAGCGCGGCGAGAGCGGCGACGGCGCCCCCGAGGCTGTGTCCGACCAGATGGACTGGGTATTTAGGGTGTTTGGCGCGGGCGGCTTTGAGGGCCGGTAAGACGTAGTCGCGCGCGGAGCGCCAGGACGCGAGGAAACCCATGTGGACTGTGCAGTTTGTGCAATTGTTCTCGTTGTCGTTTCTCCCCTTAACTGCATTCTCATCCTCATCATCATCGTCCGGCGCCGGATACGGCACATACTCCTGCGGCACCGTACTCAAATCAACAATTGTGTTAGTAATACTATAAGTTCCCCTAAACGCCACGATGATAGCCGGCTCGCTGACCACCACTCCCCGCCCGGTCCGCTCGTCTCGCCTCCTCTCGCCGTGGTCGACGGCAATGTACCCACAGCTGTCGCTGAGGAGCAAGCCTGTGTTCCAGGTCCGCTCGAGTCGTAGTGAAGGGAAATCTTTGCAGCGGGATACGCATGAGAAGGGCTTCGATACGCCGGTTGTGCCGACGCAGTAGGTAATGTCGACTAGGCGAGCCATGCGTTCGAGTGAGGCAAAGAAGGGGAGCGAGACACCGCTGCCTTGCCGGGCTGGTGATGTGCCGGTATGAACTTCTCCATCGGTAGAGGTATCCGAGGCGTGGTCATGGAGTGAAGCGAGGAGATGCTGTCCTCGAGGTTTGTTCGGGTCTCCTGGGACGGCTAATGGGTTTGCGTAGACATTCTCAACGAAGTAAGAAATGAGCTGAAGGAGGAATAGAAAGAGGTGGTGTATCAGATGCATCTTTGCGGAAGATGATGATGATGCATGCTCTGGGTGGTTTCTGGAGTTGTTGAAATCGTGCCGAGCAAGACTCACGGCTATGGCAAAGGGAACATGGAGGAAATTATCAAGACGACGAATTTGAAAGGCCAGAAGTTTCTCGGAAAAATATCTCTTGCTCAAGATGTCGGTTGGACATGGCCTCCCGGGCGGCGAGAACGTACCGCGTGACCAACCCTGGACCAGTGACTGATGAGTGAACCGGGAAGGATGACCAGGGACGTACGTAAGTAATTGATGAGGCGGGAGTTCAGCTGCTTTTCTCCTTGAATTAATCTTTTCAGGATCTGTGATTTCACTTGTTAAGGTTCGGAAAACGAAGCGGAGTAATGGTGTAGGAAATTCTGCGTGAGTGTGAAACACAGCACAGCATCGACGAGCTTTTAGAATGGAGGATGGAGGTTGAAATTGGGCGGGCAGAGCAAGCGGAATGGGAAGAGGAACACAAAGCGGAAAGTGGTGACGTTGGTCTTGTTCCAGGCTTCAGGGACGCCCCTACACTGCAGTTTCAGTGGTCAGATGAACGGGAGTTGCCATGCGAGTGCATGCCTGCCCGCTGTGGAGGGGCGCCGCATAAGCAGGGGTAAGCGAGCGCCACCGCTGCAACACCCCGCAATATCTCAGAACTTTAACTTTCATCCATCTTCAACTTCACTTACACCTCACTCTGCTCCTCACAAACTTACACAGTGCTGTCATGTCATGCAAGGGGACCTGGGACCACTCCCTCAGTCACGGTAACAATCTTGGGCGTGATTTGATATTGATATTGTGTTTTCATCCCTCGTTAGTAATCCTGTCCATTATCTCATTCATTCATTCCTTCATTCATTACCATTTCCCATATTCCGTATCCCGTTATTTACCAAGTACAGAGGCAACCGTGATCCGCTTGTCATCTTTGCGATTGCCTTCCCCTCTCGGGATCTAGTTATTTCCGGGGGGCTCGATGGGGTCGAGAGCAGTGAAATTCCCGAGGATGGCAAAGTCTAGAGAGAAGCATTGCGACCCTTCTCCGAACGGGGTAGACTTGCTAGTATCGACGCAGCTGAGCCTAGGGGTGATCTGGTCCAAGGCCTCCATGCCCCTGCTTTCATTGTTAGAAATCTGATAACATCTACTGAGAAGGATGATGATGGGGAACTTACGACTCTGGTGTATGGGGGCATGCTAGCTCGATCATAGACAGCGAGCTTTCCTCCGTGTCCCATATGAAACGCACGCTTGGGTCTTCGCAAGCATATTGGGCGCTTCTCAAACCCGTTGGCGCTATGTTGGGCTGAGTTCCATTGTAGTGACAAGACGTTGCGATCTTTGTCTCTTCGTCTGCGTATTGAAAGTCGATGACCATTGGGTGGGTGTTGCCATTCTTTGGTGTCCATACCTGGAGCGATGTGATCTTGTAATGGACCGGGTACGGGCATTGGTCATCGTGTGAGGAGAGGTACTTGAGGCGGTTCATAAACGAGGGCATCGAAGGTAGAGAAGCCACAAGAGGGACAAGAGCCACGAGGGCATGAAGGTTCGTGATAAGCATGATGGCGGTGACAAGCATAATACCCGAGTGATCCTGGTGTGCAATCGGGATGTCTGGGACGTTTGGGTGCAGGTGTGGTTTATATCTGCTCAAGTTGACAGTCGTGCAGACAGAAGGGGCAATGACGAAAACTAAAATAGTTCAGGAATGATTAGTGAGCCCATGCCTTTATAAAGGCAGCAAGAGCAAATCCATTGTTGTCTTGCCCTGCCCCGTTACCCAAGCATACGCAGTGGACAACGGTACACTACACCTTGAAGATCCAATCCACACAGCATTCGGCAATGAGATACTTGTAAGGTGACCCAAACCGGTGGCAGTCAAGCACTCTGGCGTACCACACTGTGGCTATCCGATCTGCAAATCTGGCAGGGCATAAAGTACAGAGGTGGCTCGGGTGGGCAATGATTGGAAATGTCGAGCGTAGATCTAGCTACCATGATCCGGACAGGACGGACCAAGTACCAGCACGTATACATGTACATCAGCTTCAGTCAAGCAAGACTTACTATCAGTTGATATCCAGTGACTCTGAGATACTCTTTTTTATGCTCGGTTGATATCAGTCTTCCGTTACTTTCCTTTGCACGGCCTTGGGAAATCTCGGCAGATTCCTAGTTCGGCGTGTTACGATATCCCCTGGATCACAAGGGAATTCGGGCTTGTTCAGCATGTTCTCTACTGATCTTGCCAAAGGGGGTTCATCGGCTAGGGCGCCGCTTGACAGCACTGAAAGTACCCTACTTGGCTCTGGTCCTCAGTATCTGAAGATTCGTCATGGCGGATGTCCAAGGAATACCAACAACGAAGGAATGCCGCGGGAAGAGCATAGTTTCGGCTACTGGTGCTCCCAAACCGTTTACGGCTCCATAGCCTTCTCGCCCTACCACTGCTCCGTCCATCACAACGTGATCGAATGGTGGCCAGCTTGCGTGCGTATCCAACGGCTACTCTAGACCCGAGAATTTGTCCGGGATCACGAAGCGTATGCGCTACCGCTCTGATACGACCTCTCCTTATGGCCTATGTTTGGTGCGCATACCCTGCAGTGAACACAAGGTGAGGCCGCCCATAGATAACTGAGCTCGGCATGTTGACCGATCATCTTTTCAGTCGACAGAGGTCATGCTTATTGAAAAGGTCCTCTCTCGGTTGGCCCCGGGCCGAGACAGCCCCCGGGGTTTAAGAAAATAATAACGCGGACCGCATGTGGACCGCACAAACATTATTCGAACGAGGCTGGTTTTCCGGATGATGGTCTAGCATAGAGCTCTCGATGTTTTCGGCGAGGATCCTGTCCAACATCTCCTCGTACACAGCCGTCGTGCCAACGTCGTAGCACGGAAGAAAAAAGAGAAGAAGTTTCAGGTCCGGGCGAGTGTTTGGCTTTGCGAATTGCGATGATCCTAAGGTGGTACTTCGGAAATGACAAAGAGAGCTAGGATGCCTGGTTTTATCTCGAAATAGCAAGATGGCAAGGCAATCGTCTTCATTGTATCCGTCTTTGTTGCGTGGAACATGTCTAATCGTCGAAAGGTCCTCGCGAAATAGGACAGGGCAATGCAGACGGAGCGGGGGAGTCTCAAAGCTGGAGGTGCAGTACAAAGGTTGCCTTTGCGACAGGTGAAGTTGAAGAGTTAAGCAGCATCTCAGGGTCGCTTCATGCTGAAGTGTAGTTGTCGATGCATTTTGGGGTTGAACTGAATTGAGCTGTAACCGACAGAAGATGTTGTCACTGATATGAAATGACTGGTGCCCAAGTGACCGTATAGGACGGGATGGTGGTTCAACTTACATAAGCCACAGCCGACAGCTCACTAGCCACAAAACGCGTCCATCTCCCCCACTTACCAGCCACACCCACAGAACATTTTCCACTTTTCGGGCGGGTACTTCAAAAATCAGTCGCGAACTTTTATTCTCCCAAGTCCCCTCGACGTTCAGCCGACGATTTCGAGCATCCGACAACCACCCTTTTCGGAATCACCTCTCCAACCAACCATCAAAATGGCTGCTGAATCCAAGACCGGCCTCGCCGTTGGCCTCAAGAAGGGTCACGTACGTCTCACCTCGTGGAGGATCTCTGCGTTGCCTTCCTGAAAACAAAAAAAGGGAAATCAGGGCTATCGCAGACGATGGACACTGCATCTACCTCTCTTGTTTTCAACAACTCCAACCCCAACACGAAAATCTCAAACGATTGAAAGATATCGAAGGAGGAACTGTGATTGCTGACCAGGATACCAATTTACCCAAATACAGAAGACCACTGCTCGTGTCTCCAAGCCCCGTGTTTCCCGCACCAAGGGTCACCTGAGCAAGCGCACTGCTTTCGTTCGCTCCATCGTCCAGGAGGTCGCTGGGTACGTTTTGCCGATTTTCAGTCTTCCCAACATCGAAATATTTGCGCCACGCAGCAATCTCCTCGCCAAACCCAATCAGACACGCACATAGCAGTTCAACCGACGGAGATGATGGTTCTTGGGAGGGTGGTACACAGACGTGTGCCCGTTTCGACAAGATATCACAATTTCCGTTGAGAGTACTGGAGCCGAGTGCTTGATCAGATTTGAAGGAGGGGAATTGTTGCGGCGCATCTGTGAAAGATATACTCAGATGAACCCATCGCTAACACATCTTTTCCACTACAGCCTTGCTCCCTACGAGCGCCGCGTCATTGAGTTGCTCCGCAACTCCAAGGACAAGCGTGCCCGTAAGCTCGCCAAGAAGAGGCTCGGTACCTTCGGCCGTGCTAAGGCGAAGGTTGAGGACCTCCAGCGCGTCATCGCTGAGGCTCGCCGCGCCGGCCACTAAATCGGTTAATTCCGATGGCTGGATTGCTTGGAGAGTGTGATTAAAATACCAAAAAGGAATTCTGCCTCTTGTCGTTTCTCTGGCATTGTTCGGCGTGACGTGCGTGGTTCGTTCTGCTATGGATCAAATGTGAAAACCCTTTTCCTTATGAACTGGTTAAAAATTAGCTGGCCTCTGGGAATAGAAACGATATAACGCCATTTTCGAATGACAAGATGCTGAATTACGGAGAAACTTCTTTCCCTCTCTTGGACTGTGATGTCACATTTGTCTATGTGAACTTTGATTTTACTTCATCGGCGTAGTACCCTGATTGCATGTTCATAACGCTGGCATATTGAATATCTATCCAGTCCTTGTACAACTACCTTCCAAAGAACGCGCAACCTTGTAGATACTGCTACCAGAAAGCTGTACGGCCGTTGCAAGCTGCTCATTTCCTACCAGGCAGCTTGAACAACTTGCCCAACTTCTTCTTGACAGCATCGGAATCCAGACCATGATCACCCTTTCGCTTAACCTCTTGGCCACTCGATGATGGTCCAGCCTGGACTTCCTTATCGTCCTCGCCCTCGACCTGTGAGACATCCGGTACCACCACCTCCTGCGCTCGGCTAGCCACACTGCCCTTCAAGAATGACGACTTGCGCGCCTCCTCCGACGCCGCATCATCCCATACCAGATTCAACAACGCCCTTCCCCGGAGCTTATAGTCCGCCACCAGCCTCTTGTTGCCATCTTGAACAGCAACGATCGGATGCGTGCCGGGGAGGATCAAACGGAAAGGCTGGTCCGGATGGGCCATGACGCCCTTGACGGCCTGATACAGGAAAGAGCCAGTCTGCTCTGGCGTGACAGTCCACTGCGCCGACGTCTGGTCCGGGAAACGAACCTTGATATCGACACTCGTGATCTTGGCCAGCCGAGCTGCTTCCTCCGCCGCATCAGCCGCCAGTTCAGCATCGGACTTGAGCCGTTGATTTTGCGCCCGTTGCAAAAGCTGTTGTTGCCGTAGCTGAGCGTGGGCAATGGTTGGCTCGTACACGGCATCGTCCACCTGAACCCGGGCGGCGAGTGGAGTGGTAGAGGACGGGGCGTTGAATACGCCCGTGGGTTCGAGAGGGTCGCTGGGCTCGCTAGCAATGGTCGTCGTAGTCCCTATCGGAGGAGCAGGAGGGGCAGGGACCACCTCATCGACGATGTCCATCGGGTCGGTCTTCGCAACTGGTTCCGGAGCAGGGACAACCGGGGCCACCGCTTTGGCTGCCTCTGTCGAGCCCACCTGTAGTTCTGGCTCTGCCAACGTACTCTCTTTGACCGGCTTCGGGCCAGCGGCTAGAGTCAGATCTTCTATAGGTTCCTCTATCGCCGGTGCTGACCCAGTCGCTGGTGCTGAAGGTTCGCCTGTCTGCGTCTTTGGTTGACTTGGTTCCACCTCCTTGAGATATTGGCCGATATCTTGCATCGCGTCGTACAGAGTTTTGTCTGTGTCGCGGAAGGACACCCGCAAAACGATGCTGCCAGAGTTGATACCACATTGGGAGAGCGTCTTCTGTAGGTCCTCCATCGAAGTGTAGTCCCTGCCCATGATGTTCACCACCGGCGCCTCGAAGTACAACTGGCCACTGGTTCCCTGAGGGCCGGTACTGCTCTTAGGAGTGCCTCTGCCGGTCAGATTCAACCCCTGCTCCGCAACTTCGAACTGGCGCATGACCTGCCACAGCATCATGTCGCTGGATAGCTTCTTCGTGTACCGCTGGCCGTTAACATCGAGGGCTATCGATACTACTGCTGCGCTCTTGGACTTTTGAACGAGCTCGAGCTTGGCGCCTGACACAAGACCTGACGTCCGAAAGGGGCCAGACAAGTCAATGAGCTTCTGCTTGTGTCTGTATGGAAGTGTCAGTCCAACATGATCTGGCAACTGGGCATCGTAGGGCTTTCGTTCTCACTTAAGTTGGTACTTGTCACTGTTAAGGTTGAACTTTTGGCAAGCTTCTCCCAGAACATCGACCAGGTAGGTTCCAGGCGTAACTTTGACCTTCGTCCTCCTCAGGTCCGTAGAGACTACTTCGACGTGCGCTGACATATTGGCGGTCTCGATTATGATTATGGTGAATGGTGAGAAAAGTGGTGAATGAGGTTGCTGCTAACGCTGAACCGGCGCAACAGATCGGTTAAATGAAGGTCGATGTACGTAGCTGTAAAGCTTTATGGTTGGAGTGGCTGAGAGTCTGATAACAGTTGAAGTTGTCCTTTGAATCAAGACGATTGTGTCCTTCCAAAGAGCAGTTACGTAGTTGCTTGTGGATGTTGTGTTTGGCGGTCGGTTGTTCTTCAGGCAACCCCGCGTAACGTAATCGGCGAATACCAGCTCGGCACGAGAGGGGTTATAATGCTTCAGTTTGTGATAAGACGGGATGATAGAGAAGCTTGAATGTCTGCTTTGTCAGATGAAAGATGGACACGGAATGTATGGCAATGATCAAAGCTGAGAGTGAATGTCGTGGCTTCAAGTCACCGTCGTTTCGTCAAGTATACAAAATGCATAAGGAGCTTCCATTCTGAGAGCTTCCACGGCCGGCGGGCATCTTGTAACCTCAGGAGGGGCAATTACGCAGTGCGTTTGCATGGCAACATCCACCCAGCAACGGGGAAGGGGAGAAGCAGCGGGCAGCTCCTGCCACCTAGAAGCAACCGGTACAGACCAATCCTAGAGGTAAGAACCCTCTAGCTTCCATCGCATGCCCCGTGCAGTGGCAGCTACAAAGGTACACAGTAACTGTCCTGCCAGGCACCCTTGTAGTGGACACCTCCATCCAGTCCTCCGCCCAGCCAGCCGCGCCAGCTGCGTGTTGCCTTGCCTTGTCAACTGGAGCTTCCCCGAAGGTGAGCTTGACGACGGAAACAACAAGCTTCCAAATCACTTTCACCAGACATCATTGAACCATCGCGAACACCCCGCGCGGCAAAGACGAACGGCCCATACTCCCCGAATCATACTTCAAAGAACGACACGAGCGCCATCGCCGAATCCTCCTCCATCTTCCGAGTAAACGATCATCACCACTTGCATCACCACATCCCAGGCACAAGATGGTAAGCTGCCCGATCACTACAGCCATTTGGATAACCCCCCATTCCCAGGGAACATAAACAAGATCTGAAGCTAACGATTATACCATCAAACAGTCGTCCCCCTTCTCGATAAGTACGATATCCCACTACCCGAACTTCTAAACAATGACCCCTCCTCGACCGAAAGGCATGACATAACATCATAACTAACTATTGCTCTTCCCCATCTCCCGCAGACGGCGGTGCCTGCGTCGCCATGGTCGGCAAAGACTGCGTAGCCATCGCCTGCGACCTGCGCCTCGGTCTCCAGGCCTTGACAGTCTCCAACAACTTCCCCAAGATCTTCCAGTACGGCGACGTCTTCCTTGGCTTGACCGGTCTGGCGACGGACGTGTCGACCGTGTCGGACCTGTTCCGGTACAAGGTGAACATGTACAGACTTCGGGAGGAGCGCAACATTGCCCCCAAGACCTTCGCCAACCTCGTCTCCAGCAGCCTGTACGAGCGCCGCTTTGGGCCCTATTTCGTCAGCCCCGTCGTTGCGGGCTTGGATCCCAAGACGAGCGAGCCGTTCATTTGCGGCTTTGACAGCATCGGATGCATCGATTTCGCGAAGGATTTCATTGTGAGCGGGACGGCGACGGAGCAGTTGTTTGGCATGTGCGAGAGCTTGTGGGAGCCGAATCTGGTATGTTGTTTTTGGCCTACCGCTCGAGAGAAGCTACTGGCTCGACCATTTATCTTTATTCGTCAGGGAGGGGAGAAACTAACGATGACGTTACAATACAGGGACCCGAGGACCTTTTCGAGACCATATCACAGGCTCTCCTCAACGCCGTTGATAGAGATGCCTTGTCAGGCTGGGGCGCCCACGTTTACATTATCGAGAAGGACAAGGTCACCAAGAGGCTATTGAAGGGACGACAGGATTAAGCGGGACGTTCGGGCATAATGATGATGATGAATCTGGGCCAAGAGAGTAATCAAGTCGCATACGCGCTAATGGACTATCGGTACCCTTGGACTCTGTAGAACAAATACATTTGCAACATGACACATTAGCGAGCGGGCGAGACAGTCGTGCGGGTCAAGAGTGGTTAATCAAAGACGTCAATTTTCGCAAAAGCCTTGCATAATAACTGGATATATGATCTATTTATATAGACAAAAGAAGTTGTTTACGTCTAGATCTAAAGCTACCAGATCAGTTCAAGTCTATACATCCCGAACCTAGAGATCCTTCTTCTTTTCCAAAGGCGCCGAGCTGCTGGGGGTGCTCTGGACAAAGAACTTGCGCTCAACGGCCTTGAGAATTTCGTCGAGGAGCCTAGAATATATGTTAGCGTACTGTTCAGAAATTGACACAGAAGACGGAGGGATGAACTTACACAACAGGAGCGCTAATGACGATCACGGCCTTCCACTCTGCCCAGTTCAAGGGCAGAATGGAAAAGAGGGTCTGAAGGATGGGAGTGTAGAGAAGGGCGAAGTGCAAGGCCATGGACAGAGCAATGGCATAGACGAGCATCATGTTCTTCCACACAGGGAGCGTCAAGAGAGACTCGCTGGAGGAAAGGGCGTTCATGGCGTTGAACATTTCAATGACGACCAAGATGGAGAGCGAGACAGTCGAACCGGCCTTGGCCATGTCGTTCGAGAACATGGCGCAGCCAATCTCAGGGAACTCGGTAGAGCAGCGGTGGAAGTGGGACAGCTGGTAGAAGCTGATCTGGGGACCCTCCGAGTAGAACATGAACCACCAAGCATAACCGGCGACCGTGGCGAGACCGACGTAGGTGCCAATGACGAGATAGCGGAAGAAGAGCCATCCACCGATGAGCTTCTCGTCACGCTTCCTGGGGTTGCGACGCATGATATCGTGGTCAGGGGGGTTGAACGACAAGGCGGTGGCGGGGAGACCGTCGGTGACCAAGTTCACCCACAGAAGCTGAACAGGGATCAAAGCCTCAGGCATGCCGAGAGCGGCCGTCAAGAAGATAGAGACGACCTCACCGATGTTAGAAGAGATGAGATAGCGGATGAACTGCTGGGTGTTGTTGTAGATGGCGCGGCCTTCCTCGATGGCGACTTCGATAGTGGCAAAGTTATCATCAGCAAGTACCATATCAGCAGCGAGCTTCGACACGTCGGTGCCGGAACCCATAGCAACACCAATATCAGCCTTCTTCAGCGCAGGGGCATCGTTGACACCGTCACCAGTCATAGCAACAACCTCACCAAGAGACTGGAGGAGGTCAACCAACTTGGACTTGTGAGTAGGCTCCACACGAGAGAACAGAGAAGCAGTCTTGGCAGCCTCGAGCTGCTCACCAGGGCTAAGGTTATCGAATTCGCGACCAGTGTAGCTCTTGCCAGTCAAATCCTCGTTAGAATTGAAGACACCGATCTGCCGGCAAATGCTCTCAGCAGTGTTGCGGTTATCACCGGTGATCACGACGACACGAATGCCAGCATCCTTGCACTTCCTGATAGAAGCAGCAACTTCGGGGCGAGGAGGGTCAAGCATGCCGACGAGACCGATGAGAGTAAGGTTCTGTTCGAGAGAGGCGTATTCGGCGGTAGACTTGGCGGTGTGAAGAAGAGGGTTACCGGTGACGTTGTCCAAGCTAGCCAGAGCGATGACGCGCAGACCGCGGTTGCCATACTCAACAACCTCCTTCATGAGGATTTCGGACATGTTGCGATCAAGGTGTACCTTCTTGCCACTGGGGCCGAGAAGAGCGTGAGTGCAGCGTTCGATGAGCGATTCAGGGGCTCCCTTGACGAGAAGCTTCTGCTGACCATCACCTTGAACCAAGACAGACATGCTCTTGCGGTCACGGGAGAACTCGTAGGTGGCAAGGCGCTGGTACTTCTTCTCATACCAAGAGCTAGCGTAGTGAACGCGATCCTTAGGAGGGCAATCGGAGGGGGCGCAAGGGCCAATCTTCTCAGCCAAGACACGGAGGGCGCCTTCGGTAGCTTCACCGACGTTCGAGAAAGTGTTGGTAGAGGGATGGTAGTCAAGATGGGCATCGTTGCAGAGAGCGGCGACTTCGGTTAACTGAAGGATGGTAGCGGATTTCTGAGCAAGATCGGTAACCTCCTTGCCCTGCGACTTGATAGCGCCCTTAGGTTCAAAGGTGGTTCCCTCAACATCTAGCTCCTCCAGATCAGTACCATCCTGGTTGAAATAAACAATCTTGTTAACGCTCATTTGGTTGGTGGTCAAAGTGCCGGTCTTGTCAGAGCAAATGACGCTGCAGCTGCCCAGGGTCTCAACAGACGGAAGACTTCTCACAACAGCGTTCTTGGCGGCCATCTTGCGGGTTCCCAGGGCAAGGCAGGTAGTAATGACAACCGCAAGACCCTCAGGAATGGCCGCAACACCGAGAGAGACGGCAATCTTGAGGTAGTAGATGGCACCCTTGGTCCAGTTTCCATGGCTCGGGTCGGCAAAGTTGGGGATGTTGATGAGCCAGACAAGAACGCAAATGACAGTGATAACCTTGGCGAGTTGGTCTCCGAAGTCATTGAGCTTCTGCTTCAAGGGGGTAGGCTCAGAGATCTGTGCGGTAATGCTCTCGTGGATGTCGCCGATAGCAGTGTTAGAACCAGTCAAGACAACGACGGCTCTGGCGTGACCAGTGACAACAGTTGTACCCGAAAACAGCATATTGACCTGATCCTGCAAGACCGCCTTGTCGTCGCTAACAACGGCCTGGAAATCTTTCCCGACGCTTTCACTTTCTCCGGTCAAGATAGCCTGGTCCACGGCAAAGCTGTTGCTTTCGATCGAGATCAATCTGCAGTCAGCAGGGATGCGGGCACCAACGGCAACGTCAACGACATCGCCTGGCACAAGATCCTCAGCCTTGATACGGGTAATCTGTCCATTGCGCACCACGTTGGCCTCGTTGGCCGAATATTCTTGCAAAGCGGCAATTGCCTTCTCGGCACTGCTTTCCTGGGACACTCCAACAACGGCGTTGAGAATAAGGATTGTCAAGATGACAGCGGGGTCGACGAAGGCACTCCAGCCACCCTCCTCCTCGAAAAGCGCGAGTACGAACGAGATGGCGGCAGAGCCCAGGAGGATGAGAACCAGCTGGTCCTTGAATTGTTCCAGGATAAGCTCCCAGATAGGTGTTGGAGGTTCCTCGGGGATGGCTGAGGCAGGAAAAACCGTTAGCAAAGGCAATTGACAGAACAGCTAAGCTGAGTTCTGGGAATCTTGTAGAGAAAGCGCATACCATTCTTCCCGTGCTTGGCCCTGGACTGAGCTACCTGCTCGTCACTTAGACCGGTGATAGGGTCAACGCCAAAGGTGCTGAGGACCTCATCGACGGGCTTTGCGAACGCGGTCTCCATGTTCACAAAGGTTTCTTCGAGGTTGCGAAAGCAAAGCGTAACGGCGGTGTTGGGGGAAAATCGAAGTGTGAAGGCTCCAAAGAGCTTCAACAAAGGAATGGAAAATGCCCCAGCAGTGTTGGAGCTAAAGTCCACAGTCTTCAAGAACAAATCCTTGAATAGAGAACGGTAGGAAGACACGCTTATAGCAGTATCATGGAATCAGAGCAAGAGAAAAAGATCGTAGCTAGCCTCGTCGAAAAGGTTGCCTATGGTGAAAAAAAACTAAAAAATCTGGAATAGTTCAGCCTTGATATGTACTACCTCGCCGGCCAGGGTACATGTTGTGCTGCGACGTGTCCAGTTCTACAAAAGTCGCCTCTCTTCGGCGCATGTTTCTGACTCGAGTATGGTTCAACTGGAATGCGGTGGCTCGGACGCTGTACAACGGCGCAGTTGGGGGGGCACTCCCCTCCCACTGGGGCAGTCGCTGTCCACACCAGTGACGGAACGGGAGCCACTGACAGGGCAGGCGCGATCCTCCCCTAGCGGAATGGAACCAGCACCTTCCTTCTCCGGGCCCCTGGGCCAACCTCCAACTGGAACCTCGAAATCGCCAAGCGATGCGGAACTGTCACGGTGCCCCCACATTCCCACCCTCTTTCCGAGCCGGGCCCCGGCAAGTGGCACCGCCCTGCATCTTGATGCCGTCACTGGATTTCGAGATCGTTTTCTTAAATTACAGGAGAACAAGACGAGAGATTCGAACAGTCATCGCTAAAGAGGAGCCAATGTCAGAGATATTAGGGGCGGGCGGTGTTGACAGTGTCCAGGTGAACTGGGCTCGAGCTAGGGTCCGCGGTAGCCATGACATTTCTGAAGACAAGTGATAACGCTTTGTTCACCATGCTGCTTTCGAATCGTTTGAAACTTTTGGAGATGCAGCTGAAAGCAGGGCGCCCATGGCAAACGCATGGGGCGGAGAAGAGAGGAACGTTCGGGGTGGGTAAGTTTTAGAACTTTCTAGTTCAAACTCTCGTTATCAGCCTCTTTCCTTCCAGATCTGGAAAAGACAATTTGATGAACACCATCAGTTCGTCCCGATGAACTGCCAGAAAAGAAACAGTGCGGTACTTGGACACATGAAAATCATTATCGAGAAGACATTTGTGCATATGACACCTGCAGCTTTCCAACAAGCCACACTGCCGACCGATCTGCAGGTGGTTTTGTTCGGCGGCTCCATGAGCCGTTGGAAGCAGAGATTAGGTTAGGTGAATGCGATACCCAAATCGATTCGCGAAAAGCTTCGCATCAAGATTATCGGAGAACCATGTAAACGGACATTACGAAGGCTGTGCATAGAGAACAGATTATGGCTGATGCTTTGCGACCTGATCTTGTTAATGAGCATAATCTCCGAAAAGAGAGCAAGAAAGTCAGGTTTGATCCCGATGAAATTCGATGAAATTTACCCCGCCAACCCCACCTCCCGTCCAAAGTCAACAAACCGCCTGAGACAGGCAGACAACGCTCGAAAGAAACATTACAACTGTCCTAGAGACTATACAGAAACAATATCCGAACGATAAACCTGCAAATCTTCGCTTAATACACTACCAGGCTCTGTAATAGCCCGACTACTTTTCTCACCTTTCGCTCACCAACACCGCCAAAAAAAAAAGCACCATGGCTCCTCCCTCCGCTCTCAACATCGCGACCCAATCGGTCAACCGCCTCGTCAAGGAGGAATCCTACTACCACAAGGAGCAGACCTCCCAAGAGGCCCGCATCAAGAAGCTCCAAGACGAAATTGCTGCCAACAGCCCCGACCTGGACAGCAACGCACCCTACGTTCTCAAGCAAGAGGTGCGTGCCCCTTGTACCGTGCATGAAGCAAACATGCAAACCCAGACGCCTCGGATACACCCAACCCTAACCCTTTCTTGTTCATGACAATAGCAAACGGCGCTTGAGGAGACCAAGGCTGTGTTTGGCCCTCTCATTAATAGGATTGCTGAGGCGGTTCAGAAGCTTGAGGAGCAGATTGCTATTTCCGAAAGCGAGGGGTCTGCTTCTGAGGAGGACCTGAAGAAGGCCAAGGAGGCGTTGGAGAATGGTAAGAAGCTGACGGAGAGCGCTTAAGAAGTGAAGAGTTGGACGAAGAAATGATGGCAACTTTTTTTCTAGCAGGTATTCTGTTTCAGAAGTGACCTAGCCCATGGAGTGATTCGGTTCTCGGAGACTTAAGAGGTAATAATAAGGGATGAATGACAGTTACAATCAAGCTTGATCATAAAACGCCATACGGTCTAACCACTCTAACGTACACAAGTATATCATTTGTCTCACTTCTCGTTTGTTGCCATTCTTTTTCCGTCTACACCCCTTATGTGGTGTCCATGGTATCCTCGTCGGCGTTGGGACCGTCAACCGTAATCCGCGGCCGCGGCGGGGTCTGATCTGGCAGAGGCGAGAGAGGACTATCAGGATCCTCGACTTCTTCCTCATCATCCTTAACCTCGGTCATCTCAACATCAGTTCCTTGAGTTGCCTCGCCACCGTCGCCTCTATCCATAGAACCCTCGCGGCTTGCGTCCTGGCTTGTCGTTTGCGAGTAACCTCCCGCGATATCATGGGGTGGCTTGAGGAATGACTGGTTCGCATCACCAGGGGCAGGAGTATCGCGCGCCGGTGTCCTGGCGCCCAGGGTCGAGACGGGATGGGGAGTGCCAGCGACGTCGCCGCTCTCAGCTCCGCTCTTTGTTGGGAGTCCACTATCCGGCCTTGGGGTTGCATTGCCGCTAGAAATTCCGGGTCGCGGGGTCTGTCCGGCGTCCGCCTCGGTGTCGCCGGCACCGCCTTCGTCGTCGCCCATGCCTTCGCGGCGCTCCACTTCCTCCTTCTCATCGCGGATCAGCCGCCTCAAACGCATGCTCTCATCCATTATCTTGGCAAACTGGTCGCGCCGCTCATGCCACGTGACACCGTAGGTTTCGCTCTCCGACTTCAACTCGGCAATTTCCTCCTCCAGTTTCCTCAGGTTGGCCGCTTGCTCTGCTCTGGCACGCAGCGCAGGGTTGCCGGTGATCTTATCAGCCAGCTCATCAAACTTCTTGCGCTGCTCGAGCGTAGCACGGGCCTGCTCCAGTTGGACACGTAGCTGGACAGTATTGTTGCGCACCGCCTGCGCCGTGTTGAGAATGCGCTCACGCTCGGCGACATATCGTTCACGCTCACGTTCGTTGGCAGTCAGAAGAAACTGAAGCCGCGCGATGCTGCTATCAAAGGCGGCAAAGTCCAAGATGATGTCCTCCTTAAGTTGAGCAAGATCTGAGGTGGCCGAGTCGCTGGTCGCGGTGGGCGTCTGGACTTCCTGCTCAGTCGTTCCCGCAGTCGCGGCATTGCCCTCTGGGGGCGGGGTGGGTGCTTGACGAGCTCTCGAGAGGGTCAAGGAGTGAAGGGTGCTAAGGCGTTTGGTCACGCGCTTGAACGGCTTCTCCTCCACGTTAAGAAGTCGTAACTTGTGGAGCTCATTCTCCTCTTTGTCGTCGAGTAGGCCCCAGGAAGCCATCTTGTAGTTGTGATGCCGGTATCGAGATGTTTGGTGTCAATGCTGGATGCTTTGTTCCAATGGAAGTGGATATGGTTAAAAAAGCACTCCAATAATGCAGACAAAACAAAACTGTGAAAAGTGAAGTCCTCGATTGCGCCGGAAGAGTTCGTGAAATCTTGTGAAATTCTTTGTTTGTTGAGTGTACGAAGGTGAAGGGGAGGATGAGGCTGATAGTCCGATATATGGGTGGAAGACTGTGATGGCTACCAACTCTTGGCGGAGAACGGAAAGGAGCATTTTCGTTGGTGGATGCACTGCGCTGCAGGGCAGGTGGGTCACAAAATACGTAGTAGCCGTCAAGGTTCCGCTTGTCTGTTCAATGCATTGAATAGGCTCGACTCCAGCTGATCACCAGGTGTACCTAGTATGTACCCTTGGATATTTTATGCTGCATCACTGCTGCATCTGGTGGGCTGTGTACTTCCGAGTACATTAGTAACAGCTGAGACCTACAATCGGAACAGACAACTCCAAAGCCAGTCGGTCAACTTCAACTCAACCTCAACCTTTCACTCCAGATCCTTTTTATACCACCAACCTGATTGTCAGCTTGCAATACCATTATTCAATCAGCCGGTTTGAAGACATCTTGAAGAGCATTCTCGATTCAACCAGAAGCGAAATTCAGCGAACATATCAGCGCTCTACAGCGTCGTCATCCAACTACACCTCGTCTTACCTCCCGTTCATTACGTGGTCAACCATCAAAGGGAAGGCTGTAACACGCTGTTGCTTAGTACACTACCGTATGCCTTCGATTATCCATGGTCCTCAACATCGTTTCGCCGCCAACTAAAGAAATTCCAGACTCGTACCCGTTACCCGAGCATAACCACGAAGAGCCCCTTATTACTTCGGTCACCATGCCTGGGCCACGCTCACTTCTTGACATGGCTCTCAAGCTAGCCATCGACAATGTTCAAGACATCACCTGCCTGGACGACGTGCCACCAAGAATTGCGAGCCAGATACTCAAAGCCGTCAGAACACCAGAACACCTCCGCACGATCGAGCAGCACAGTGGCGACGAGATCTGCGAGCTCACCGCTGAACACTGGCGCCGCTTCATCCAACGCAAGTACGGCCTTCTTCACAACAAGCACCGCTGGGAACCGAGCGACCCAAGATCATGGCACAAGGTCTACGAGAAGTACGGGAAACTCCAGAAGGAGTCAGACGAAGCCGCTACGGAAGCTCTCAGAGCCACGATGGCTGCCGTCAACAACCAAAAATCATCACGCACAACCACTATTGTCTCTGCCCAGGTCGCTCGCAGGCTTCCGGCCCCCAAGGCTCGTTCATTCGGAACCGGTGGCTTTAGTGGATTAAAAACCAGCATCGATCCGCCCATGAAAAGAGCAACATTCCTGCAAAAGGCCACCAGGGAAGCGAAGCTAGACGCACACCGCCGCAAACTCGCCAAGCCCTCCGTCATGCTCCTAGCCAGGAAGACGGAGCTCACCAAGGCTCCTGAAAGGTTGCTTGAAGAGAAGCGAATCCAAAATCAGTTCGACATCGATTCTGCTTCGGTCCTCGAGGGCCCTCGCATCAGACCCGCAACGAGCTCGAGGTCGCGAGAACAGAGAGACCGCGAAGCTCGCCTACTGCAAATCAAGAACGGAGGAAAAAGTAGTAGCAGCTCCAGCCATGCCCCCAACGTCTTGAGCTTTGACGACGACGACGACCTCGATGATCACCATTACGACAACGGCCGTCACAGCAAGGGCGACTTAGGCGAGGACATGGACGATCTTTTCGGCGATATGGACGACGACGACGATGCTGGCAGCCCACCTCACAAGAGTGCTTCGGCCCCTTCCAAGAAGCGTGGTCTTCTCTCAGCCGCTCCCGGTGCCAACTCCCGACCACAAGCCACTGCTACCAGTGCTAGGCCCGCCAGCAACACCACCACTAGTCGACCTCCAGCTTCGACATCACATGCTAGCAGGTCATTCAATTCCGGACGCCCTCAACCTGCGGCATCACCATCTTCAGCTAGTCCGTCTGGAAGTCCGCCTGGAGCTAAGCGCAAGCAGGCGAACATTTTCATGAAGCCTGCCAAGAAAGTTCGTCGAGTCTAAGTGGAGGATTCTGAAGGAGAAGGATGGGGTAGCGAACTAAGGATCCTCGTGTGGTCCGAGAGGAGGATTTGAAGGAGCATGGTTAGAGTTGGGAATCAAGGATCCTCGTCTGGTCCGAGAGGGGGATATCAGAGGAGCAGGTCCATCTGAGGGAAGGTATGAAGTCGGGTGGTTATTAAGATCGAGATGGGATATGACATATGTTGCTTGCGTCGAAAGAGAACGAACGGGATGGAATATGATGATACGAAGGAAGAAGTTTCCGTTGCTATATCCGCGGGTTCGGAGGATCGGTATTTCTGGCGTCTTGAGCTATTTGGGATTTTCTATGGGAAACGGGCGTTACGATCTTCAAGCAACAGAATTACTACACAGCGCAACGGCTCAGGTCGAATCTATAATCGGAGATGGATCAGCAGCGAGATATTTGAGATTTCAGCGTGACAATAGAACACATTTTGGTGAACTCATATCCTCTTGACACCTCATCTGAATGAACCTTGCCTACCTACCAGTGATTTGAGTCGCCGCCTCCCTGTGCAAAGGAGATATCCCCCCTAGGCCACATAAGCTTCCCAGTGGCAGGTATTTGCCCCCATAGCGTCTGGTCTCTGGATGTCGAGTGTACAAGTCCGTCTCTTTTATCTTCCGCCAACAGCGCCCCATCTCCAACCTTCTGCGAGCCGGTAGTCTCGTCGCCAAAGTACCATAGTTTCCGTATGCGTGTGCTTCAACATCAACGCATCTCTTCCATGTCATTATTTTCATCGGAAAAACGTCGTTATTTCATTAATTTATGCGTATGTATGTTTCTCGAACTAAAACGGAGCTGTTCCAAAGCTAGCAACCTCCTCTAAGAGCCAAAACGAGATGGAGAGTTGCGCCGCCCTCGAGTTGGTAATCGGTTGCCGTCTTGTCATCGACCCTGTTTTTTTCGTATATAGTTTTCTTGTCAGATACCAGCCTTTTCTAGTTCTTGATATGGCGTTGAATGTAAGGTAGGTTAGGACTTACATCTGCTTTCCGCCAAAGATTAGACGTTGCTGTACGGGAGGGATACCCTCCTTCTCTTCGACCTTCTCCTTGATGTGGGCGACCTGTGCGTAGTGCCGAATTAGTCGGATGTTCGAACGAGTTTGTAACCATCTCCAGCGAGTGAAAGCGAGCGAGCGAAGCTTGATATCGCCGTGGTGGTTTTTGTGGTGGTGGTGGCGGTGGTGACAATCGATCGATCGCATCGGTTTCTTTCTTTTCGCAACCAGGACTGTCATGTCGGCGATTCCCCCGCGCAGACGCGAACTTTCTAAGTATAAAAAAGAACGTACCTTGGTATCGGGCTCAATGTCGAGCTCGATCTCCTTGCCTGTAAGAGTCCGGACCCTGTCGCGAACAAAGTGAACGTTAGCTTCTGATTGACTGGTCCCCGAGCTCAAAGGTGTGGGTTAACTATGCAGCCGCAACATGCATACTGCGATTGCAACTGTTGGAAGATGAGGAAAGTTCGGAAATCTCACTTGATCTGCATCTTGGATAGTTTGCGACTGGTTTAATGGGGAAGATTTCGGTTTTCGTTGGAGCGATATGTGGACGGGATTTGTTCTTGGGGCTGAGACGGGTCTAGTTGTCTCTTTATGCGCGCGGATGCGAAACTTCTTTTGACTCAAGAAGCTGACTGAATCGAGATGGTTTGATATTGGTTGCGGTTTAAGGAGTTGAGTTTGTCATTGGGGAAAACGGTCACGGTCAACTGTTGACGAGCTGGGGAGGGGTGGTGGGGCAGGCGCTACCGGCGCGGTTGGCGGTAGACTAGGGCGAGACTGCCTATGGTAGGGGTCATTGGGGACGGTAGCCGCTGTGAATGGGGCAGCCCTGGCTTCTGTTGTTTTGATACCCCTTCTGGTTGCCGGGGCAGCTTCGGTAGCTTCGACAGTGAAGGTGCTCCGAGGTCAACGGCCAGTAACCTCAAGGCATAGTCAAGAACAGATGATATTGCAACCGACTTTCAAATATATGGCTTTTGTTGAACTAAATCCCTTTTACCTGTGTTTTATTTCCTTCCCGGCGGGGACCGTTGGGCCACCATTGTTCCTGCGCAGCATTTGTACACATGATCTGTATCGGTATATTGAAGTGATCCACCAAGCAGCGTCATCCGCGCCAGGTCGAATAACCGCTTGCTTTCAACAACAGAGATATCTCACGCCCACGAGAGCCTTTTGCTGACAAGTTGTTCAATGTGCATATCTTGCGAAAGCTCCTTTCCCGAAGATCATCGCTAAATCCGGTCCTTTCCGATAGTTCATTAGAGTCTGTTGTACATCTGGGGTTTCCGTCACATCCATAAGATACATATACAGCGGAGATTTTTATCCGTCATCTCATGCTCCTCCTCCGATTTTCAAAGGTCCCAGCTTAGTTGTCCTTGGTCCTGCGATCCTCGAAAACGTTGAGGCCCAGGCCCTCAGAATCAAGGAGCAGCCTGTTCCTGCCGCCAGCCTCCTGAAGAATGTTTGCAATCGCACGCGCGTTCTCCAGCTTCTTCAACTCCACATACGACTTGCTCTTCTTGATGGCCTCACCAATGAGCTCCGCAGAACGGGCCTCACCCTGGGCCTTGACCACCATAGCCTGCTTCTCCTGACGCGCCTTGTCGACAACGAAAGCGGCACGCTGCGCATCTTGCTGTGCGACCTGCTTGGCCTCTACTGCCGCTGTGAATTCGGGGGAGAAAGCGAGATGCTAAAATATGGTTAGCCGACAATAATCCACGACGTAATATGGTTTCGTGCGGTAAACGTACTGTAAGCGAGACATCGTCCAACAGGATGTTGAAGCGGGCCGCACGCCTTGCGAGGTTCTCACGAACAAGCTTGGCAACCATCTCTCTCTGGGTGATCAACTGACTGGCGTTGAACTGCGCGACAACGCTCTTAAGAACCTCGTTGACAATCGAAGGAAGGACACGCTCGTCATAATCGGTGCCGAGGGTACGGTAAATCTGGGGCAAGGCGGTGATTTCGGGTCTCGAGAGGACACGACAAGTAATGTTGACCATCTGCAAATCCTTGGTACCGGTCAAGGAGGAAACGTTTCTGGGCTTTGCGCGGACATCGTAGGTAACGGGGGTCTCGAACCAGGGGATGATAAGATGGGTTCCTATCGAACTTGTCAGGAAACCGGGAAACCCAGCAATATCAAGGACGCGCGGAGAGAGTAGACGAACCTTCACCATAGATCTCCTTGCTAACACCGTTAATTCTCCTGTACTTGATCGCTCTGTGACCACCATCGACGTTGAAGATGGCGTTGGAAAGGACCCAGGCACCACCACCAAGAAGGGCGAAGCCGGTCAAAGCAGGACCCAAACCCCGGGGAGGCATGGGTGGCCTGCCGCCAGGAAAACCGCCGCCGCCGCGCGACCGGGCAGTCTGCTGAATCTTGTTCAGGAGATCCTGATATGGGTTGTTCGACATGGTGGGCTGTTGTGAAATAATATGCGGCCCAATGGTGATTCGGAGTAGGATGCCTAGGTTGGTTGACGGAGGTGGTGGGGAAATGGGGATGAAGTCGTCACGATAGCTTGCCCGAGCTTTTCGATTTCGTCCTCACTGAGCTTCGGAGCTAAGACCACTCACAGGCAGAACCGCAAGCGTGCAGTTGCTGGGGTGCATCACTAAATCCACCTGCCATTTGCCTGGCCCCCCGCTGGCGCAACTTCTACCGCCTGCCTGGCCTGGTCAAGCACAGACCATGCGCTCACGTGGATCGCTCACTCGTCGCGACCTTGATGGGTTGGAGCTCGAGCCAAGTATCCACCCCCGCGACGTAGCCCCTGCCTTCCATTCCAACGTCTCGCAAGCGACAGCGACAGAGGCTCCAATTTTTGACATCTGCAAATCCAGAACACCAAACTTCCACTTGCAACCACCAAGAGTTTGACTCCATTCCCAGACATCTTTCCATTGCCAACATTTTGTCACGTCAGCACCACAAAACATCACTTCTACAATTCGACGGTTTTGGCAGCGGGCTTGGGGCTTTGAAATTGAAAAGCAAGGCTAAAGAGGACCCAATTGCTACGGTGTACCTCAGGTAGTCAACTACGACTGTGTTAACTTCCATCTCATCCATCTGCCAAAAGTTCGCTGTTCTTGCGCGGTCCCTATTGTTCGCATCGATCCATCCCAATTCTTGGTTGTCCATCTCCCACCTGTCCAACATCTGGTTCGCTTGGTGATTTCCATTCGATCGGCCCACAGAGCTTACAGTCAAACTACACGCAGCATTGTGTCTCTCCCATCCTCAGTAGCGCGACTGCTTTGACTTGCGCTCCTCCGTACAACAGCTTTGTTGAAAGAGTGAACGCGCGAAATCGCCATGTCGACACGCCAACCTTCACGTGTGGTCTTCGTGGGAAACATTCCCTATGGTACGCAAACAACCAGCTCTTCACATTGGACGACAACCATCTATGAAAGCCCACCCACTAACTGGAACAATCTAGGCCTCACCGAAGAGCAGATTACAGAAATCTTCAGCGGCGCCGGACGAGTTCTTAATTTCCGCCTTGTATATGACCGCGAAACTGGAAGGCCTAAGGGATTTGGGTTCGCAGAATTCCCCGATTACGGTCCGTACCCTTCTTTACAAACAAAGTCTCTTCCCGCGCGCACACGCTGACCACCTTTTCCCCCGATCTCCAGATTCCGCCGCATCAGCCGTACGAAACTTAAACGACCACGAGATCATGGGCCGCAAGCTGCGTGTCGATTTCAGCAACGAGACTGTTAGTGATGATGATGGCGGTAGAGACCGTGATAGCGGAGTATGGCACCAGCAGCTTAACTGACCCTTCTTTCACATTTAGTTCACTGATCAGGACTCGGCTCAGCCGAACCAGAACACCTCCGGCGGCTACAACGCCCAAGCTCCCAACGGCGGGGGCTACAACGCCGCTCCCCCTGCCAGCGCCGCCCCTCCCGCTCTCGGCCCGTTGCCCCAGGGCAAAGACCTCCCCCCCGACGTCAGCTGCACCGACGCGATCTCCCGCACGCTCAACACCTTGCCCCCAGCTCAGCTCCTCGACATCCTCCAGCAGATGAAGACGCTGGCGACGAATGATCCTGCCAGGGCCACCGAGCTTCTCAACCAAGCGCCCCAGCTGAGCTACGCGATATTCCAAGCGCTCCTTATCATGGGCCTGGTCTCGCCGGACGCCATCAACTCGGTTCTCGAGAACCCGGGCGCTGCTGCTGCTGCTGCTCCCCCTCCTATGGGCGCCCCGGTCGTCCCCAACCCTGTGGGTGGTGCGCCATACGGAGCTTATCCCGGCCCCACAGCCACCCCGCCTGTCGCTCCCGGTCCCGCTGCTGGCGGTTACGCGGCACCGCCTGTTGCCGCTGCTCCTGTCCCAGCTTCGGCTGCAGCCGCCCCCGCGGCGATGGATCCAGACGCGATGATCCGTGCTATTCTGGAACTTCCGCAGGAGACGGTTGACCAGCTAGCTGAGCCGGAAAGACAGCAGGTTTTGGCTATTCGCGCTCAGTTTGCTGCTCAGGGTGGTCTGCGTTAACGAGCGCCAAAGGGGTCATTGTTCTTGTTTTTCTCTCATCATGCATTCTTGTATAGGCTGGTCAGGCGTTAATGGTGGCGGCGGTCGGTTTTCACACGCTAAATGGGAGCATTGCAAAGGTTTAATAGAAAAGGATAAATATCACTGACTCTCAGAGCTACAATTTGAAAGCTTACCGTGAGCTGTTCAACAAACTGATATTTTCGTAGTAATGAACACTGGCACAGCTTTGAGCAGGCAAATAGACATATGTATGTGAAGCTTGTAGGGCAACACGAGACTGAAACAAAGGCATCCTCTACTTTGACTTTTATTCCTATAAACTATTTGTCTACCAGATCGCGCAAAAAACTAAAAAAAAAAAAACTGACAACTGAATCGATCTCAATAACCAAAAAACGCCGCGACCGCTCACCAACGCCTTCGTTGTTTGTGTTTATCTTGCCCGTTCCCTTTAATAACAAAAAATCCAAAACGCTGTCATGTCTTGTAAACTACTAAGAAGGAAAGCCTCCATAAGTACATCCGCTCTTGACTGTATCGTTCGTTAAGAAATAAAAATGTCCGTTGGCCCATGCCCATATACTTCATAAATCTCCCCTAGCCCCTCCTCAAACTTCGCTTCCCCGCCTCTTTACACAATCTTGTAAACCCGCTTCGCAATGAGATAGCAACCAAATCCAAAGAACAACAACCCCGCTGTAATAGCTATGAACCACTTCAGGTCCCCGTCGTTCCCCTGTCCGGGCACCCAGACGTTCATACCCCAGAGGCCGGTGACGATGTTCATGGGAAGCACAATAGTGCCCAAGACGGTGAGCTTGCCGAGCACGTCGGCTGTCTGCTCTTGTCGCTCGTTCATGCGGATGTTGATTTGCGCCAGGTAGTTGGCGTGGGACCGTGCCAGGATTCTGGGTTGGCGTGATGTGTCAGTATCTTGACTGTTGTGGAGGGCAACTGGGTGGGCTACTAGGGAGTAGATACTTACTTCTCATAGTGACTCAGGTTCGAAGTCATGGTCACAATATGATCCTGAATGTCGCCCAAGTACAGGCCAATCTCCGAGCGAGGCGCCACCTCCCAGTGCTCGTTGCAGCGCTTTGCGAACCCCTTGATGACGTCGGCCTTGTTGCCGAGCAGCCTGTAGAGCGACATGACCTTTTTGCGGCAGTCGCCCACGCGCCTGAGCATGTCGCGTCCAGATTCCGCCGATGTTGCGTCGCCGGCGTCTGACTTCTCTCTGAGATTATCCGTTGACGAATTCGGGTCGTCGTCCTCCGAGTGCAATCTCAAAATGGCATCGTCGATATCGTCGACTTCATCCTCGATGTTCTGAATCAGGGGACCGAAAACATCGGTGATATCGTCGATAATGGCGTACGATATCCAATCCGACGAGAGGATGAGATAGTCGCGCAGCTGACGGATACGGCGACGCACGTTGGCCGGGTGCGGTGTTAGGGAGAAGTGGAAGCTTAGGACGCCCTCGCGGAACACGACCACGTACATGTTGACGGGCTCCAAGAAGTTGTCACTGGTTGAGTCCTGGTCAAAGGAGCGGTAGTTTACGAAGTAATAGTGACGGAAAAGTTCGACCTTCTCGCGGGCTTCTTGGACCATGATATCTTCAGCTGTGAGCGGATGAATGCCAAACGCTTTGGAGATGATCTTCATCTCTTGTTCGGTTGGGCTATAGATATCCAGCCACCACACTGGCCTATCTCCGTATTTAGGTGGTTTGCTTGTCTTTTCGGTTGGTGGCGACTTGGAACGTTCTGGAGACTTGGCGTCTGTTGGCGTATGCTCTCCTGATGTACGCTTTGACTCGGTGGCTGTTGTTCCGGCGTTCGATGCACGATCCCTTCGAGCATCGAAGTAGCCTTGGGTTGTAGTAGCAAGCGATGGCTGGCGGCTTGGAATCCTTGGGTCACCGTTTTGACCTCCCAACACTTCATCCAGACCGACATGATGCTGATCTTCGTCGTCGTCTTCGTCATCAGAGGAATCTGAAAGTAGTGGCGGATCAGGGATGAATAGCTCCTTGAAAGAGCCTCCTGGCTGAACCAATTCTGAGATCGTCTGGCTGTGAATAGTACTCTGGAACTCTTCATTGAAGTACGTGAAGCGATAAGGCGCATCCTCCTGGGCCCGGTACCAGCCACGGTGGACTGGCCTTAGCCGTCCGTTAATCAACTGAGGCTCCGTGATCTTCTTTGCTCGACGCTCCTCACTTCGGCCCTCTTTCTCATATCTGCTCCATTCCTCCAAAATAGCGAGATCCGGCCATTTGCCGCGCCGTCTCCTCTTCATGCGATATGCGGTGGGATCACGAGTCCGAAGATCCTCGTCAGCAATTTCAGAGAGGCCATCCTGGGGAAAGCATACGTCCTCCTCGGCTTGTAGTGCAATTGTATTTCGTCGTTCCAAGGACCCTCCCAAGTTGCTCTCTTCGTTGAGTGTTCGCCTGCCCGGGGAATGCGGCATGGAGTCGATGTCATCCCGCAGCATAATGTCACCGAAGCTCATGCTCATATCGCGGTCGGTCGCGCGCATGAGAGGGCTTCCAGGTACTGATGGAGGATAGTTGACATTATAGCCTTCTGTGCCGGTTGCGCCAAGTGATGTGACCCGCCTCTTCTTACTGCTGTCCCTGCTCGATTCACGACGGCTGGCGAGTGAGGCTCTCCGTGCGGTGTCGTTAGAACCGTAACCCGAATAGCCCCCGCTTCTCTGGAATACGGAACTGGAGAGAAGGGGTGCTCCTTCATTTTCGTCTTCGCTGTTGTTGCTGCTGGCCACCACTGTTTTAAGCCTGCTCGCGACCTGTGGTGTTGTCAAATGCGAACTTTGCGTCACTAACATCGATGGCCGTCTGGGTCGTAGGAATGGTTGTTGTTCTCTATTACCATGACATGGGTAAGCATTTGCCGGAGACATACTCGAAGATGATAGAACTCACCTGTGATCTAAAAGCGCCTCGCTATCAATGCTCGTGTTACTAAAGTTGTTTCCGGGCCGCGAATAGAAGCCGTTTCTGGCTTCCGCGAGGACCTCGTCATTCATGCTTTCCTGGGCCATATCCTCTGAGGTTACGCCGAACGACTTTCTTCTGCTCTTCTTCTTCTTGCCCGCTCTGTGGTTCTTTCTTCTCCGAGATGGTTGATTCTGGGTAGGTTGGCCCGCGGATGGCCCCGAGTTCGACACTGAGGCATTGCGCCGTGGAAGGGTATTTTCGTCCATGGTATTGGTCAGCAATTCGCGACTCGGTCGGTGGAGTTGTATGTCCTGGATCCCGTCTTCGATGAATCTGTAGGTGACGAGGTGGGTGGTTGGTGGATGATTGTTGGTTGGACTGAAAGAATGGATCCTCTCTGCCCAGGGAAGCTAACAAGACAGAAAACCACGTTCCTAATCAGTTAGTGGAATAGGCCACTTTAGCCCCGTGCAAGCTGAAAGAAGCTCCAGGTGGATGAAGCTGTGGTATGGGATTGAAGAAAGCCGGTCTGTGCCTGGCGCAACAAGTGTGGTAATCTTGGGATGAAAGAGATGACGTGAGTAGAACCGGTAGGCGAGCACGGGCGCGATGGCAACGGGCGCAATGGCAACGGGCTCGGTTTCGACGCAGCAGGCAGACGACCTGATTGGGAACTGGATGGCGGCAGGAGCAACAAATGTTCGGATCCACGTCAATACGAAAAGCCGTGGCACCTCTAGAATCAGGTACTAGACCAATATCTTATCGAAGGCAGTGCGACTCGGTGTTGTGGTGATTGAAGCCCTACACTCGAACGTGGATGTCGGCGACGGGACCTCTCGAAACGACGACGTACCACCCGACTGTTGCTCAGCAAGTATCGAAATGACGAGTAGGTGCCTGTAGCAGTAACAGCGGAGCTGGAGGTATGGACGCGGCTCTGCATTGGAAACAGAAATGATAAAATACAAGAGCGAAGGTTCTTGAAACAGCGGACTTCAACGGGATTGGAACAGACCATCGAGCTATGACGGGGTTTATGTGCCGGCGCCTTCCTTATCGACTGGCCGTGACAAGTGAAGACTTTGGTTTCAACTTCCATTCCCGGTGATGTCAACCCAAAGCAGGGATCCACTGTTACTGCCGGTCAGCCGGTGATTGGACGTTTGTGCAACCACCATCCAAAGGCTAAGTACCTTTGGAACAGGGAACCAGCGGAGCACACCTGTCAGCTGTTTGCAGGGTACTTCGTAGCTTCTCATGTCGGGTCAACGGTTATGGCCGCAGTGGGTGACCCAGACACAGCACCTTCTCCGCTGTGGAGGGCGAGCGAATGTCAGCTTCGTCGTGGCATCGGGTTCTTGCGCTCAAGTTTCAACCGACAAAGATGGTCTCACAAACTTGAACTCAACAGTCTGTCTATGATGAGGTTAGAGTTTATTCGAACTGATGCCTAGAGATCATCTCTTTTCGCCAAAATCATCAACTTGTCCGTCTTGAGTACCTCGATCATATGCATGCCAATGGAGCTTCACCTGAATGGGTGCCCCTGGGTGTGAGTGCGGGTGTCGGGTGTCTCCATGTCACCAAGACCATGTGGATTCACGACCCTGAGAATCCCTTGTGTTGTCTGAGATACCTCCAGCCCAGTACCGCTGAGAAGCGGTCACGACGCCGACAATCCGTGGAGTTCAAACTATGGACACATTCTCTCCACCCAAAATCAACGGGTCTTGGTCAACTATTTGAGGGGTTGAGATGATGGACGTAAGCAACATCTTTCGCGCCATTTCGGTCGGCGCCATCTCGGTCGGCGCCATCGTTTTGAGTTGATGGAGTCGGAAGGTCTGCGGTTACCCGGCGTTACTACAACATAGGGCTCTGAATGACCTACATACTTGGTGACACCATACTACCTTATAGACTAATTAGTGTAAGTCACCTACCGATACACCCGCCATTGTCCACGGATCCGACTGGTACCGGTTGGCACGCAGCAAGGCTCGGAGTCCACCAAAGAGACACCGGGGAATCATCGTCGGCGTGCCACCTCGCTGTTCTAGTTGTGCTTCTCCAGTGCGAGATCGGATCTATGCTGTCACTGCAACTACAGTAGTTTATCGAGATGTGGCACAATCAAGCATGGCTTACTACTTCAGCGTGTCAGTTGACAGTCGGTACAAAATATCGATCATATGAAAGAGTAACCCCAACTAGGATGTTGACGGAAATGGGTTGATGTTCTTCAACTTATACCATGGAATGTCTGGGCGAATATGTTCATCACCAGTAGCGTCGATATGTCTATGCTGCTCTTGCCTTTAGTACGACATAGCCCCTCCTTACCTGCGGGGAAGAGAACGAAGTGGCGTGGGGTATGTTAGCCTACAGCTTGGTCAACAAGGTCGATCGATCATATCATCAGCTTCCCTCTTTCGAACCACAAGGACGTTCTGAACTTACAACACTCTTACAGTATACGCCTCCGCTGTCATCAACAAGCATCAACAACCGTCAAAATGTCCTTCCCGAAGCTTATCCCAGCCTTCACGGCTCAGGTATGGTTACCTTCCATGTTACTCTGGTGCAACGGGAACAGAAAGGAACATCAATGAACATAAACTAACCACCCGCCCTCTCCCGACGTCTAGATTGTGATCGAACCCCCCGCCAGCGTCGGCACCACCGCCCGCGGCGGCACCATTCTCTTCGTCCCCTTCGTGCCCAACAGCGGCTCCGTCAAGTCCGAGGCCTCGTACCCGATCCAGCTGGACGCCGAGTTCGTGCACGGCGCCGACTATGTGCGGATGGACCCGAACGGCGAGAACGTCCGACTCGAGATCCACAGCGTCGCCAAGGACAAGGCCACGGGCGCGCTCTTCCGGTTCAGTTACACGGGCACTGTCTCCCTGGCGGGTCCCGCGGGCAAGGTGTTCCGTGGCGAGCCGGATATGGCCACGACAGGGTTCGGTGATGCTTGTGAGTGTTGGCTCTTTTTTCCTTATTGTTTCAGGGGTGTGCTACGGGGTGGTTCTGCTGGATGGTGGTTTGGGTGAGAGAGAAGGAATCGGGGTTGATTTATATCTTGGGTGAGAAATCTGGAGCTTCTTTTACTAACGAGTGATACAATCACTTATAGTCACCCATCACGTCTTCGAGACTGGCGATGAGAGGCTTGGCCCTCTCCAGAACAAGGTCTTTGTTGGATCTGGCAGGTTCATCATTGAACCTGGTAAGCCGGTTGTGGTCGAGTACAAGATTAGCGAGGTGACTGCTTCCTAGACTTAGACAGTGTGGTTCATGATAATAAAGCATGAGTTATGACTATAGAGATGACCCTGTTGAGACAATGTGCTATGATGATATTATGTGTGCACTATTGTCTGTACGTAATGAGGAAGCATATGGAAGCATTTGCAATACATGACTGTAACATGATACAAGTCGTGAACAAAGGTATCCAAAGCTTCGCTAAAGCGCTGTTAAATACACACCACATGACATCTTATTGACACCTATATATATACCAAATTCCTGGACACATACAACATCCGAGTAGAAGTCCATCTCCAAGCAGACAACTGGGCCAAGAAACCCAACCACTCACGACTAGCTCGAGGGTGGACCACCCGCCTTCTGGATAAGCAGGTGTCCAACTGAGATATTGGCAATCTCATACGCCTTGCAGCCCTGGGGGAAAGTGCCCAGGGCAGCCCAAAGGTCAATAAGCGGCTGCATCGGCTCCAGATCCGACTTCTTCAGCAGGCCGAGCGTGGTGGCCGTCAGGATGAAGTGGCTGAAGCAGCTGTTCATGGACTTCTCCAGGTTGAGGCAGAACATGTCCTCAAAGTGCGACCAGTACAGGTGCGCGTAGACGCGGAACATTTGCCGGAAGATGGTCTGGCACGTCTCCATGAAGTTCTGCGGGAAGCCGCTCCGCTTGCCGATCCAGTCTGGTCCGGACTCGGGCAGGGGGGTGCAGAAGGCTGGGTTGTCGGCAAAGGAGACGCCCGCCGGGTCGGTGGGGAACAGGTTGCCGTCGTCTATCTTGCCGCTGATGTAGCGCTGGACGAGGCTGAGGTATTCGTATGCTGGGATTTCCACCGGCTGGAGCCGCGAGTTTAGCCAGGTAAAGGAGTGGGAGCTGCGTTGATATGGTCAGTTTACATATGAGCCTTGGATACTGGAAGTTGTTGCAACTGAATTGCTAACAAACTTACGCTCCCGCTGACATCTTGGGACATTTCCGAGCGTTACAGATTGAGCTGCCATCTTCTTCCCGGTCATGGACGAGTTTGATGAAGGTAATAAGCATCCGCCAGTGGTCCACGACTATGCTAAGTAGTTAGCAGGGCCACATATTTCCTGATGATGTTCGACAACCGTATCGTACCTTGATGTGCTATCCACTCTCCCATTTCTACCGTCTTAGGCTTAGCACTAAGGGTAAGGAAGTTTCCCTTAACAATATGTTTGCCATAATTGCAGTTTAGCCATTGTGGCTTCACTTGGGGTAGATGATATGAAGCAAGGACCTCCTCCGCAGAGGGAATTGAACCGTTGTTCGGATCCATGCCGATGCTTTCAGCGAGGGAAGGCGAGTTCTGGATGGGTGGAAGTTTCACTGAAAGAGTTGGTGATGAGTATCCCGAGGATGTCTCGAGTGAGTGTATGGAAGGCAGAGAAGTCTGAGGGCTTGTGGGACTGGTTGGGCCTTTGTGTCCTCTAAACCGAGCGTTTCTATAGTGACCTGTTAGTTCCTGATATTGCATTGATTATTCGAGGGTGGATTTATCAGTCATGAAGTGAGTCGATAGTCCGTTGTTGGCAATATGAGGTCAAGTTATTCTCATAGCTCGTGGACCTGTCAAGCTGGCTAGTTGAGCATCAAGCCTCACACTTGCGAAGGGACATGATGTCTGGTAAAGGTTACATGTATAGTTGACTTGGTCAACTTGGCCATTTGCGAAAGGATAAAACCCGTGCAAAGGCCTCCTCTTTTCGTATACCATAAAGTGAACATCGAAACCATACATTCAAGATGTTGATGTTGTTTCCTCAACGGACTTTGGGAGTTGTGTTAGGCCATGATGTGCTTGGCATAAAAGGGGTAACGTTGCTCATCTACCTGTAAGTGATGTGACTATCTCATGAGAGAACCTCACTTGGACCTTCAAACCAAAGCACTTGCAGGTGTTGATGAACAAGGAAGAAGACGATCTTAAACCAGGGAGACCTGACATGGGAAGTGGACGAGGGGGAATAAGGTAGAGAAGCCCAAGGCGTTCGTACCTCTAGGCAGTATACGTACGGAGATGCTTGGAGACGGAGAGATGGCGTGGTAGGTAGTTCTGGAGATGAGGACTCCAAGTTGGATTGGAAACAAAGATCAAGATATAGAAACCACTCACATTCCAGAAAAAAGGTTGGACATGGTCTCAAGTAGCGGACGAGGAGATGTACGGCATCAGCAATTAAGGGACGGGAAGAGGCGAGCAGGAGACAGGCGTGACAGGGCACCTAGAATCTTACTAGGGGACTAGGGAGAGCTAGGGCGGCCAGGAGACTGCCTCTAAGGAGGACCGCACCCCACCGCCATCCACGGGGATAGGTGCTAAGGACCGTCTGTGACTGGGCAGCCGATTCCGTGACGGGACCTTGAGCTGCTTGGAAACGTCTGAGTGGTAGTAACGTTGGAGTTTCCGGAGAAACTCGCTGCTCCCATCTTGAGGTTGTTTCTGAATGCGTGCTTGGCTTGCCCCTTCTCACACGCCAACCCGTCAGCTCCATCTCGCACATGCAACAGGAGCGAGCCGCCACAAATAGGAGGCTCCATGGTGAGGGTCTAGAGGGGTCGAAGGGGTATCCCGTCAGGTCGCTAGGGGCATCCGCTGGATTCATGAAGGAGGACTGGATGCTACGGTACATGATTGGGAGAGAGCAAGGAATCCCCGCTATTTCTTGCGCCACAGGGGACCTTCAAGGTTCGCGGCTTTGGCCCCGCAAACCGCCTTATCGTTATCGCAGCCTCAGCCTGACCCACTGTTACTGGTGCTCAAGCCACACTTTGTCTGAATTGACGCTGTCCTGCCGGCATTCGCTGCAGCGGTCATTGTACCACAGGGGTGCGGGTGCGTGCGACCGTGGATTCGACGCGGCGTTCAAGTTTCCCGCTGCAACTTGCAAGCCGCATCGCGTAAAACCATCCACCACCACTCAACTTCAACCAACCCAACATCTGAAAATCAACTTTCCTTCCGCATTACCGCCGGCGCACATCATCTCTTCCGAGCACTGAAGTGTACCCATTACACAACCAGATCGACCAATTCTCTGCTACTTCAAGTCGACCGTCACTCAAAATGTCCGATTCGGAGGATCATATCGACAACGTCCCAGACGATGCTGGCGACGATCTGTTTGGAGATGAAGACGTTAATGACGACCAACCGCTTTCGGAGATTGGCGAGGATAAGCTCAGCGACCGTGATTTGAATTCGGACAGGGAAGACGAGGTTGCCGACAGACATGATGACGAAGTTGACGGTATGGAGGACGTGGAACCGGAATTCCGCGACAAGACCGTTGTCGACACACCGCTTTACCGACATCGCATCCCCAAGTCCGGAAACGGCAGCGTACGTGCAGTTACTGCGATATCACACGTGTGCCAAACACAGTTACTAACGGAATCACAGCTTTACTCTTTCAAAGTCCCCGATTTCATCAAGCTGAACCCGCTCGAGTACAACCCTGATATCTGGGAGCCAAGCAAATGGGATCTTCGAAACGCCCGTCAGGATACTCCGGTTCCTACAGTTATGCGCCGCCGCGACCCAAAGACGGGCAAGCTGCAGAGCAATACCAACATCTACCGCTGGAGTGACGGATCCGTTACGATGGCAGTTGGCGACGAGCACTACGAGATTCAGTCCAAGCCCCTGGCTCCTCCAGCCAACAAGCCCTACCAAGAAGTCCAAGACGCGCACTATTATGCCGCTGCGGCCCACTTGACGACGAATTCGCTTGTAATCATCGGACATTTTACAGAACAATACATGCTGAGGCCGAACAAGAACATTCAGGATCACGCCCTCGAACGCCTTAAGGCGGAGCTAGCGACCGCCAAGAAGGAACGCGGGCCCGATATGATCATTCTCGCCAAGGAAGACCCAGAGTTGCAGAAGAAGCAGGCAGAGATGGCTGAGAGGGAACGTGCCAAGGCGCAGCGTCGGCGCGAAACCGCTGCCGCCCGCGTGGATGGCGCTGGAGGACGATTTAAGGGTGGTGCACTTTCGATCGGTGATCTGGAAGGTGGAAGGCGCGGCCGGAAGCGTGGTGCGCCTGGTGGCGGCAAGAAGAAGAACCGTCGGCCCGAATACGATTCAGACGACGAGCCCGGCCAGAAGGCAACCAACGATAAATACGATTTGGATGATGGCTTTCTTGTTGACAGTGACGAGGAAAGCGAGGAGGTTGAGGATGATGAGGAGGAAGAGGAGCTCCTTGATGATGACGATGACGAGGAAGAGGCACCTCGTCGTAAGCGTCAGAGGACGGCGGAGGCGGATGATGAGGATGGCGCCGGCACCACCTCGCACCGCCGTAGACGCGCCGTCATTGATGACGACGACGAGTAATAACATCATCTTGCCTCTTTGAGTTTGGGTTCTAAGCATGTTTCATTGTATGCTCTTCAAGGTGTTCACCGGCGCATTTGGTCATCAGGAAAGTCAAAAAAATTGGGCGTCTTTGTTGGCATATTTCCAAGGGACGCATGGATGTCCCTGAGTCTACAGACTGGAGAGGAACATGGTTATACTTGCATGTCTGCATCTCAGCATTAGATGTTAGCCGCCTGATGTGTTATGTCATGGATGGCGCGCAGAGTTTATACGCTACCGATGTGGGTGTTCTCCCCGCGTCGACATCGCTAGGGGAATTCAGACATAGAAGCTACATGTCATAATTAACTTCCAAGATTCTACTACTCTCGCGTGGTATTTCTAGACTGCGTCTCCAATCCGACCCCCTGAACCCGTGGAGGCAGCGAATACCACAGCGTATTCTGGGTTTTCACCAAGCGGTTTCCCGGCGAATAAATTAAATTTTTGGAATTTTTTGCTTTTTTCACCTTTGTTTCCAAATTTGGGTGGCTCGCCTGGGCAACCTCCCGCGGTTCACCTGTGCTGGTGTGGTTCATATACTGTGGTCTTTCGTTGCGTGACTGCATGGCACGTAGCCTAATGTTATAAGTAGACATCATTGCGGATCCACTACGCCGGAAGACCTTACCCTCCTCGCGAAAGACGTCGAAAGACGGTAAGGCCTTCATCAATAGTAGTTGGGAGTACCAGTCCTATAGTCCCCCTGCGTCCCTGGAAATGCCCCTATTGGGGTACCTATCATCGTATCGTCCTCATCCGAGCTCGGATAGAGAGCAGCATCATCCGACCTGTCTGGTGGTGCGCGCATGGCCTCTAGAGTTGGGGGATCTAGTTGTGGCGGCTGAAAGGGCTTGAGAGTGTGAATCTCTCTACCCATGGGCATCTGTTGGAGTAATGGCCCCGATGGAGGGACGACTTGGGTCATTATCTGAGACAAGAGGCCACGATGTTAGTTCACGGTACAAGCCGGAAGGTGCGACATGTTTGAATAATATGGAATGGAATCTCACCGTATCATTTTGCTTCGACCACTTCTCCCACAGCATTTCATATACTCTTGTCTCCTCAAGCCGTCCCGCATCTGCTCCCCAATCTAGCCCTCTTTCCACTTTCTTGTCTTCTCTCTTCTCCGTCCACTTCTCTTTTAGCCTACCCAGCCCACCGCTCTTCTTGCCACCAGTGTCTGAAGGGCTCCTCTCAACCCCTAGTTCCTGAAGTCCAGCATTCAACCATGCAATTGCCGTCCCAGTCTGTCCACCCAGCTCCGAGTCAATACCAAAGAACCGGCACGCCTTCGCTCTACTCGTTCGCCTCAAGTTATCTAGATACTTTAGAAAGTTCTCGTTTACCTTGCCTCCGCCGCCCGCTCTCCCCAATCCCGCACAGAGAGAGTAAGCCTGCGCAGCATGCTCGCTCGCCGCCAGACACAGCCTTGCAAACAGATGGGCCCTGACCTTGGGAATATCCGGCGCCTTGTACATCCACTCGGTGTCGTTCTTATTTCTGTCTTGCGCAACCACGGCCGGGTACGGATCGTCCTTCAGCACGGCCAGTAAGGTTGCCTCGGCCATAGCAAGCGAACACTGCGCTCGCAGCGCGGCAGGCGAGATGTCGGCGCAGGGCGGGGCCATGCCGTAGCCGCTGGTGAGTCCTTCGGCCCGGAGCGCGAGGTAGTCGTAGATGGAGGCCGCATCGAGCAGGGACTTGGTCGCGGCGCTGACGGCCACTTGGCGCTGCTGCGTGCCGACGGGCGCGGTGGAAAGCACGTAGAGCGGATGCAGTGCGATGCGGGCCTGCAGTGTGTGCGCGTAGGCGAGGCAGGAGAGCGCGAAGAAGACTTCGTACTCGAGCGAGTGCACCTTGACGCGGGCGGGCTCTTTGCCGGGGACGGCGACGGCGGCGGTGTCAGATAGCGTAGGCCGCCATTCGATTGTGGGCGCGGTCTTGAGGATCACGGCGATCTCCTCGCCGTTGACGGCTTGTTGGCTTAGACCCGCATCGATGGCGAAGAGGTAGGGTAGATAGGCTGTAAGACTGGAGACGACGGTCGGGAGCTTTGCGGCTTGGTGTTCGCGCGGGGTGCGCTTGAAGGCTTTGAGGTCTTCGCGAACGACGCCGCGGCGGGTGCTGGCGTTGAGGGGCAGCGAGGGATGGGATTCGCAGTTGAAACAGAACGAGAATGAAAATGAGGAGGTTGTAGGAAGCACAAATGGATAAGGCATGGTGGTTGTCGTCTCAATTGGACAAATATCTCAGCATAAAGTCGTCCACTCTCAACCCATTGTCGAATTCCGATGTGTAAGTGACGAAGCTCCCGTGGTGGGCTTGGCCAGGAAGGTTCTCAATATCGCAAGGGACTCGTTGGAGAACGCTCACTGCGTCACTGTCAATTCGCTGATTGATGAGGGGCGGCCAGCTGCTGGCGGCCCGTGCATTCTTGTCCTTAGACCCGGTAGACCCATTTTTTGGAGCTTTCCCCATATTGGATCCACCCAAGAACCTTGTCGGCCGCGCGACGCCAGATTGCTTGAAACAATGGATGACATTTGCGAATCCATCGTCACAATTTCCCCGAGTATATCCCAACACCAGGCTTCAATGCCGCCCTCCTTTCGACACAGTTCTTTTCGGTCTCGATTCCGATAACCATGGCCGGGCCCTCTCCTCATAAGCCGAGACGCAAGGCGAAGCGGGCTGGCGGCAATGGCCCAAGCAACCTTCCTGTCATCATGGAGCGCGAAGCTCTCGTCCGCGTCCCTTCCTTTCCCCTGGCGGCCTTCCTCTGGCCAGCTAGGAGCTCAGTATCGCAATGGGAATTGTTGCCATTGATACTTATGGTTGTTGGCCTGTTCCGTTGGGCTGCAGGTCTTTGGGGCTATTCGGGTATGTGACCAATTAGTCTGTTGCGCCCTTGACTATACACACCAGAGACTGATGCTCAGAAACTTAAAGGCTTCAAGAAACCGCCTATTTTCGGCGACTACGAGGCCCAGCGTCATTGGATGGAAATCACAACACAGCTTCCCATTTCGCAATGGTACTTTCACGACCTCGAGTGGTGGGGCTTGGACTATCCTCCCCTTACAGCATATCACAGCTGGATCTGTGGCAAGATCGGATCTCTCATCAACCCGGCATGGTTTGCGCTTTACGACTCGAGGGGCTCCCATGATCCGACGCTTAAGATCTTCATGAGGTCCACCGTGCTGGTCTCCGAATACCTGATTTATATCCCCGCCGCCGTCATCTTCGTACGCCGCTTCAGCAGGCTCAGCGGTGTTCCCACCTGGACCTCCTCTGTTGCTCTTGTGGCGATACTGATGCAACCGGCCACTATCCTCATCGATCACGTTCATTTCCAGTATAACACGGTTATGCTGGGTTTTGTGCTTGCTAGCATGTCAAGCATGCTTGCCGGACGCAACTTCTGGGCCTCCTTCTTTTTTGTTATGGCGCTGGGTTTCAAACAGATGGCCCTCTACTATGCCTTCTCGGTGTTCGCATATCTCTTGGGAGTTTGCGTTTTCCCCCATATCAACATCCCGAGATTCATCGGGATTGCTTTGGTCACCGCGGTGTCTTTCGCAATCCTGCTTCTCCCCATTGTGAGTGGCACTTTGTCCGAGGCCAGCCGTGGAATCACTGCCCACCCTAACGGTGCTCATCCCCCTCTCCCGTTGTTCGCGGATCTGGCAAAGCACTTGAACACCGAGGCATTCTACTACCCGGTCGTCGAACAGCTCGTCCAGATGATCCACCGCGTGTTTCCCTTTGCTCGCGGTCTCTTCGAGGACAAGGTCGCCAACTTCTGGTGCGCCGCAAACGTGGTGATTAAGCTCAGAAACTATCCGGCTGAGCTGCTGCAGAGAGGTGCGTTAGTTGCGACACTGGCAGCAATCATTCCGCCTAACCTCATCTTATTCCTGCGACCGCGCAAGCACCTCTTGCCCCTTGCTTTTGCTACAACCGCCTGGGGCTTCTTCCTGTTCAGTTACCAAGTCCACGAGAAGAGTGTCCTTCTCCCCTTGATGCCCATGACCCTGCTGCTTGCGGGGAGACAAGGGTTGGGCAAGGATACGCGTGCCTGGGTAGGGTTTGCCAATATCCTGGGCTGTTGGACCATGTATCCATTGCTGCAACGAGTCAATCTCAGAGTCCCGTATACGGTCTTGACTCTTCTTTGGGCGTACCTCCTCGGTCTGCCCCCGACTTCGCTGAATGCGTACTTCCAGGACGGTTCAAGCATCTGGAGTCAATGGGCCACCGCCTTCATCCATGGCTTCTTTTACCTGACAATGGCGTTCTGGCATGTGTTGGACATGTTCGTCGTGGCTCCGAAGGACAAGCCAGATCTTTGGGTGGTTGCCAACGTCGGCGTTGGTGCTGTTGGGTTCTCGTTGTGCTATCTTTGGTGTCTCGGGAGCCTTATCATCGAGAGTGAGATTTTACCCACGTCTTGGACCGGCAAGAAAACGAAAGCGAAAACTCAGTAGGATGGTTAGGGGGTTAAATCCGTCACGGAAATTCATCCGCGTTACACACCACGGCGCGGACTGTATAAACCGTTCCTCTGGGTCAGCCTACCTGCCGTTAAATTACACCGCAATACCAGCAATGTTCAATGGATTTTCTTTTCCTATCGTGTGTTCAATTCTCTCCATCTAAACCTGGGCATTCTGGAACACGAGGCCACGAGTTTCCATTCTCTTCGGGCAACCAGAAGAATTCACACGGCGCGCGCAAATACGTTCCACACTGTGCTACATGTACAAGGCGTGCATATGTTGGAGAGGAGGCGCATTCTACAACCCCGGCCCGATCCATGGACACTCGAGTAAGCCAACAGATTCTGCCATGTGTACGTGCCAACAGGTGCACACTTGTGGCGAGGTTTGAGGATCGCTGCCGCAGCGGGAAGGACGAAGAACACGGCAGCAGCGGGGAGTGTCACAAGCATGGCAGAAGACCGACACGACTGGTCATTGATCATCGCACGCCGGCCGCTATGCTGGCCTCGTCCATTGCTTCACATTGGTGTCGTGGGGGCCACGTTGGGCCAGATGCAGGGACATCAGCGTCGTTTCTCCGGGTGGCTTCTGTGGAGGCTAGTCGGGCAGGGCCGGGCTGTGTTCTTTTTCGGAATGTTGGAATTTGCAATCGATATTTTTCAGGGGGAATCCTTGACGCAACAATCAAATAGGCCACTGGGAAAAGAAATGTTTTTATCATCAGGAGTGGACAGGCCGGGCTGGCATGTCGCGATTCTTTGAAGAGGCGGGCTGACAGGGTGTCACTTGCCGTGGAACAGGTCAGAGGGAAACTGTATGGGCTGGACGTTGGCTACGGTCAATCTGTAAGTGCTCACCTCATCCGCCCACCTTCGAAGGATTCCGGCATCCTGTCGGTGAGGGGTAGGTATTCTCCGACGAGAGACGCTGTGCGGTAAGGCTGAGAAGCTCGTTTAAGCGTCACGAGAATAGCCATGCTAAACAAATCTGACAGGTATACTCAGCAAGAGGTTAGGCCCTATAAGGTTTAGCGACTTGTCAATTTCCACAAGCCCAGGGTTTCAGCTTCATTTTCAACCCTAGGGAGTGGTCAATTTCCTCCACATCCTTTGAACATTCAGCCCAGCCAAGGTGTCGACACCCAATCAGGAACAGGCTATGAGAAGCTAGATATACCCTTTGGGTTAGGTACCCGACAGACCAGCCTTCCGCATTGGATGACACTTTGTCTGTCGTTGGTGTTGTTATGCAGAGTTAGGTCGGGTTTGTTGTCACAACATCACTTTCATTCGCCTTTCTGTAACCTTTCCTGCAGTCATGTCCGTACGAGAGTGTCGTGACGTAGAGTTTTCACTTCTGCCATCGCTCTACATCTCTAGCCTCGGAGCCTTTCAACCTTTATTAACTTTACAACAGACCGTTTGAATCTCGTGGACGGCAATGACGGCTTGGAGGCGGGGACTTGATGGCAACATGAAGACGATGTGTTGAGCGTCATCATGACAAAAAAAAGACCCGACGAGGCTTCATGAGACGGGTTCCTGTCCGGCCTTCCCTCGGAGGCGTTCGCAGATTTTGAACCCCATCCTTTGACCTAGAACCATTTCATGCGTCTAGCTCGACTAGTCGTCTACCTGTGTCCTTTGTCTCTTTATTCTCGGATACCGGTCTCACGACCGGCAGACGTTTTCCTTTGTAGGACTTGCCCTCCACAGGTACGCAATACTGGTGTCACGTTTTGGTAGTCACAGGAATTGTGCTTCATAAAACTTGGGGCATGCCCATTCTAGGATCTATTCCAAAATCTTCTGGTTATTACGTTTATGGTTCAGTCGCTGCCAGACAGTGATCAGTAAGGCAATTGCTTGGTTTCAGCTACTTATCAATCATTCGTTCAGCCACCCCTCCCCCGGATCACCACAGTTCTCGACTGAGAGCACCTCGCCCCCGGTCTACACTATTGATACCAGAACGCTCCAAGCTGCACCTCCCCGCTCGATTCCCAAGGTCCAGCCCACCCTAGTTCTCAGCAGAAAAGTTGCACTGTATCCGTCGTAGGCTTGTTCCTACTGGGTCCCGTGGCTTTGGACATCCCCAACCAAGAGACTGACCTCTCTTCCGCTCTCTCTTGTTCTTTATCTGGGAGCCTGCCCCGTCCCTGTGTACTTTCGGGGTTCTTTTTTTCTTCCGCCTTCCTTCAGACGATACCACTCTTGACGGGACACCTCATTCACCAGGAAGGACCTGCCTGGTTGAGATCAACAGCAACATATACAGGTCACGTCGACAACCACCTCCACAACATCTGCGCAGCCATCTGGTCCAACAGTCATTCTGGTAAAAGTAGGAGAAGTAAGTCATTGCAACGAGGGCTAAGGATTAGAGCAACAATAGCTGACTGTGCTCACAGGGAGGCCGCCATAAGTTCGAGCCAGATATAGTGACGGCTAGGGTTGGCGACATCGTTCGTACGTTGCATCTTGTAGAAGACTACATACTCTAAAGTACCTAACTTAAGTCAAGCTACTAATAACAAGCTCGTTAGGCTTCCTGTTTTACCCTGGTGGCCATTCTGTTGCGCGAGCTCCTTACAAGTATCCATGTGTCTCTTATGAACTTGGTGGAGAACCTGGAAATGGATGGTTTACCGGCGAAGGGCTCTCCCCGGAGTTCAATCGGAACCCGGTGAGTACATCATCCTAGGAGCGACTGCCTGAACCAGAAAGCTGACAAAGCCACAACTTAGCCTCCTCACTGGGATCTGATTATCAATGATACGCTGCCCAACTTCTTCTATTGTGCGGCCAAGTCATCCTGCTCGGAAAACAAAATAATTGGAGTCATCAACCCTAACTCGACGCAAACTTTCGACGTCCAAAAGGCGGAAGCATCGAAAGCAACATTCGATCTAAAGCCGGGAGAGGGATGGCCTGTAGAAGAAGGCAAACCTCCAACCCCAACCTCGACTCCTTCCTCTACTTCAGCTCTTTTATCAGGAAGCGGTGGTAAGTCGGGGTTAAGTGCTGGTTCCATCGCGGGCATTGCTATTGGCGCAGCCGCTGTGGTAGCTATTGCAGCCGCCTTGCTCTTTTTCTGCGGGCGTAGGGGAGGGTTCAAGAAGGCCTACCGCAAGAGCGTCGTTCAGCCGTCGGCACCTGCTCCTGATGCTGCTGCTGCGCCTCCGACCATGGTAGAGACACAGTACCACAACCAGCACAATCCTGCCAGCCCTGTCCCCACGCCAGCAGGCCTGAAGAGCCCCGGTCAAGCCAGCTACGCGACCTTCTCAACTCATCCGCACATGGACCCCAATGACCCGTACCGAAGCATGACGGCGAGCCCTCAGCATCCGCCATACCCTTATGGGGCGCCGCCACCACCGCACAAGAACCCTTTCTCGCCGGGGCCTGTCTACGGCTTCAACACTTGCAACGGACACGCAGTGTCTGCAGCTGGCAGTCCGCCTATTCCTGGCCCTAACTCGCCTTTGATGGTTGGAGAACTCAGCTCGTAAGTTTAGAAATTTAACTAGCGTACGAGAAAAAGGCAGTCGTTAACATTTTCGTGATAGGGTTCCTCACGCGCGCGGTAACGATCCAGCTCCTGTCGAACTACCAAGCGGAGACGGTCCCTCTGTCAGGCCTCCATCGATGTTGCCGGGATCGCCTCCTCCGCAGTATGAGAGCGGCAACAACAACGGCGGCGCGCCCACACAAAAATGGGCTGCTGGCGAGGAGAATCAGTTTCAGAAGCGATGAGCATCAATGAGTCCAGGTTGTTAGTCAGATAACGGTTGCGCTTAATGAATGAAAGAATATAAACGGTAAAAAAGGGGGTTTCTTTTGGTGGGGTCGCCAGCAGGCAGATGCATGTGCCACTCGAACTTGTAATCAAATGATGGTATTTTGATGACTATCTATCTGGCTGCTGTCGACTGTAATTTTCTTGATGTTTTTACATTGCCTAGTTTGATATCCCAAACTGAATGAATGATACTTAAGGTACTCAATCTTCTCCTCTCAGTTACAATTGGAGCATCCGTAACAATGTCTCTCGACGATTGAGCCTTAGTGTCCTCACCGAAGTTCAGACCCTCAAATACGTCCTGACTGATTACTTAGCAGAATCCAATTTCAAACCATGGCCTCACTTCTCTGAACCGCAATTCTCACTACAACAATTTCATCCCGCACCCCAATGATCTTTCCGAACCAGCAAAGTTAGAACACCAAACCCAAACCGGCTCACCACCCACCACCCTCTCATGGAATCGGTCCGTCACAAGCGCGCACTCACAAAGGAACGGGCCCTGTCCTGTCCCGTCCCTTGTCCGCCGTGTCCCGTTTGTTCGCACGAGTTCCCTCGTTCCTTTGTTCCCTCGTGGTTCATGGAACTCAGGCACTCACTCACTGCCAGGAACCAGTCGGTCGGTCAACATAATACGTAGGAGGCAAACTTCCAAAGTTTCCAAACTGGTTTTGGGGTTTATTTTTGCCGTAGGTTCCTATATTCGCCTAACTCAATTGGTTGAGCGTCAAGAAATGCCCATTCGTTCTGTTCAGCAAGACATAACTCTCGGTCGACTTGAACGTCCTAAAGGTTTTTGTATATATATATTTTTGAAAAGCCGAGGTGTATCGACCCCGAAGAAGGAATAGCTAGCTATCTTGCTAGGGACTTCACCAATAGGGCAGCTTAGTTGAGATTGATTTAGTTTTGGTCACGTACAGGGTTTGAATCTGTGCATATAGTGACCTTGTGATGACCAGTTCTCGAGGTGACTTGTGAGGCACGGCAAGGAAGAGGGAGAGGAAGTGGGATGTGAAGAGTGTCCTATTCCTTTGTCCCCCTTCCATCCTTCCCGTCATTTTCTTGACCTTCTCCTTTGTGGCTAGCCGACTCTCGGCAGCTGATAGGCTTATTTGCCGAGGAGTTTAGGGAGAGTTTAAGCTTGATTGAGGCGTTGTTGAATCACATTTCTTGAGCCTTGGGTGACACGCCGGAGGGTGAATTTGGTAAGGTGGTGTTGACGAGTGTGATTTCCATCAGTTTATGGGTTTGGCACTGACAGCATATTGGAAGGGACTTAGACGCGACTAGTGACTGGTGGTGTTCAGATGTTTGATTGTTGGAAATGTAGATGAATTGTCTAAAGACTTTTCAGTAAATGGGCTGAGCTTGAGCATTTCACAAGACAGAAGGTCACCGAAATGAAAATCGTTAGATTCCACCAGTTCGTCAGAGTGTCCTCGTCGATAGATATCATGAACCGAGCCAAGTGAAGAGAGCATGACTTCCCATGAAATGTTGAATCAAGTGAGGATAGGTAATTCGACCGGTCCTCTCGCCGTCGTCGAGAATGGGCCTCATGATCCCGAAAGCCATTTGTCGGTTGTCCTGCTTCATCCCGGATGCTGCCGCGCCGCAATGCCGGATGGGATGGCGGCAATGGGACGAATCAAGGTTGGCCCGTTGGAGCATGCTGAGCTTGCCTTCCATGTGTTGGAGACGACAAGACAAGCTACCGAGTCCCGTTCTCCACCGGACCGGGCCTAGCGGACGCAAGCGGAGATCGGAGAAACGACCCTGCCACTGCCGCCAGCCCGCAATGGAAGCTGAGAAGACATTGACCCTTGTACTGGTCTGTTACTCGACCTTGTCAGCATCGCGCTCGGGTGGAAAAAAAGGCCTGAGGAGCTTCCTAATTCGTAGTCCGATCGGGCTGTTGCATTGAGGAGGCTCCGAGGGTCCTTGCGCTGTTTTGAGTTTTTGCAGCGGGGTTGCGATAGCGTGTTTACAGATTGTAAGATCAAGGTGAAGGCGAATGGTGAGGCTCTCAAGGTGAATAGGAGTTAGGAGAAGTGTCGGACATGACGATGAGGCTCCTTTTCAGTCAAACCTTGAAGCCATTTCTCGTCTCCAAAAGGGGGAAATTCGGATCAGATCGCACTTTCCAAACAGTCGAGATTCGAGAAAGCTGAACCCAGTCGTAGCGTGGGGTCTTTTGGAGATCCATCGCTTCCGAGACTCCATTCTTCCCGCGCCAAAACAACCGCTGGCCCGTGCCCTTCAGTGTTTTTGCAGGTTCACAGGCACACAGGCCTCTTTTCAGCGGGCGACCTTGGGCGCGTGGGCACTCCAGCAGGGCAACTCGAAACACCGGAAGGTAGCCGTCGACCAAGAGTAAGGGGGACCCACAGTTGCCCGTGGTGTGTAATTCCGTTGGAATGTACTTCATTCTCTGACGTGACTGCCACTGACTTATAGGTACTCCTTAACATAAGCACCCATCAGCTTGGCAGCTTCTCGATGCGGCACTTGCAGGAAATCACGGAATGATATTTGGTTAAGGACACAGTTGTATGTTAATAAGGTACCTGACTGACCTCATCACCAGCACTTCCATCTTCAAATTCACCTTTGCCTTGCAACCTCTTCCACCTCTTCAGCTGACAGCCGGACCTTGACCCTTCACCACCAGGTTTCAATCCGAAAGCTGCTGCGCCTGAATCGAAACGAGGACCCATCTTCCACTCTCAACCTTAACACGAGCTCGGTCCCGCATTCATTATTGCTCTCTGGAGTCCGCCCTGAGCAGGAACCCCTCCGTCATCACTTCCACTTCTCGGCGCTCATCCCTCCACAAAACATCAACCAACCTGGTTTCGCGATCCAGGAGCAACACCTGCGCTTGACAACTCCTCGATTCCCGACGCCATATTCAGTTGATTAACCACAACTGACGTGATCGTATCTCACATAATGGCGCAAATGCGGGGACCCGGCAGCTATGGCATTGGTGCCTCGAGCCCTTTCGGAGGTCCCGTCAACGACGACACGACCGAATCCAGTCCTCTCGACGCAATCAGGAAGCAGACTAGCAAGATCGAGGACGTTTTGGATTCATTCAGCGAGCCTGTTAAGCCGTATGTCAGACCTGGTCGACAGTGTCTTCTACCTTGGGTGTGAAAGGGTTGCTGACTGAATGGTGGTGCATACAGCTATCTCCCTGCCATTGGCCGCTTCCTGATTGTCGTAACCTTCATCGAGGATGCGCTCAGAATAATAACCCAGTGGAACGACCAGCTGCTGTATCTCCACGATTACCGTCATAGTATGTGCCTTTCGAGCGTCAATTAACCTGCGACTTGTGCACAGCTGGACAAGCGTTTACTAACCGTCGACATTCTACAGTTCCTAACGGCGTCACTCACCTCTTCCTTCTCGTGAACGTTCTTGCTATGGCCTCCTGCTCCACCCTCGTTATCATCCGCAAATACTCTGAATATGCCGTCGGCGGTCTTATCGGTGTTGTCATCACCCAGGCGCTCGGTTACGGCCTCATCTTCGACCTCAACTTCTTCCTCCGCAACCTCTCGGTCATGGGCGGCCTTCTTATGGTCCTCTCGGATTCCTGGGTGCGCAAGACCAAGGCTTTTGCCGGTCTCCCCACCCTCGAGGAGAAGGACCGCAAGATGTACTTCCAGCTTGCTGGCCGTGTCCTCCTGATCTTCCTCTTCATCGGATTCGTCTTTAGCGGAGAGTGGACCATCTGGCGCATCATTGTCTCGCTCATTGGCCTTGTTGCTTGCGTCATGGTTGTTGTCGGCTTCAAGACCAAGTTCAGCTCCACTCTCTTGGTCGTCATTCTCAGCATTTTCAACCTTTTGGTCAACAACTTCTGGACTGTAAGTGGATTTTGTGTACCCAGCAGATACAGCTCGGTTTTGTTGTCTTTTTTTCCGAGCCGCTGCTAACTGTGCGCCTTTCTAGCTTCACGAGCACCACCCCCCACAAGGACTTCGCCAAGTACGATTTCTTCCAGATTCTTTCCATCGTCGGCGGTCTCTTGCTCCTCACCAACACTGGCCCCGGCCAGTTCAGCATTGACGAGAAGAAGAAGGTCTACTAAGGGGTTGGCAAGAGGAGGCTAAGTGAAGGGAGATCTGCGTAGGGGTACATGAGCATCCCTCGCTTATTTGAGCTCAGTAATCAGAGCCAGGCAAGGGTGTTGCATACACGGATATGGGAGCGAAACGAGCGAATGGAGACATGATAGGTACGGCCTGTCACATAGGTCAATGCTATGTGGAGGATGTTTCGATACTCAGTTGGGAGTTCAAAATAGGTCACGGATGCCTAGGAGAGAGTTAGGAGCGGGATATGTGATGTGGTAACATTTGATCATTAGCGGCGTACAATCCTTTTGGCTGGGTCTATATTTGGTGACGGTCCCTATGGGAAATTTTGAAGACACAACGTACATCAGCGTAGTCGCAATGTTCAAAAATACTCATGAGAGAAAAGAAATGCCCTTAGTTGTAGGATTTTCCATAGAGTTGGTGATGGACCGGAATCTCGCTTCAGATCTCACTAAAATCAGGAATCCGTTTCTTCGTTAGACGCATGTACGATCCTTCGGAGGGGAAGACGATTAGGGCAGGCTGGTTTCGTCTGTAACACGAGTGGTCATAAAAATATGCCAAGCACTTGAGATACCGTACACCTCTGCATAGTATTTCACGTACAAACTCATCTTTCATGAACTCTACGACTGCGAGACATCTCTTGGATGGAAACATCCCAACAGGACTTGAGTCTAAACCGTGTCCAGCTTGACACAAGACGTTCTACTGTTTCGTTGCGGCCTGTTCAACCTAAGCGACTGGTACTACACTGTTATATTGGTTTATCCTTACGTCCATCAGGACGGTACTAGTAACGCCATGATTCGATTCATACAAAAGCCCGCCTGCTGGCCGGTTTCAACTTTCAACAGAAAACCCCCCCAACACCTTCGGGCCGGAAGCACTGTGAGGCGCCACCGACGTAACTCCCACCCCAAGTGGAAAAGAAAATACATGTTGTACTGTACAAGGTGCATGGTAAACTAAAGCCAAAAAAACAAGCTCACAGCAGCAGCAACTAATAGTGCCACTAGATACCCAATTGTATCATAGCCAAAATCGTACCTACACAGAAATTGCGTTAGTAAGTGAAGAAGCAAATTTTCAAGACAGGAGGAGCTGAACGCTAAGCTCACCTTTCTTCCCAACCGCTACCCAACATGACGACCAAAAAAAAGGGTTTTATGTCATGCATCTCGCTATACCATCGCTATGTGTCCATATCCAAGTAGTGTACCTAGTAGTAACTCCGGAAAACCTCAAAAACTCCACGCTTGGAACTCAACATGAAACTGTCATAACCAAAGCAACAGGAGAAACATAGAAAAGCTTCCGTCATGTGTGGAACTTCAGCCCCCCGCCCTTACTCTCCTTACCCTAACCACGATCCCAAAGAAGAAGAAAAATCAAGGAATCAACAACTTATCCATGGCGCTCTTCGCAGAATCGATAATCCTCATACCCTGCGACTTCCTTGCTCCACCCTTCGCGTCCGCCTTCGCCTTCGACGCGGTGCCGGTGGTCATCGATATCCTCGTCGGCGAAGTAGGCGACAACGACCTCTCACTTCCGCTTCCACTTCCGATAACAAACCCGCCCAACGGGACCAACGGCTCCAACTCCAACTCCCCACTCGCCACCAACGCCTCCAGCCTCTCCTGTCTCCTGCGACTCCTCTCCTCCATCCTCGCAAAGATATCCTTCAGCCCGATATGCATCACCGTGTCACACGGCCCCTCGATCCTACTGCCTTTCCCGTCCCTACCGCCCAAGCTAATAACCGTTCCCTGGCTCGCCGTTCCCGCTGCTCCGCTCTGGCCGTACACATCCAGCTTGAGCATGGCGCGGGTCATCAGGCGCCAAGTTAGCGGCGGCAAAGGCTGGGCTAAGAGGGCGACCATGTCCTCGCATCGCTTCCAGGAGGTTGCGATGGGGCCCCACAGCCCGCCGTAGCCTTCGAGATCCAAGAAGATGTTGCGGCCGGCGACGGTAGCGGAGTGCGTCTCCTTTTCGACGAGGTCGAGGAGGAGGGTGTAGGAGGAGGAGAGCGAGGGGAGGATGGCGGCGAGGAGGACCATGTTCTGGATGGCGGAGACGGGAGGTTCAGTTTCGTCGGCGTTGTTGTTGTTGGGGCTTTCGGTCTCGCTGTCGGCGGAGAACGGGGTGCTGGGAGGGTCGCCGCACATGCTGCAGAGGATGGTCTCGTGCGCGATCTTGGTGACGGTCCGGACGGTGTAGAGTGCTTGGGTGATGTCGTCGGTGGGCACGTAGCGGAGGGACTCCATGGCCTCGCGGAGGTTGTCGCCGCAGGCGCAGTGACCGGCGGGCTGGCTGCTGGTATGGTCGTTGGTGTTGGTGCTGTCGCAGGGACTGGTGGAGGAGGAGCCGCCGGGTGTCAGATGGGGGACAGTTAAATCGGAGACCTCCGATAGCGATGCTGGGCGCGAGCCGTGGTCATTCTGTGAGGTGTCTGGATGATGGTAGGAGGCGTAGTCTGGGTAGGCGTATATCCCCTCGGGCTGCTCTCGCTTCGGGAACGGCGAGGAATACTGTTGTATTGAGGAGGAGGAAGCCGATGTTGACGCTTGTACGTCAAAGCTGTCGAAGTTGACATTGCCAGTGAGGTATCCTCCAAGTGCCGGTTGCCATTGTGCGTTGACGGCAGCCGAGGAATCCATCCATGCGTTGTCGGCATGTCTTGTGTCTTCCTTGGGCATCGCCTCTATTTGCCCGGGTGCCGGTCCCGGCAGAGGGATGTCATAGTCCAAGGAGAAGGGGAAACCATAGGATCCGAACTGGAAATTTGGGTCGAAAATGTCAACAAAATTTATGTCTGTGTTGGTGACGTCAAGGAAGCACATGTCTAGATCCAGGTTCAGGGTGCCGTCAAAGGGCATCTGGACGGGATATGTCAAGGCCATCGACGTCTCACTGGGAGAAACATCCTCAGTCTTTGCCTCCTTTCGCGATGCCTCGCTCAGGTCGACGTGAGGACGTTTCCTTGGCCTACCCATGGGCTTCTGGGCCGAATAGTTACAGTGAACGCCTTCGCGCTTACACCGCGCACAGCCATCTGGTTCTTTTGAACAAGCCAGTTTCCGTGCCCCTGTTTTTATTAATCAATATACATCAGCGCGGGTTGGGCAGTCAGGGAGCTGACAGGATGTAGATACACATGTGGTGGACATATGATGATAGACATATGATAGACATATGTGGTGATGGGAACGGGGAGATGGGATGAAACATACGGCACTCATCACAGGCACGGCGTTTCACCGGCTCTTTCTCTTTAGCGCCCTCGCTATTTGAGACCATGGCTGTTTGATTTTTTCGCAGACGGCCTGTCCTCTAATTTTTTTTGCCTTTTCCGCGGGCGTAGATGTGTGGTGCGATAAAGGGGGTTGAGCATCAAGGTAAACGTCTTCAGGCTCTCCGCAAGCCCCGCTCAAAAGTCGCGGAAATCGCCCCGGTGATGAGTGGTCCAAGACACTGCTTAGGCGCTAGTGTTGAGATGATGGGCAAAGAGCATGGATATGGACGTTGTAACCAGTGACCTGGGACGATGGGATTGACTCGTTTTCAAATGAGGGCAAAGAGAGCAGAATTCAGACAGGCCAGCTACCACCTAGGCAGAGGGCTCCAGGGCAGCAGGGCTAACGAGCCAACGCAAGCAACCGAAGATCACCTAGTCGCGCCAGACCTGATGCCACTATTAATAAGCCGCAGTTAACACAGAGGATAATTCAGTCGGACTGATGGTCTTGCCTCAACTGGTGTCAGGCATCTACCGAACAAAAGCATCTAGGCCTTTGGAAATCTATGTGGCTCGCTTGCCGGAGGCATGTGCTTCCCGCTGGTCATGGGATGACTAGAGTCTACACGTGTAGTTTAATGGGAGTTGTGTAGAGGTATCGAGAACCCCGAGCCCATCAAGGTGCCCAAGCAGGCTTTCGTGCTATTCCCAAACCCCAACTGCCATGGCCTAGAAAAGCGCAAAAAGACCGCGATGTCAACAAAAACGTAAGGGGCAATGGGGTGAAACTCGACAAAACTGTGTATTTTACGAGCCATCCATACTGGTCATGCGGGTTTTTGATTGATGCTGGTTTGGCGGTTTTTGGCTGCCAATGCCCACAGAAACGGGTAGGACGGGCTACAGAAGTGGAATCGTACGTGGTTGAAGCCGGGTGTAGGGGTGCAGACGGTGCTGCATCGAGGTTGCTGTTCGGTGTTCATCTCATCCATGACAGATAAGGCTAGAATGTTGGAGAAGTCAGTATCAGGGGAGCGCATGCTCTCCATTTGTCTCCATTCACATCTGCTCTCCGATGCGCTAACCCGATAGGGTAACTGGTTGCTGCGGATGCCAAGGGCGGTGAGACCAAATGGTCCCCGCCATGAGCTTTAGAACCGGCAGAAAAAAAAGTCCCAGGCCAATTCGTACGCTGGGAATTTTCGACGCCTATCGCTGCGACGCTATCTGGCTGACTTTCCAGCAGAAAACACGCCAAAAACCACCACACATTCACAATGGGGCCAAAAACCATTGAGAAGAAGCGAAAGGTCCAGGACCCCGAGCCTGAGTCCGAAGACGAGATTGCACCCGATTTCGACGGCGCCCTGTCGCAAAGCGAAGACGAGTTCGATTCCGATTTCGACGACGACAAGGAGCACGAACAGGATGGCGAGGAGGAAAGCGGAAGCGAGGCCAGCGACGACGAAGATGATGAGGGCTCCCTACTAAGCGACGACATCCCCTCCGACGCTGAGGGTGACAAGGCCATGGGCAAACTTGTTCTCGAGGACGAAGAGGAGGAACTCAAGATTGAAATACCTGGAGTCGACCCCAAGCGGCCGGAGAAGGATGACGGAGAGAAGAACTATCGGGTCGAGAAGGATGCGAACGGCAATGAACGCTACGTCTACGAGTATGTTATTGCTCCGACATTGGACCAAACTGTCCTTCCATGCCAGCATAACTAACTCGAGAATGAATGCGACAGTGAGATCGACCCCGTCTACGATTCGGACGATTCCGATGCCCAAGAAGCGCCAAACACCATCGGTGATATCCCCATGAGCTTCTACGACAGCTATCCTCATATCGGTTATGACATCAACGGCAAGAAGATTATGCGCCCGGCCACTAAGGACGCTCTCGACGCCCTCCTCGACAGCATCGAAGTGCCCAAGGGCTGGACCGGCCTTACCGACATTCACACTGGCAACCCTCTCAACCTTAAGTACGCATTCCATCGTCTCCTTTGGGTTGTCTACGCTCTGTGGGATACGTTTACTGACTGTCATGTTGCAGTGACGAGGAGTTGGAGCTTGTTCGTCGTGTCCAGATGGGTATGATCCCCAACGACTTGGAGGACCCCTACCCCGAAACAGTGGAATACTTTACTGGTATTGAGGAGAAGATGCGTAAGTCTTAATCTGTCCATACTTTCCACTGTGGAAATGGTGCAACTAACACGCCAATAGCTCTGAGCGCTGCCCCTGAGCCCAAGCGTCGCTTCCTCCCTTCCAAGAACGAGGCCAAGAAGATTATGAAGCTTGTTCGCGCTATTAGGGAAGGCAGGATCCTGCCCTACAAGCCCCCTGAGGAGCGCGAGAAGGAGGAGGAGGAGGTCGAGCAGTACTTCGATATCTGGCAGGATGAGGTGCCTACAGAAGTTAATCCCTTGCACATCCCGGCGCCCAAGTTGCCTCCTCCTGGTTTCGACATGAGTTACAACCCGCCCGCAGAATACCTACCGACCAAGGAGGAGAGAGAGGAGTGGGAGAAGCTCGACCCTGAGGAGCGCGAGAAGGAGTACCTCCCCCAGAAGTACGACTCGCTGAGGAAGGTTCCCGGTTATGGCGAGGTCGTCAAGGAGAGATTCGAGAGGTGCATGGACCTTTACCTTGCTCCTCGTGTGCGGAAGAACAGGCTCAACATCGATCCCAACTCTCTCCTGCCCAAGCTCCCCTCGCCTTCTGAGCTCAAGCCTTTCCCTACCGTTGCGCAAACAGTTTTCCGCGGCCACGATGGCCGTGTAAGAAGCGTTGCCATTGACCCTACTGGTGTTGCTGTGGCTAGCGGTGGCGATGACGGTACGGTCCGTGTGTGGGAGTTGTTGACTGGTCGCCAGGTCTGGTCCGTCAAGCTCAGCAGCGAGGAGGCTGTCAACACTGTTAGGTGGAGGCCCTCGAAGGACTCCTTTATTCTCTCCGCTGCTGTGGGCGAGGAGGTCTACCTCATGGTTCCTACACATGCCAGCGTTACTCCTGCTTTGGAACAGGCTAGCAGAGATGTCCTGTCGGCTGGCTTCGGTTATGCTACAGGCGGTCAGACACACGGTGCTGCTCCCGGAAAGGAGCCTCCTGCCAAGTGGGCTCGCCCCGGTGCTAAGCTCGAGGATGAGGGTGTTTTGATCAGGATCACAGTTAGGTCGACCGTCAAGGTCATCAACTGGCACAGGAAAGGAGACCATTTTGCGACAGTATCGCCTTCCGGACAGAGGAGCTCCGTCGCGATTCACACGCTCTCCAAGCACCTCACCCAGATTCCCTTCCGCAAGCTTTCTGGCTTGGCTCAGACAGCGTCTTTCCATCCCCTCCGCCCTCTCTTCTTCGTCGCCACCCAACGAACAATCCGCTGCTACGACCTGCAAAAGCTCGAGCTGGTCAAGGTTGTCCAGCCTGGCGCTAAGTGGTACGTACCCATGATCTCTCAGATGTTGTGCATGGCACAAATTTGCTAACTCTATCGACTTGTAGGATTTCTTCGTTTGATATCCACCCCGGTGGTGATAACTTGATTGTTGGTTCTTACGACAAGCGTCTCTTGTGGCACGACCTGGACCTTTCCATTCGTCCGTACAAGACGATGAGGTTCCACAGCGAGGCGGTTCGTCAAGTTAAGTACCACAAGGGCGGGCTGCCGCTCTTTGCTGACGCCAGTGACGACGGCACTCTTCAAATCTTCCATGGCAAGGTCCCGAACGATCAGCTGGAGAACCCCACCTTGTCCCGTCAAGGTGCTTAAGGGACACAAGATCGTTAACAAGCTCGGTGTTTTGGACATGGACTGGCATCCTCGTGAGCCTTGGTGTGTGTCTGCCGGTGCTGACGGTACCATCCGTCTCTGGATGTAAAAGAACAACGTGTAATGGAACAAGGCGGGAGATGAACAGGATAAAAGGAGGGAAAAGGAAAGCGAGGAGACAGGCTAATCAGTCTGCTTGTCTTGATTGGCGTGCTCGGATGTGCTACTATTATGATTAGAAAGATACACAGGCCCATTTGGAGTGTATACAAGTCGACTACATGTATGTTTGGCGGAGTTCTTGGAATGCTAAAGGAAATATACCACATTTTCGTCCTCACGTTCCTTGACTTGACTATTGGGTAGCAGGGGGGTATATCTGGACCGATGAGGTCTCACCACGGACGTTAGACGGGATTATTCGTGTGGCCTACGACCCCTGTCTATTCAACCTTGGTCTCACGTCCGAAATGATGCTTTATGAAACGTCGGAAGGTGTAAGCCAACGGCTACACTAAATGCCGAGTCTTGCTTCTGTGGTCGATAGCCGGAAAACCCGGGAATGGGAGGGATAAGAGGCATGCGTGAGCCGCTCTTCCTGTTTGTCTCTGCCGTTATCGTGCAAGGCACACGTTCTTCCTGCGCACATTGCTTCTCTTTGTCCTGGTTCTACCAATTAATCATCTCGTCTGTTTGAATCCGCACAACGCAAACCTGCATATGTATTCTGATTCATCGTGCATCCTAGGCTGCCGGAGATATGTAGGGTTGGTGCCCGAGTGCCCAAGTCTCCACTCCGATCAATCAGCCCTACGAGGACATATCTATCTAATTGCCCCCTCTCTTTTATCCATTTCGAGTTGTGCTCCTTTCCGATCTTTGAAATCTGTCCGGCCTGTAACGCTTCTAATGACCATAAAGCACTCAGAAGCCATACAACATCCACAGCATTCACAACATCTCCATCTATTACCTCCGACAAGGGGGAGAAAAAATGAAACCGCCTCAGGAAGAAGCCTCACATACATCGACACCATTTCGCTCACAAAGGACCCCTGAACGTTAACCTCGACATGGCCCTCCAACCTAGTCGACCGGCGCAATGATGACGAAGTATCAAGACGAACACATCCGCATATATTTATAAACCTCTCGATAACCCAACCAACAAAACGCAACATCGACCGAACCACTCTATCCACTCACCAACAAACATCTACAAATACACATCCACCCCATCCGCAAACCTCTCAAAAATCTTCAAATCCACCGCCTCCGCCATCGTCCTATACCCCTCCGGGTTCAAATGCAGATAATCCCCACTATCCCACCTCTTATCCAGCATCGTCCCATTGCTGCGATCCCTAACCGCCTTATCAAAGTCCACCACCGCATCGAACCTGCCACTCCTTCTAATCCACTCATTGACCCTCTGGCGCGTCTTCTCCCTCTCGGGCCCACCGTACGCCTGGCCCGGTCCGCTCATAGGCGTGATGGTGGCCCCAAAGGCCGCGATGCCATGCGAGTGCAAGCGCGTGATCATCTGCTCGTAGGCAGAGATCAGTCTGTCGCCGACGGTGGTTTGGGAAGCGGAGTCGAGGGCGGCGGTGCCGATGTCGTTAACACCCTCGAAGATCAGGGCGTAGCACACGCCAGAGCCGGGGCGGGCGAGAACGTCGCGCTCGATGCGGCCGAGGGCGTTGGGGCCGAGACCGTCGGCTAGGACGCGGTTGCCGCCAGCGGCTTGGTTGATGACTGAGATCGACGAGAGGGACCGGCCGGCCTTTTGCAGGCGAGCGAGGAGTTGGTCAGGCCAGCGGTTGTTGGCGTTGGTGGTGGAGCCGCGGCCGTCGGTGATGGAGTCGCCCACAATGTAAAGGGCGGAGGCACGCTCGGGCTGGTAGGCCTCGATGGAGGAGAGGAAGTACCAGTGGTCGGTGGACTGGGTGCCGGCCGAAGTCAAGTTGGTGGCGGAAACGAGGTTACCCGGCGCAAGCCAGCTGGTGGTGCGGCTACCCGGGTGGCCGGTGATGGACTGGCCGGCCTGGCCAGAGGCGAGGTATAGCGTAACGGTCAGGATGGACTGGGCCTTGACATTGAACTTGATAGGGTCCGAGATGACCAGAGCGCCGTTGGGAACGAGGAAGTCGGGCTTGCCGCCTGAGAAGGTGACGGTCTTGACGGACCCGGGCTTGATGGCGCTGGAACCGGCGCCTGCTCTGGATGCCGGCAGAGCGACGGTGGCTGCGGTGATAGGCAGGTCGGAGCCGCCGAAGGCGTTGCTGAAGCTCAGCCGGATGGTCGAGGCATCTTGGGTGATGTAGACCGTCTGGCGCAGGGTGGCGTTTTTGAAGACCGCGTCTTCGCCATTCTGGGAGTTTGAGTTCTTGTCAGTATACAGTCTCTCTCGGCTTCTTGTTGCAAAGTCAGAGTATCGATTCCGGACACAACTTACATAAGGAGCAGGAGGAAGGTTTCCAGGCTCAACGAGCTGCGGCATAGAACCCCAGATATCGATCCATTGGTTCGACCTCTTCGCGGAAACAGAGGAAGAGGAGCACAAGAGTAGCGCTCCAGTGATGAGACTCTTCAGGCCGAAGCCTGTGAACGGTGAACCAAACATAGCGGCGAGGACGGCTCTTGAACGATGCTATTGTGCAGTAACACCAAAGCACAACCTCGTCAAGGAGTCAGGCTACTCTCCCATATTTGAGTGCGATCCATCCAGAGAGATGGGCAGGTTATATATCGATATGCAGGAACATGTCGAATGGTGTAACTCTTTCGTGGTCGGTAAGAGAGTCCATTACGGGAACCCGGGATGAGATATCCCAAGGTATCACGGTGAGATATTAGGCTAAATGGCATATCCCCAGTTCTACCATCACTAGGCGATGGCTAGCAAGCCATGTTGTCTGGTTGACTGGAGAGAAAAACATGGGAATAGTTCGGAGCATGGCTCGGTCTTCTCCAAACGCTCTAGTGGAACGAGGAGAACGCCATTCAGAACTGTCCGGCATCCTTCAATCCCCACATCGGCCGATGTTTTTCCTGTTCCCTTATTCCTTTCACCCTTGTTATACTTGGAACCCCGCATGGAGATTTTCCGGGGTAGCGAAGTCGCATTGCATTTATCTGGACGTCACCGTCAGGTGGTGTCGTTTTTCCATCATCCCAATGATCCCTCATGGGCCAAGTTGGTTCAAAGAAATATCATGATTATGTATTGCCATTGAGGACATTCTAAACATTGTGGAAAGAAAGCAGCCATATTCCCAAACATACAACTATTTCTCTTTGGCATCCAAAATATAATCATTGGTTTTTCCAACTAGAGTTTGCCATGCTGAGTACGCCGCTGTCCGATTTTAATCCAAACGACCCATCCTTCTCCTTACAATAACAGGATTCAACCCGACAATGCTTTCCCGCTATGACCCGAAATACGAAAGCAAAACAAGTCCAAATGAAAATGGAAAATCGTCAAGGAGGAAATGAAAGATGGGTGTAATACAAGGCTAGGTAAATGGTACAAAGATGAGACAATCATGGGAAGAACTGCCCAAAAGGAAAAGTGTTAAGAACAACAGGAGAAGCAAGGCTGACCAGAAAAAGCAGAAACAATTGACGGGACATCATCATCATCAACATCAAACACATGATGCCACGATGAGGGCAAGCGCATGAGGGGCATATGTTCCTCAGTCGGAAAGAGGCATGAGGTCCTCAAGCAGGTCGAAGGTCGAGACTCGACGGGGATGTTTGCCATCTGGCTCCCCGCACCATCCGCCGGAGCCCACAACAAGGTTCGCCTGCTCCTGAGGCGATGGTACGTAAGCAAAGTCGGATCCGTCGTTGCTCGAAATGCTGTACATGGACTTGGGAGGCCTTGTAATCGGAGGGTTTTCCGAGACCACAGGTCCGGCAAACCGACCAACAAAGCCGGCGCCCTCAATCCAGCTGGGTATATTGCCAACGTAGGGCTGGGCCACTACCTCACTGTATCGCCCTAAGACCGATGCTGTGAGGGAAGGGCCTTTGAGGAGGGACTGACTAGCCGTCAGAGGGGGAGCCGTAGCCAAGGTTTCCTGGTGGTTCACGACTTCGTCGGCGAAGAAGGTCTGGTCCGAGCTTGCGGTCTCCGTTGAACATCCGTGAGATCTTACCCGATAGGGTATCTCAAAAGTGCCAGCGACATTGCCACCTTGGGCATTCTCGGATGTCAAATCGGCGTTGTAGCTGGACGAGGCTATGATGACGACTTGGGCTGATGGCTCGTTGTCATCGTTGTATTCAGGCTCTCTGTCCTCGGTGTGGCGGCTTGCATGGAACTCGATCGGCGTCCAGCCATCACTGGCAGTGGACTCGGAGCTCATTGAAGAGCGCATTCTGTCAGTCTTGTCGAGTAATGATTGACTGGGTGATATCCAATGGAGTAGCGAGTTCGAACGAGTTGGTGATGCGTCGGGGAAAGGGTGTTTTGTGTTGAAGAATGTACGGTCGTGTGACGGGGAAGGATGTATGGGATCGAGACGACGGATCGATGGGTTCCGATCGATGGGTTCGGATGAATGGTGATAGGGTTGGGGGTGCTCGAGTGTTTGGGCGACCGACGGGAACAGTGGTCTGTCTGTGGACTTCGGGTCTACAACAAACAGTTAGCAACGTTCACTGGGCAGCTATTGGGAGAGGAGTCACATACTTGAAGTGGGTTGGGTAACTGGCCGATTGAGGAAGCGGAGTTGCCGGGAGGATGAAGGGCGTTGGACGGGTTGACGACTCCTTCTGCAAGAGCAGGGACAGCGCGATATTACCGACGGCAGGTAGGAGTTGAAGGTTCGGGGCGTATGATGTCGTCGGCGATGAAGTGAGCTTGTTGCTGTAGGCAAAGTAAGGTTCAGATGGAGAGTAAGGATGAAGGTCATGTCAAGAAGGAAATGAGGGAAGCGGAGAGCGAGGGACCTTATATAAAAGATGTTGGGAAGGGTGACGAGAAGGGCAACGGAGGGGTGCGGCTACGTAGGTTGACGGGGGAGTCAGGGCCAGGGGATCTTCATGTGTAACCTTTGGCTCTCTTGCTACAGTCTTAGCACCCCAACCCGGGCAACTTGCGTGGACAAGGGACACGACTCGGGGGAACAGTTCGACACGCTCCCAAAAGCAGATAGGAAGGGGGAGCACGAAAAAATAATCGAGAAGAAGGAAAGTCGGCTAGATACAGGCAGGACGGGCAACATCTGTAAAAGCGTAACTGCAATAGCCATGGAACACGATGCCGCCGGGTCCCAAACAGTGACGTAAAAGGTAGCGACCGACGCAGCAACGGAGTGGAGGAAGGTCTGTAGAAATGAACGATTTCCCATGACTATCCTGGGGGGTGTCTGGGCTATGTTATCGGAACATGACCTCAGTTTCAACTTGCCTGTGAAGTGCAAGACGAGTAGCAGGGTAAGATGAGCTTCTTACCATCATGTACATTTACAGACACAGGAAACATGCTTGCAAATCAGGGGATTATACCTGGATGTACTCACAGAGGCAGACCTCAGCCTGGTATTACTGCTAGCACACCAGCACCAGTCTCCGTTGAATCAGCTATTGGCATATGAACCTGCCGCTATGGTGCTTTAGGCTGGCTTTGCGAATTTTGAGTTTTTTTTTGGTGGATTTGTGAACGATGACTTGTCTTTCACCATATGCTTCGACATCCGTTGTTTCATCGACTGCAATGCTTCTTGGTGGTCGATAGGATAAAGTATTCCGGGTCGTAGGTAGCGAATTGGTCTTTAACGAGAAGACGGTCGAGCATTTTGGTAGTGATGATGTGAAAGAAATGATGGTATCAATCATATGCGTACAGGCTCTCGTAAACGAACACTTTAACTATTCAAACGCCGAGTTTGAGCGGGTGAAGATGTAGCTGGAAAGGATCAAGTTGACAGGAACAGGAACAGCGTTGCGGGGAGGAGTGTATGAGAGGAGAGGCCAAGGAGGTGTAGGAATCGGAGTTTAGGAGGGCGACGATTGCTTGGATAGCTTCCCAGCCGGCCCAGCGTAGCATTGATTATCCACAGAGTTTTAGCACAACTTAGAACTCGTGTAACCATCGTGCCATTTGACTCCTTCCCTTCTCAGCTAATTTTCACAGCGAACAGGAAAGCTTGCATTTACTGCACGCTGATGCTGATAGTTTAAGCTAAATAAAGACGCTGTCAATATATAATGGATTTGAGAACCAAATGACAATAGTCGTTGAATGGATATTATTTTGTCGCCAATAGGATCCGACTATGACTGTTCGCCCGTGAGGTAAGCAGGTCACTGGAAGACTGGGGTCATAGTGTATAAGGCCCGTCCTCGTTGCTTCCTTCTCTCCACTCCTAGTTTTCGTAGTTTACTGTAATGATAACTCAAGCTTTCCAACATCAAAGTGTGAGTGACTTCCAGCCTTGGTAGACTGTTGTCATGTAGCTCCCTTTGGATACTGTTTGGGAGATTCCGTCTGCTGCCGGTACCTCGTCTTCTCATTTTGCACACTCCGGCATTGCATTTCCCCTCAAATGTTTCCAGACCCACCACTCAGATGACGTGGTGTTCATCAGCACTAGCAAGTTGCCAGGCACCGCTCGTGCTGCGGTAGTCTCAGTAGAGAACTCTGGATTTGTGCAAAGCCAAGAGCAAAGAAGCTTCCCATCGCCAGCCACCGTGAACAAACCGAGAAGAAGACCTTTCGGTCTCGACGATTGTTAGCAGAACTGAACGCAGGCTTCTCACAGCCGAAATAGACACAAGGCATCGCAACCGCTCGTCACAGAATTCCCACTTGGTATGTCAGGTATGCTCTAGGTAGGCTATAATTACGATCCTAGAACTGATGAACCAGGGTGATCTCGGTCACAGGGGTAGCGTCGCAGCAGAGATCCTCGCAATTGGCAACCCCCCGGCAGGTCGGAAGAGGTGTCGACTGAAAGCAGCCGGGCAGTGGTAGTCTAAAGTTTAGATCACGTCGTGTTTATCTTTCGTCCTCCTGGATCTCTTTTCGAGAGCTCAGCTCTCAAAACATACCATTTCAGGCACCCTAGCAAAGCGTTTTGTCACTTACTTCTATGGTGGTAGTGGTGGTGGTGTGTTGCAACTACCTCACATTCGAAAATCAACAGCCCAAGTATCGTTCAAACGCAACTATAGACTTAGTGGGTTGCTTCGGGCATTAAACCTGATGGTAACAAAATTTTCGACAAACGCTTCATGATTCGCTGTTTCATTACGTTCCTGAATTCCATGCCCATCCTTTCGAATTGGGACAGCTAGTTGGATCAAAGCTGCATGTTGTTGGGGTGTGCTTCGAATCGTGACAAGGTTCCATGTTGGAAAGTAAACTACACCTGCTGCAAGGTACCGTTGACCCTTTCGACTCTGGCAGCTCGTATCATCGATAGCCTGGTGAGAACTGCAAAGCGTTCTCATGGCCACATTCAGACTCTTTCGTGGTTGGTTCATATGTCTTTGTGATAAGGTCAAGACAGAAGAAGTGGAGGTCGAGACGTCAAAAATCGAGATGTCATCATCCGTCGTTGCTGCTAAAACCAGTTACGGTCACCCTCCACTAACTCCACCTACCAATTTTAGGTTATCAGGGTGCTCTGCTTCGCAGGCGCTGCCCTGCTAGGTCGCTTTGCCCTTGCTGTAGCGCATGCATGCATCCCGTCTGTCGCTGCGGCCTGTGGGTCACGGTACGATCATCCACTCGGGCGCCCAGCAAGTCCGGTTCTTTGTACGTATGAGAAACAAAAACATAACTTGTCCTGGAGATTGCCGAAACTGCATTGCGAAAAGACTGGTCTTCTGTATTAATTCTCCTTTGGCCTTGGTTCCTTGCCTATTTCATATCGAGATGTTTCGAGGAAGTCGTTGATAGACGCGGCAGCTAGGAACGATGTGGATGCGCCCATTCAGGCTCCCAGTTCCCATGCTCAAGCACCTGTACAGTCTTAGCGTGGTGCGCGCCACCACCCACACCACAACTTTTGACGTTTTGGACCTTCGAAACGAAAGAAGAAAATCAGGCAATTGTTTTAAACATTCAAAAGAATGGTTATAGCGGTATTTTCAAGTACGGTGATTCTGAAATCACTCTCAATTTTCCTGTATCTCCTCATTTGGTGGAGTTGCACGCAAATGAAATCTGGTTGTTATCGTTTCGAAGGTCAAAATGTCAAAAGTTGTGGTGTGGGTGGTGGTACCGACCGACCTTTGACCATCTACGGACGAGGGTATTCCCTGTTCGGGATCTGGTACGGTTTGTCATATCATATCAGTTGGCTTTACACACATGAAAGAACGGACGAACTGAAAAAGTAAAGAAAAGGATATGAATGTTGGTAACTAAATGGCATCTCTCAGCTAACAGACCGCCAGTACATGCATCGTGACACTCTCATCGTATCGACCGAGATTCATACAAGTGAGGTGGAATCTCACCCAATTTCTCAACGTCAACACCAAAACCGTTCATCCCCTAAGTCCAACCACGGGGGGGCTTGTCTATCTCTTTCAGTTTGGCTCGCTTGGCTCCTCGCTGGCTGGATAAACACTAGTAGGAAAATTCTTAAGATCTGCTGCATACCAGGGGATAGGGTCTCAAGATCAGATGTGACACCGTCCATCCACACCACGGCGCCTCCATGAAATGCCCTTTTCCTGGCCTGTCCGTCTTTTCGCCCTCTTGTCGAAAAAAATCTTTTTCAAGCCATGTTCTTTTGCACGCACCCCTCCCTCCTTTTTCATAAAAGCTCATCCCGAAAGGAAAGATCACACCAGCATCAGGACAAGTAGGGCAAGTGGGGCTCACTTACCGAACCACAACCCCAGGCGTTCACCATCATCATTACCCTGCCGTACAGGTCCCGTGAAGTATCGCATTCGAACCTTCCACTTGATTAACTGGAAGACATCTCGGAGAAGAGAAGGCTCAAACTTCAATCATGCATATGCAGGCACTGTGATTCCGTGACCGAATGAGCGAAGAAAATTTTCTTTCTTTTGATTACGTGCATATTCTTTGTGATGATATCCCCGCGCTGCGTTGTCCACCCGGTGCACTGCATTGTTCAGTCTACCACCGTGACATATTTCAATCTTCACCAATTTCACTACACCGAATACTAGGTCAACTCATGTTTTTGTTCAGTCCACCTCATTGTCCCGCCACGTATGCCATGCGTGTCGGTATCTCTCAATTCGGTTACGAATAAACGGAACTCGCTATTCCTTGCCAGCTGAGGTAGGAGTGCCCTTCCATTCCGGCAACAAACCCTGCCTGGTAGGTACCTAGTATCTACCTCTAGTGGTAGGTGCCATCCGGCTCGGGAGCTGGGATTCTGGGAAA